GTATTTATCAAACTGTGACCAGACTCATTTTCTCCTTAACAGACTGTTTTATTGATTTCTAAGTTACAGAGGGAGCTGGCAGTGATTCATATTTAGGTTGCCTAACATGTGCCAATATGTATAAAAATTCTTGTGAACTTCTTTGGGAAATTCTAACACCTCCATTGCTTACAGCAGACCTTTGAGTTGTGACAAGAAGAAAGCCCTCAGATCACAGGAGTGCCTTTTCCTTTCAGCTTTGAAATTCCATTCAGGTCTGGCTGAGCTATCAAGTATTAGAAGTTACCATTTCCCTTTTCTCACGCACAGCTCCAGGAAAAATGCTGGCAGCCTGCCAAAATAATAATTGAACCAGACACTGCACTGGGGACTGCAAGAGGGCAGGGGAGAAGAGAGAACCAGGGCACGGTCTACACAACCATCCTCCTGTTGTCAGCTGGCGTGCATGTGTGCTCGGTACTCCGTCCTGGCTTTGCGCAGGTATCCGGCTCAGCAGGCCTTGATAGAACTGCCCAGAAAAATCACAGATTTGGTTCAGTGGCAAAGGCGCCCGACCAGGTTTATTGTCAATGAGGCACGGTCCTAGCACCCGGCAGATGCCACAGGGATACTAACACAGGTATGTCCGTCACTACGGAATCAGCTCAGTCAGCATCGGGACCTTCTGCTGCCCCCAGGCTGGACAAAGATGCCGTTCCTATAACTCCTCCTTCATACATTGACACAAACAAGTTACATATTACACTCCTGATGTGTAACCAACGTGTTACTGACCCTGCACCTCGTACCTGCTGGTTTGAACAAAACATCTCTAGCTATTGTCCTGTCATCCTGCCCTTATCAGTGTGTCCCTATCTTCAGGGAGTATGTTTATGCCATAAATCTATGTTGGGGTATACGTGGGCAAGCCTTCTGGAATGTGTTTACACGAATACCTAGTGCCTAGTACTTCTTAGGAGTGGCTGTGGTTTAGCAATGCCAGCCCAATTTTGCCAGGTTCACGCCAAAGAACCTGTAACAGGGCCTGACTTTTGCTCAGAGTATGGCTTTTGCTGACTTTGATTCTGGCCTCAGGCCTTATACCAGATCCTGGGCTCCAGGCTCTCTCTTACTACTCCACCTCCCAGAGCCACGGGGCAGGAGCAGCAGCTGTCCATGGGGAAGATGGTGGAGGAGAGTCGGGGAACTGAGCCATGCTCCCCCCATCCCAGTGTAACTCCAGTGGCTCATGCCCTATTTGGATATAACAACCTTCCACTGCCGGGTGTTAATGTAGTGAGTTCTGTAGCTCAAGTGGTAGCAGTCTGTGAAGCCATGTCGCGGGGTGAGAACTCAGAGGGTGTGTGTGTTATATAATAAAATGCCTTATATTTAAAAACAATACACTCGGACACTTCAGACAATAAGTGCGATGTTCATATGGGTTTTGGTTGGAAAGTCAAGCAGCTAAAAGTTAGGACATAGCAGAGGGAAGGCTGCTCATGCACAACAGCAGAGCTCAGAGAACAACCCACGCAGCCTCACGCCCAGTCCTGGGCTGCATCCACGACATGCACCACGGCAACCCTGGCATCGAGTGCAGTGGGAAGAGTAATCCTAGAATAGTAGAAACCTTGGCTCAGTTTGTCTGTGGGTCTCATGGGAAGGGCTCTGAACAGTGACAACCCTGAGGCTTTCATGTTGTTTCACTTTCTCTGTTTCCTGGGCCAAAGCAAGATCTCATTGTGGGAAGCCATCTATAGGGCAGAGGTTAGGGTGCTTCCCTGGGATGCTAGCAGTCCTGCTTCAAGTCTCCTGTCTGCCAGCTAGGGCAGCAGGCTTCGAAGAGGGAGCTGCTGTGGCTTGCCTGTTGAAGCTGTTCCACTTTAATTAACTATTAATTAGGCCAAAGCAAGAGTCAAAAGCAAGAAGCCCGCTGTAGCACGGTGGCTGGGCTAAGTACCGGGATGGTAAAGACCCTGGCTCAGTTCTTCTCTGGACCTTCTGAGATAGGATCTGAACACTGACAGTCCTGAGGCTTTCCTCATCATGCTGTTCCACTTTCATTATCTATTAGGCCAAAGCAAGACTCAAGCCTAAGCAGCTCTTTATAGTGCAGTGGTTACAGCCCGTGTCTGGGGCGTTGGCCTACATGGTTCAAGTCCCTGCTCGACCAGCAAAGGTGTTTCATTTGAACAGGGATTTCCCTTAGCCTTGCCTGTTGGTGCTGTTCTCCTTGACTTAACTAGGAATTGGGGCAGGCCAAGGGCTTGGATCACTGTACAGTCCAGCGGTTGGGTCTTGCTTAGGAAGTGGGAGATCCTTGGATTTCCTGGTTTGAATGCTCCCTCTGCCCCTTTAGAAGGGGTTTGAATACCTCAAAGTCTAGCACTCAGCACATTCACTTAAGATGTAGAACTCTGCTTAAATCCCTTCTCAGCAAACAGAAGGCAGATAGAACCAAACTCTCCGATAGTTTAGGACAGGGAACTTTGGTCTGCGGGGCTGTTAACCTGGCACCATTCAGTAACACTGAATTCAGATTACAATTTTAAAGTGAAAATTTAAGGCTCCCCCCTTGAGATATCACATCATTTCCTTGAAAATAACAAAACTGAAGCTAGATCCATAATGGAAACATCTAGTGAGTAAACAGCATCCAGCCACACTCATTCAGGCCACAGGAAATACTCTGTTCATGTTATAGACATACAAAATGTGAACAAGTTTATAGGAAAATATGCCAGAGGTATTTAAGAAATACAGTGACTAGTGTGAACATGGCCAAATACAAAATGATTGGGAATAGTACTGCTGTGTCTCTGTTCTGCCGTAAAGCTTTAGTGACCTTGGTTTTGAGTCAATACTGTTATCTCGTTTGACCTGAGCAGTTAGCCAAAATTTGGGGTCGTGTAGGTTGTTCCAAGTGGGAAGAGAAATGGATGATGGAAATCTGGTACCTTTGGTGCAATCTTGTTTATTTACAAAGAACGTACAAAGTCCTGTTTCCTTCAACACAGGAGGAAGCAAACTGTGTGTGCCTTTCCTTTCTCACAGAACCAAACCTATCTCAGCGAGCAGAGTACCCTCCAAACCCCCCATTTTCTAGGCTTTTCTCAGGGTTGTGTTACCAGCTGATGCTGCTTGTACAGGCTGTCTTGTTTTCTGCTCTTTCTGTCTCTCCCTTTGTGCTGTGTTTCTCATACACATCCATAGACAAAACAGTATCTAGTAAAGTCCTTTGGTCCAGAATGTCAACATAGTTCTTTGTTTTCGGCAGTGAGATGTGCTTAACTGCTTCGCAGCTTTCTTAAGTGAAGGGTGGTGGTGAATTTTATAACAGTATAATTTCACAATAACCTAAGCTGAACTGGAAGATCCTTTTGCAGAATCTCATCCCGCAAGATACTGAGTACTGTCCACTCCTTGTTGCGGAGGGTGCCCAGCACACTTACAGGATCCAGCCCTTCAAGAAACACCTACCACCATTTAAAAACGCAGCTGCTTCTTAGCTGCTTAGGTGTGCAGTCCCTAAGGAGCCATTTGAACCGAATCCAGCTTTAAAATGGGATGTGGAGTGCAGTGAAACAAGCATACCCCAAATACACTAACGGAAAGTACGACAACACAATGACCTAGACCAGTGAAACCTTTTTTCCATTTGCGGACCCCTAAATAACTTTGAATGGAGATGCGGCCGCCTTTGGAAATCTTAGACAGTCTGTGGACCCACAGGGTCTGCAGCTCACAGGTTGAAAACCTTTGGCAGAGACTGACTGGACAGTGGGTATTGACGTAGCTACAACAGACTGGTGGTTGTTCTGTGTTTATGCTGCACCTCGCGCAACGGAGTCCTGGTCCACACATAGAGCTTTGAGGTGCTACTGCAATACAAATCAATAACGCAGTATGCGTTAGAGCCAAAAGCAGAGTTGGAAACACCCATGTCTCTCTACTCTTCCTGTAGTTTAACCACACAACGATCCTTCCTCAGTCTTATGTTCCCTTCCTTTCATCATTTCCTTCTCTGTGGAACCTGTATTTGAAGGTCTCATCTGCGACCGAATATGGGAGATATTTAAATAGTTACACATTTCAAAACACCTCATCAAAGGAGAGATACCTTTGATGGGAAATGTGACTCAAAAAATCTCACTCACTGCCAATCCCTCTCCTTAAATATTCCTTCTTGGCCTTTCAGAGAAACCTAATTCCAAAACTACCAGATTAGAGAGAGACACTTGGATTGTAATAGCCTCAGTGTGCCCCTTGGGACAGACTGCAAGGCTCATTTTCCCTAACTAGAAATAAGAAGAGATTGTTTTCAACATTCTTAAAGTTCCTTTTTGCTACTTCATTACTAAAAAAAACCAGAAGGCCCCCTAGCTGAGGTCTAGTGCATAGGACCAAAGTGTAATTTAATATTAGTTTATGGATGGGTCCCTGATCTCCCCCATTATGGGCAATGGGAGGTGGGAATAGTCTGGACTCAGGGAACTGGGATGGGAAGCATGCATATTCCCTCCCCAAAGCCCCCATATTGCTCCAGAGCAGGACATGCATCCCCAGCAAGAGGCTCTTGTCCCTGTTAGACTGTGACCCTGTGATGAATGCCAGGGATTTTAGTCAGAAGCAATGCACGACAGCACCACTTACGGCTGCTCCTCGCAGTGCTTGTTCACACTGTACCAGGAGGCAGGGCCCAGGGGGAAGTTGTGGCTGTTGGTGATGCCAGAGCATCGCTCGCATCTCAGCTGCAGTGGGATCTCCTTCTGACAGAGATCCTGTAGGACCCCAGACAAAGAGGAATTATTCAACAAAATGACATCCGTTTCACATTTGTCAGGAAAAATCCCTGTACCCTAGAAAAGAAAGAGGCTTATTTGCAAGAGCAAAAGGACAAATTTTCTTCTGTTCTGTTAGCAGCTAGTGACTGGATCAGGACAGAGAGTTAGATTTCAACTTCACTTGTAAATTATCAGTTTATAGTAATAAGTACGGAAAAAGAGGATAGTAGAGTCTTCATTCAGTATTCCTTTTATTTAAGAAAAATACATTAAAAAAGATTAAAAAGAAAGCTCATGCTCAAATAAATTGGTTAGTCTCTAAGGTGCCACAAGTACTCCTTTTCTTTTTGCGAATACAGACTAACACGGCTGTTACTCTGAAACCCATTAAAAAAGATGACATAAATCCCAGAGATTCCTTCGGTTACAGTTTCACCATCTGTGGAAAGATTTGTGCATATTGCTAAACAAAACTCAGCATAGTTGTGATTGTAAAAAAGAATATAAACAACATGTTTTAAATGATAAAATAAATTATAATAATGTATTGGATTACAGTCACATCCATCTTACCAGCAGAGAGTGCCATTTCCTGCATTTAAAAAGCTTGTTTTCAGACCTCCAAAGACATTTTTTGATGACTAAAACATAAAATTAATTTAGTCACTAAACCACCGGAGAACTTGCTATGGAGTACACTTTTGATCTTATTGCTTACTTCCTATAAAGTGCTAGTTGATTGTAGGGAAAGAAACAGGATGCCTTATATTCAGTAAATTTTATTTAAAAAAACCTCAGTGATAAGCTTCTGAACATCTCTGGAACCCCATGTAAATTCACACACTTCACTCTTTTCTCTTAGGGGAGACATGCATAAATTTGTAAAAAGAAACAGAAGTTATAGAGCTGGGAACAAAAGGTGGATTTATCTGAAGAGATTCTCACTACAACAAAAATCTGTAGATGAATCTGAAGAAAGGTCACATCAAGAATCTACAGAATTCCATTTAGAGTCTGGCATCTTTACATTTGGGTTTAAAGACTAATATTACACACTTCACGATGGAAGCCTGTAAGCAGGCATCTAAACAGGCTCTCTTGCCACCTGCAGCTAAAACCCACAATCCAAACTATGCCACACTCAGATGGCTAACATGTTAACAGGTGAAACATTTAGCACTATGGAGAGGCAGAATAAGGAGCCAGCTGCGCGTACAGAACAGCAAGTAATGTTAAGTAATTAAGTAATGCTGCCAACAGCCTTTGCTTGCTTCAGAAACCAGTTTTTAAAGGCAAAGGGATGATCTACTTCCCTTTTTCTTTTTTCAAATGCAGTGGGTTTCGATTACAAGTCCAGTTCAAAGGAGAAAAGGTGTAGTAAAAGGGAGGATCTGGATGACCTTGTAAACTGGAGTAATAGTAATAGGATGAAATTTAATAGTGAGAAGTGTAAGGTTATGCATTTAGGGATTAATAACAAGAATTTTAGTTATAAGCTGGGGATGCATCAATTAGAAGTAACGGAGGAGGAGAAGGACCTTGGAGTATTGGTTGATCATAGGATGACTATGAACCGCCAATGTGATATGGCTGTAAAAAAAGCTAATGCGGTCTTGGGATGCATCAGGAGAGGTATTTCCAGTAGAGATAAGGAGGTTTTAGTACCGTTATACAAGGCACGGGTGAGACCTCACCTGGAATACTGTGTGCAGTTCTGGTCTCCCATGTTTAAGAAGGATGAATTCAAACTGGAACAGGTACAGAGAAGGGCTACTAGGATGATCCGAGGAATGGAATGGAAAACTTGTCTTATGAAAGGAGACTCAAGAAGCTTGGCTTGTTTAGCCTAATTAAAAGAAGGCTGAGGGCAGATATGATTGCTCTCTACAAATATATCAGAGGGATAAATACTGGAGAGGGAGAGGAATTATTTAAGCTCATTACCAATGTGGACACAAGAACAAATAGATAAACTGGTCATTGGGAAGTTTAGACTTGAAATTAGACAAAGGTTTCTAACCATCAGAGGAGTGAAATTTTGGAATAGCCTTCCAAGGAAAGCAGTGGGGGCAAAAGATCTATCTGGCTTTAAGATTAAACTCAATAAGTTAGTGGAGGAGATGGTATGATGGGATAACATGATTTTGGTAATTCATTGATCTTTAAATATTCATGGTAAATAGGCCCAATGGCCTGTGATGGGATGTTAGATGGCATGGGATCAGAGTTACCCAGGAAAGAATTTTCTGTAGTATCTGGCTGGTGAATCTTGCCCATATGCTCAGGGTTTAGCTGATCGCCATATTTGGGGTTGGGAAGGAATTTTCCTCCAGGGCAGATTGGAAGAGGTTTTTTGCCTTCCTCTATAGCATGGGGCATGGGTCACTTGCTGGAGGATTCTCTGCTCCTTGAAGTCTTTAAACCACAATTTGAGGACTTCAATAGCTCAGACATAGGTGAGAGGTTTATCGCAGGAGTGGGTGGGTGAGATTCTGTGGCCTGAGTTGCGCAGGAGGTCAGACTAGATGATCATAATGGTCCCTTCTGACCTTCGTATCTGTGAATCTATGAACTCTGGTTGCCTGAGAGCGTTCTATTTTCACTACAGAAATTCAGTGCAAATGCATGAAGCTTATTTCCTAACTTTTCCATTCTTTTCTTCCAATATTATGTCTGTTAATTTGTAAGCCATTATCTAGTACCGACCTTCATCCTGAAAAAAAAAAAAGATAACAGTTAAAATCAAAATAGTTCTATATTTTAGTCTTCTACAGCTTTAGACTTTAGTCTATATGATACTTTAAACTTTTCATATGTTGTACTTTCCAGTATGTTCAGGAACAAATATTAATTTTTGTATTAAGAAGTCCGTAGATGTTAACTTTTTAAGTGTAAAAAAAAAAATTACCCACTGTGTAACAATAGCATACAGTATAAATATATTTTCAACTGATTTCATGTTAAATCAGAGTTCGTAATATTTCCCTAACGATAGGGAAAGTAGAAGAAAACATGCATTACGGCTATAACAGGGGCTAGGGCTAATTAGTAAGCAGAGTTAGTAACTGCAAGGACAAACAATGAAAAAAGTTATTTACATAAAAGAACCAAACTATTCCTGGGTCCCCCATGTTTCCCTCCTCACTATAAAATAAAGGTGAGCTGAGGAATTCCTTTGTAAGTTCCCCCCGTATCAGGAGCGGACATCTACACAGATTTATGTAAACTACATTTTTAAAGAGGGATATTAGTTTCAGTGACAAGTCATATTGAATATCAATCTTATTTAACGATGGCTAGTGCAAATGCCGTGTAAAGTACTAAAGTCCTTATGAAATCAACTTCTGAACCTCTTTGTGATCTATACTAAAGAGAGCAAAGCTCTTCAGGGGAGGAATTTGACTAGTTTACCTATCTGTATCCATTTGATGAACTACTAGTATATGTTTCCATACGGGATAAAAATCTTATATTTGCTTATAATCTTTATGGTTTTAGGCATTTATTTTTCACCCGAAGAACACAATATGATTTGCTCCTTCAATCTTAAAATGGACATATGGAAGTAATGAAATAGAAATGAGATTTACATGTTAGATATCGGTTTCCAATCAACTTCATTTAAAAAACTGAAAGAACACACAATGTTCGAGTCTGTTGTGTTTGCAGAAAAACATTATATAGAAGAAATCTAGCATATTAGCGGTTAACCCAACAATGATGTCACATGCAACATTTCAGTTCATGTCAAGAAAGAAAAGGTTAGAAGAAATAAGAATCTGTAGATTATAGTCTCAATTTGAATTTACTATTGTATATTGTTCTCTCAAATAACATAGAATCGGAAGACACCATCTACATATTTTTAGGTGGAGGAAGATATTTTTCTATTTCAAAATATGCCTTTCAAGACCCAGTTTAGATTTTGTTTCACCCACTGGTAGGTATTATTTTCTTGGAAATTGGAGCTTCTGGGATCTGGATTTCTAATATAAGAACTGAACAGCAAGAAAGGAGAGAATGATAATTGAATAAAATATGTTTACAGAAATAAAAGACAGAAAAAAATTAATAGTTTCTAAAAGGAGAGATTTTATAAAACTAGAACTTATAAAGGAACTAAGATAAAATTTAGGCTATTAGGAAGATATTTTGATAGCAACACGCGTTAAGCTGGGGTATTCTCTACCAGGGAAGTGGTGGAAGCCTTACTACTTGGAAATTTTGACAGTAGCAAGAGCAAGATATTATAAAACATTATTTTTATTTGTAAATTTCCTCCAAAATACACAAAAACATAACTGAAAAAACGTATGTCCCACACTTCCAAGAAACTAAAATATTCACTGGGATTGTGTGGTGCGTGTGGGAAACCTGCTAATGCCAAGGTAGAAAGCTTTGGACTTCACCTTGTTTGGTATCAAATCAAGCATTGCTGTTTTATCGACACTCAGAGGAAGCAACCAACAATGACACATTTTGGTGGACATCATATCATATGAAAACAATTTCTCTTGTCTGTACATTTTTCTCTTTAGATAAGAGGGATAAGGTGTTGCTGATGGGGAAGGAGCTGTACAACTCCACAACCTTGTGTTTGTAAAGTGTTTGCAGGCTGATTTTCCAGAATTTTGTGTCACTATTTTAAAAGTAAGGTTTTTTTTTAAGGTTTCTGTTTTCAGGAATTCTTTTATACAGTTGCTGAGTATACCAAGTAGTGAGAAACATGCATAATGTGTAGGGAACTTGTGAATTCACTGCTGCAGGAGGTTACTGAAATAATAGTACAGATACATTTCAAGGAAAAAAGACAATTATAAGCTACACCATTTGTTACTTAGGAATTCTAAGAGAAGGGACAATGAGCGATCATACGTCCGATGTAATATAAAAACCACAGGAGTCCAATTTTCCTCCTGTTTCCCTCCCTGCATCCATGTATACTTTTGCACAACTCAACAGTGGTATTATAGGAGGTGTTTTTTGCATGCCTTGGAAACATCAAGTATGGGAAACTGCAGGTAGCTGGTTGCAGGAGAAGCTAGATAATAGTTTGATGCCCTGAAGCAGATTCCGACAGGATGCAAAAAAATCTGCATGTCCGTTCCCCCACAAGTCAATGCGAAGCATGGGTTAAACTTCCCTATTGTATTGCAAAGTAGTGTTATTATTTTGTTTAGCAAATGACTTAAGCTGTAAGAGTATAAAGCAATTGACATCGTTCTATTCTAAACAGTTACGATTCAATCGACTGATTTTCTCACAATACATTACTGATTTCTGTATAATACAAAATGCTTATTTTCCAGCAAATGCAAATACGATAGACAAACATAGTTATCTATTAACAAACATTCAGGACAAAGGCAAACAGCCCTTTTGATACTAGTGTTCTTTAGTACAGAACAGATTTTCCTGGGAGTATCCAACAAGCATTAGGTGAAATAACAGGGTTAGTGGAGAAAGCAGTCCATTTAAATTGCTTTATAAAAACATCTACATTTTTGCTTGTGATAAATTTTAGAGACGTAATTCTAGACACCGCCTTCATTTAGTGACTAAATGCCATCCCTTTGGTGCCACATCTTATTGCAATTTTCAGAGTACCATACACGTTATTTTTTCTGACATCAGCTACGTGCAAGAAAAGTCTCAGTCGTCTAAACAGGCAGAGTAAATCTCAAAAAGGAAATACTTGTATCTTGGACTGGCTTACCTATTATTCTTCAAAATGGCCAAAGGTATAATTGCAGCAACTGCAACAAGAACTACTTTAAAAAAAACAAAAACAAAAAGAAGAGCAATTTAGTAACAAAGTTAAATAAACCGTAACATTTTGCTAAAAGACAATTATGAATCTCCACAGTTCTGGAACTTGCTCTCATCGTCACTGACGGATTATTTGTATCATAGGACACAATTTTTTTCCTTATGATGACAAATAAGCCCCTCTCATACACCAGATCAAAAATCACAAGAACTCTCTACCCAAATCCAGAAAGAGATTCTGATGTTGGATCTCCTAATTTATCAAGTCTTTAATGCTTCTGTGTACTGCTTAAGGTGCGTCTAGATTCCTAACTCATTCAGAGTAACGCTCAGTATTCAATCTACTTCACATCCAAGATGTTCAAGCTTAAATTCAACTTCTTCCCTTCAGTCCCCTGCAAGGTGTTCACGTTCTCCACCAAAGAGTCAGAGAATGTAGTATGTTCAATATCTTGTATGGCTTGCTTGATTTCTTCCCCAATTGATATAATATTTTAAACTGATAAATAAAAATTACAAAATTCATCAGATTCTCTCTCAGTCTTGAACCTTAAAATGAAAACTTCTACCAAACTGTCTACTTTGGGGTCACACTGCGCTAACTAAAACCATGTTTCAGTTCTGCTATTGAGATTTGAGCACAGTTTCCCCGATCGGCACACACTGGGTCAGCTGCATCTTAGAGCCATGGGATGGGGATGTAGGCTACAGAATGGTTTGGGTTGGCATATTCTCAGAAGGAGATCGCTGTCTCCATTGATCAGGCAAGTGCTAGAGCCCTGCTTGTAACAGCTCCAAATGCTCAGTGGTCTTATGATCTGCTCCTTGACAGCGCTACTCTTGACTTCCGTGGGACATAGGCATGTGCTGAAGTGCTGTGAGGAACAGATGCGTACATAGGGAACAGTCTGCTCCCCAAGGGTAAGCTACATCAGCTGTGGGAATTCTGGGAGAGAAGGGGGAAATGTGTTCTGAACTGGCGAGCATGATGACCCAACACTCAAGATCAGTTGTGTGGAGACCACTGCAGGCTGACTAACTCTGGCTGCTAAGAATTTCAGTAACAGCCTTCTAATTTCCTGTATAATATGAGACTTTCAAATCTAACCTACAAAGCGATTTCTTGGACCTTTGTACAACTTCCCTTCCTAGCTTTTGCCCTTTCCATTTTTGGTAGGCACCAGACATACATATGCAGTCCTAGGTGGTGAGGAAGTATTCTCACCCAAAACAGAACTTCAGAAGTGAACCTTTTCTTGATTTCCCTGGGGATAAAGAGGGAAATGAGATTCTTCCCTCCCCTTTTGTTCCCCAATATTGTGCAGACACATTTCAGATAGAATCACAGCAGATCGCCTAGCTCAGGCAAATATTGCGAATATGCCTACAGACAGAGAAAACAGCTGAGAGTAGAAATACAGGCGTCTTTCCAGAGAATAGCAGTGCTTTTACATGGCACCACAGCATGTTAGAAATGGCAGAGAAATTCAGGAACCCTAAATCCCAGGCTCTTTAGTAATTAAGTAGGGGGAAAACATTAGCCTTGACTCCAGATCTTAAAACCGTCACAGCTTTAGCGCATTAAATGATTTTTTTCAGTTTTAAGTTACTTACCAATACCAACACCGGAGCCAATGCCTATGTCAATGCGTACGCCAAGCCCTAAAGAGAAAAACAAAAAATGTGAGCTAAAATATGAAACCAAATTCATGTCAATAACCTACAGGAACTCATCCACAATCCATGCATATGAAGCTACACTTAGTACCCTAGATTATACCAGATATTAATGAACAATTAAGGCACTCACATAAGCACCACATTCTAAAATGGATAATCATTAGCTGTTGGAAACCACGATCTCACCCCTAGAGAGCCTCGTAATGAAGAAAAGCAGCTTTTCAAAGGATTGTACACATTTGTACCTTGTAATACCAACAGGAAAACCATTGTGCAAATGGAGGACACAGTCTGGGTTTAAAGGTTTTCTATAATATGAACCACTGGATGTTGAGGGTTCTCTTACACATGCTTCTAGGCTCTCATTTACCAAGCCTGCACTGGCCAATCATACGTTTGCCAAAATGCTAAGAAAGGCCAGAATCATTAAACTCAGGTTGTCTAGACCAGATACTACAATTTTTGCCCAAGCATATCATCATAGGTTAGTGTTATGTTACCCGGTAGCACAGATATAAAGAGTTCTGTAATCTGTATTTCCAATTACCCAAATAGATTGTTTCAAGAGACAGACTTTTGCTGTCCTTACTAGAGTAAGATCATTTATTGTCTAACCACAGCTGTGGAAGATACGGAATGGATAATTAATTCCTTGTCACAGACTGCATAGAACTACAATCACTGATGTCAATGAGTTTTGTATTTAGAAATCAGACTCATGTTAAAGGAATGCTCAGACTAACATTTTAAGGGAAACATATGAAAGATTAAAATAGCACTCCTGACCTTCATTGTTAGTCTGAAGTGGCCTTTCAATGGCCCCTGGAAATTTTGATCCCTATTTACTCTCAAAAAATACATTGCTGACAAATGTATAACCTTTAATGTTAATAATTTTAATATGAAAAATGGAGTGTACATATTCATTTATGCCCATATTGCTCATCATTACTGTAGGCTTCAGAGTGTTGGCAGAAATATGTAGTTTGGTCATTAAAGTTTTGTTGTTGTTTTTGTAGTTTAAATAAAGCCCAACAAAAAACATTTTTAAAACCATGCACGAAACTAGTTGTTGGGGGAAAAGGAGGTAAAAAAACACCATCACCACATAAAAAGAAATCCAGTTGAGTTAGAAACAAATTTGTAGTTGTGGTCCTCCTAAATTACTGACTAGAAGCAAGAGCTTTTTAGTTCGCTTTTGGCAGAAATTACCCAAATAACCCAAAGCCAAGCAGCACCTCTTTTCTATTCTCCCTGCCACTGAACTAAAACCAGAGAACAAAAGCTCCATTCCTGACTCACACGGAACCTACCTAAAACAAGCTAAAATACATGTTTATACTTTGTGTGTGTGTGTGAAACGTGAAATCTGCACTAATATACTCCCTTGATAGGCAACAGTGTCTAATATTGGTTACTTTAAATATCCTTAGTCTGTTTCTAGTGCAATCTCTTTCAGCCTTTAAAGAATCATCTCTACCAAGTGACCAATTTTTGCATGGACACTTATGACTCATTTCACTTAGGTTGCCAGCATCCAAACCTGCCAACAGCTCGTGACAGAACATGGTTTTGGTTATGGTTAAGCCGTACATTCACTGGGGTAAAGTGAATTTCTTCTTTAGACTGTTCTTTCCTCTCTTATTAGTGCAGGTTGAGAGCTTTTATGATTCTGGACCCATTTAGCTGGGGCGGGAATCCATCACTACCTTCGCTGTAAGCTGCTAAACCCTTCTTCTGACGTGCCTATCTGAGTAAACATACAAATGCTCACAAATCAAGAAAGGTAGTACGCTATCAGGGAAAAAAAGATGTAATCAGTGCCAGAGTAAACATGCAAATGAACAAGCTCTCTGTCAAGTTTTTAGGCAAGTACTAAGTGAGCATCATCATCTTTACATCTGTGAATAGCAGAATTATAGAAATTAAAATGACCTTCACACTGTACATTTCATTTTTATTCAAGTGGAAATTTGAACCCAAAATTCTAGACTTTTAATAAATCCAAGTTCTTCCAATTTACCTGAGGAAGTACCAGCTACTTCTGCTCCTTCGGGAGGGACAGTTGTGGGTTTGTCCTGGGTAATTATGACTAAGGCAAAAAGAAGAGGAAAAAGCAGTTATGAACATTACATCAGTCTCCCATCACTAGCTGGCCACTCAGAGCCAGGAGCTTGCCAAACTAATGTTTAGGAATCTGCATCTTTAGAGACAAGACATTCTTACCCCACTTACACACTGTCACAGCGAGAGCCCATGTACTATCAGTTGGGCTACCCTGCAGACTGCTGCTGGGATCCCTTTCATATATTCTAGGGAAAGCCCATAGCAACCCCTACATTGAGCTGACGACCACTTTCCTTTACAAAAGTTCTCTTTTTCTTCAAGAGCTCTAACAGTTCCATGGTTTGCAGCAGGGATGTGAAAGGCTCAGGGTGGTGCCTCTTGCTGTCACCATGAGTTAGATTTTGACAGTTTGTGTCATTTCCCTTCAGTTTTACTCATCAGAACTTGCTAGAGTGACTTCTGAAGTCCCTGAACATGCTGTTTTCAGTTAGAATTCTCTGCAAGTTCTTGCCATGGGCAACTCAGCACTACGCCTCATTCTCTCTCGCATCTTTGGCCGAGGAGAGGGTGCACTGTGTTGGGAACCAGGAGATGAGGAATTCAACTCATTTTTTTCCACGGACTGATGTTAATAATCTTGTGCCCTTCAAACCCCAAGTTATCACTGAACAAGGCATCCTCCCTGAATCAAAGTTACACGAGGTAAGAAGAGAACCCAGATCTCGTAAAATAAGGCTACTCATTCATATAAACCCCATTGTTTTAGTGTATTGTGCATCCTCCTCTAGTGGTTGGTCCGCAGATAACAGTTTACTCCTGCTGCCACTTATTAAAATTAGTTCATTAGCTTATGTGATATGCTGCAATGCAGTAGGTTCAAGAGTCAAACCTTGATGACACCATGGAGTCAGAGGACAGTGTATTACATTCATATATAGGTTTTTTTTTTTTATAAAAAGCTCAGAAGTTACATAAAACCCACAGTAGAAAAAAGTTATTCAAGTTGCAAAGTGAGCACTCAGAAGTTAGAAAATGATTAAATTAAGATTACCTATGCAATCTTAACTCTTCCTCCTTGGATTCATGTGAATTGTCAGCATACTGTAAGGAGTAAGTTTCTCACAGTAACCAGGTTTCCCACAAGTTATATATTTAAATGATTAAACGCTTAACTGAATTTCTTCATGTTTATGGGTATGCCTTGCAATCAAAATATTGTTTTATCTGGTGGGAGAAAGTAGAACAAGAGGAAGATAAAAACAAGGCAGTCACCTTTGCATTCAGGGGCAGACCCATTCCAGACTCCATTGATGTTATCTTTAGTTGTACAGTGAATGGAGGCCTCTCCAGTAAGTGAGAAATTAGGGTCACATTTGTAAGTTACTGATGTGTTATAGTCAAAGCTTTCCAGATGATTGCCATTGTGCATCCCATTGGTAATATTAGGAGGAGCAGAACAAGAAATCACTGAAGGAAAAGAGAATAGCATCATGAATATGAATGCACATTTCAGTTAGAGATGAATTGAAAATAATAAGTAAACCTTGCCTAGCAATCAAAATATTGTTTTATCTGGTGGGAGAAAGTAGAACAAGAGGAAGATGAAAACAGGCAGTCACCTTTGCATTCAGGGGCAGACCCATTCCAGACTCCATTGATGTTATCTTTAGTTGTACAGTGAATGGAGGCCTCTCCAGTAAGTGAGAAATTAGGGTCACATTTGTACGTTACTGATGTGTTATAGTCAAAGCTTTCCAGATGATTGCCATTGTGCAGCCCATTGGTAATATTAGGAGGAGGAGAACAAGTAATCGCTGAAGGAAAAGAGAATAGCATCATGAATATGAATGCACATTTCAGTTAGAGATGAATTGAAAATAATAAGTAAACCTTTGTCCATGATCTCCCCTAAAAGGGAAAAACCATTTAGCTATCTGAAAATGTAATTAGCACAGTATTGTAACATAATGTGAGGCATTACCTCCCTCAGAGTCTGAGGGCTTTCTGCTATCAAGTTTTTCTTCAAGCCAACTCCTTTCTTCTAGCAGATTTTGACCCTATGAAAGAACCCCCAGGAGACAGCCGTATCAGAACATACACACCCCTCGAACAACAGAGATAAGGAGCTGGGGCTCCTTGACTGACATCCTTGAAGGACAATGTTGCGCTCCTACAAATGCCAGAAGCAGAAAGCTTAAATTAGGACATTTCTTCTCTCATCTGGTTCTAGACCAGGCGGCAACAGCCAGATTGACAGACCCATCTCAGGTAGTGTCCAAAAGGACAAAAACAATTAAAGCAAATAAATTGGGAAGAGGTTTTAATATTGGGTTTCACCCTCAAATAGTCTCAGATTACGAGTGTGGAGTCCAGGATTTTTGGACAGGAAAAGAGGAGAACAGAACAAGGAGGAATTACACTAAATTAAAAAAAACATAGGATGACAGACTTCCAAGGAGGAAGAGATTGCTTAATGAAGAGTGAGAAACTGACCAAACCTCACCATCCCAGTATTCTGCATATCGTAACGATTAGGTGACATTAGACCAGCTAAACTCTGACCACGTGATGGTGCCAGGAGAACCATTTGAAGGGAAGGAGGGGACCTATGGGGCTGTGTTTGTTTGAAGTGTTAATTCTACAAAAGGCATCAGCACCATGATGGACCCTCATACATTTTCAGCCTGTCTCTCCACTCCCAACAATATCTACAAGATTTGCTTATAATCCAAATTAAATAAGATTAAAGACAGATGAAAGCTCTCTAATGGGGTATTTCTGCATCATCATCCAGTCACGAGCTCTTCTTAAAACCATGGTGATTGTCTTACATTGGCAAGTTGGAAGTTTACTCCATTCAACTTGATCTCTGTTAAGCAAACACTGGATGAAATGTCGCCCACTTACTTTGTATCTAAAGAAAAGAAAGAAAAAAAAGTTTTTTAGTTCTCTAAGTTCTCCTCTAATAGTCCGATGAAGTGAGCTGTAGCTCATGAAAGCTCATGCTCAAATAAACTGGTTAATCTCTAAGATGCCACAAGTACTCCTTTTCTTTTCGCGAATACAGACTAACACGGCTGCTACTCTGAAACCTTTAGTAGTCCAGAAATTTGAGAAATGGGTTCTTTCTGCCAGTAAAAGAAGGCATTAACTACTGAGTAGAGTGATTCCTGCTCTGGAAGAACCAGCATGATCACTGTAACCAAGCAATGCTGAGTAGCAATCCCGAGTTATGAAAGCGAATTTAGAACAAGCAAATCGGTGCATATAAGATTGTAGAGACCAAGTTTACAGGAGAAAGTTTTCATCTTAAAGTATATACTAACCAGATGCTTTGAATTTCTGAGTGATATCTTTGTTAAACCTTTAACAAGTGAAACAAATAGGTCTCTCCCCTCTAAGTATCATTTTAGTGCTTCTCATTTCTTGCATCTCCAGCAAGTGGAAGAAGTCCTTAAACCAGTTCCTGAATTTGAAGCATGTCAAGTGAACTAGCAGTTTTTAGACTGTTCATCTTCTCAAAAAGTTTTCACAGGAATCAAAGGGGTTTGGACTTGTGAGTAGGAGAATGTCTCACCTCCAAGTTCCAATCTGCAGTACAGTGTTCAAGAGGTGTGCCATTAGGATGCTACACCTTCACCATATAAATGGAGGTGGGAGTCCTTGGCTCAGACTGCTAAATTCCACCACTCCTCCTCCTATTTTACATCTGGTATTCTACCACAGTCAACAGTGCTCCATTGCCAACACCATTTAGCTAAATGTCTAGCTAATTCCTGGCCAGGAAGTATTGAATACTGGCAATGAAGTCACTTGGTTTTCACTACGTTTTACCTTTTAACACTGTAGGCTACAGGTTGTGGCCTTCTATGCTAGAGTTTTAGAAAGGAGATTTAGAAGACCAGATGAGGGTTTACCTATTAAAACTGGTTTCTTCTGGTTCTTTCACCAGTCTGGTATGAAGGCAGGGACCAAAAAGGATGGACACAAACATCATTTATGGGCAAGTGGCCACCACTTTTCTTCTAACTTAAAACGTAACAACCAAAGACAACCTTTCCTGACAGCAATGATTGGGCGAGGAGACAGCTGGCCAAGGGCTGTCCCCCTGCTGCCACTGTTTCACAACCTGAGCATTTTAAAAGGTCCAAAGCCTAATCAGCCCATTTAAACCCAAAGCCTTCACTGGCAGACACAATTCCACAGTGCGCAGTCCCTGTGTGCTACTGCATGGGAAAATGATGAACATAGCAATAGCTTGGACGTTCTTGTGGATGAAATTCAGAAGAAGTATTGCCTAAAGGCTAAAGAACTGGACTGGGACTCAGGAGATTTGGATTCCATTCTTGGTTCTGCCTCTGGTCTGTGCATGACCTTGGGCAAGTTATTTCCCCTCTGTACTTCAATAGCTCCAGCTGTAAAATAGGTATAATGATACTGACTTTCTTTGATAGCTGATAAAAGCACTATTAAACAGCTAGTTGTCATCATTATAACAGCAGGAAAGAAGGTTAATGGCTAACCTATGGGGAAGGGCATTCTCTGTCTCTCAATCTGTGGGGCTTGAAGAGAACTCTGAGAACTCACAGAGAATCTAACAAACCCATATTAATTTTAATCACGATAATCATGCTTGTATCACGTATTTCATGCCAGTAAAAGACAATCTGTTCAACTGTTTCAAGTCCAGAAAGTACTTCCACAATCTAATGATGCTACAACTCACCATATACCACAGTAGCTTCTTAAAATAACTACTCAAACAAACTGAAACAAAACTCATGATACTCTATGTCACGATGCCAGGTTTCCCACACCCTCGGCTTGGATAACTGCTGCTACCACCAAACTTTGCACATGGAAGTTTTATACTGTGTCACCTCTCACTCTGCTCCCATATTCCAAGGACCCGGTTCCCAGGAGCTAATAAATATAGTAGATGCTCTTTGAAGGCCACGGCAGGAATACCAATCACCATAGTTCCACTCCATACTTGTTTAACAAGCTCTTACTTTATTAATTACATGAACTCATTTACTGTTCAACCAGAGGTGCCCTCTCAAGCAGAGAGAATGTTTTTTTTACAGATGACAATTCAGACTTTCTTCTCTCAAGCTACTGGGTCCCTTGTCCTTCGAACTCAGTCTCAACTTCTCGTTCTCAATAGCCTGGACTCCTATAGTCTCCCAAGAATTAGTCTCTGGCATCTTGAGAATCCTCTCTGATCGCCTGCCAAGTCCCAGAAAAACCCACTTCTCAATTCTCCCTTCCAAAGGTCCTCACCCAATTGCTGGAATTTGACCCAACATTCCATGATGGCTCCTAGCAACCAAATGGGGCCTTGACAGAGTCATCAGCTGTTAAATCACTGTCATGTTCAACCACGTCTTACTTCCCACAACCCCATACATAAAACAACATGAACTGAGCACATCACCCAATATTTTCCACACCATAGCTGTTCCTTCTTCTTCTCAACTTAATCTTTCAAGAGAGGGCAGGAGGGAGGGATCATGAACTACACTTGGCCAACTTAGTTTGAAGGGTCTACTTTTTAACCGGGTACCCCAGGCCAGGCCTGCACAGCTGTAGCACCTGTTCAGAATAAGTTTTGAAAGTTAGACCACACTCTCTAGTCTTAATTTTCCAGTGGTCACCAGAAGTTCTACACCAAGATAAGTTCTGTGAATTAATCAGCACCGGTTGTCTAACACTCACCCATCGTCACAAATTATGTTTACTTTTGCACCAAACCGGTTATTTGTTGCATCAACAAGTCTGCCATGTTCTGGGCTTTCTGGAACACCACAAGATTTTCCTAGTAAAGAACATGATTAATATTAGCACGTTATAATGTTGGAAACCCCCCTAAGATATTTAGAAGAGAATAGGGCAATGTCAGATCAATGATCTGGCTAGTTCAGTATCATGTCTCTTTTTTAAATCCTATTTCATTTAACTGTGGATATTCTATTTACATTAAATGTCTAATCATATCACTTTATCAACTTCAGTGGCAGAGATTCCCACTGCCTCTCACAACAAATTACTTGCGATGCTCTCCTCCAGCAGAAGAAACTTATTACCATAAAGAACACACTATCAGAAATTCAGCATCTCCACATACAGATCAACGCATGTTCAGGGAGCCACAAAGAAAGATGCAAGGAACACTTCTGATTATACTGGTAAATATCTCAGCCCTGCTTTCCATTTTAAAACAGACATTTACCACAGCATGGTATTAACTTTACTGCATTATCTGTGATATTCTACTCCTATTATGGAACAGGGAATGGAAAATGCCACGAACACAACGAGAAGTTTAACTACAGGAAGTACTAACTGTCTAGTGATCAATGGTACCCACTTCACTTTTCCACTTCCATTTAAAGTTCAATTTAAATTTACAATCAATTGACAAAAACAACCCCCCCCCCCCATATTTCAAACTACAAGTCACGGAAGCCCGTGCTGAAATGTGAACCAGCTGCTTAACATAAGACAGTCCTAACTGCCCAAAGATGGCTAGTAGATCAACGGAGCCAGAAAAGTAACAAAAGATACTCACCTAGACAAAACTCAGGGGCTTCCGCCCATGTTAAATTTTCAAGACAAGTAATGACAGGCCTCAATCCAGTACTCTCATAAGCTAGGCGACAGACATAACTCACAGTGGTCCCAACAGGATAGTAATTCTTCCTCAAATCCTCCGGACTTAACTCAGCAGACTTTAACCTTGGTGGGGCAAGACAGCTGCCTAGCAATAAAATAAACAAAACAAAAAACAAGGACTGAAATATTTAGCTCTAAAAGCAGGTAAATAAAATCTGTACTTTTAGCTTTCTGTTTATGTATAAAGCACACACAACATTCAGTGGGCGTGACACTGTAACAAAAGTGAAGGGTGCCAAACAGGCACCCAGCCAAAACGTTTATGAGCTGTACAGTTACAGAATGGGACATGATCATTGTACCTGAGACACATCATAAAATGTGTCTGTGTGGAGAGGGGAATTTAATTTATTTAAGGAAGAGAGGCAAGCACCTTGGGCAAAGTTACTGGGGGCTGTTCCAAGCTCAGTGGATGGCACAAAATAAGGAAGAAGAAGAAAAAGGAAGCAGTCAAGAGAAAGGAAGGTATGGGTGGAATGCAGCATGAAGTCAGAGGAGAGATTTCCCTTCTCCCCTTCATCTCCAAACTAACCGATCATTCTGTTTACAATCATCGCACAGTCTTCTTTTCCCAGCTCTAACCCTCAAACCTCCCCAGTCTGAATCCATGCTCTCCACTCGACTGAAGCGTCTCTCACTGAAGTGTCCCACATCTTCCCTCTGCCTTAGTTCTAGAACGTCTATTCCATTCTCATCCTCCTGTTGACAACATTGGCCATGCCTATTATTGGCGGTCATCATGATCATCTATTGTTTTTTTCATTCCACCCTCTCACGGTTTTCCTATTATTTCTTCAATCTCATACCCTGAGGTCCAGTTTGGTGGATCCTACCAATACCACTTCAGCAAAACTTTGATTGGGTGTACAAGGAAAAGAGGGTGGGTTGAGGAGAGAATCCTCTCTCTCTGTGATCTTATCTGCTCTCACAGCTTTGGATGCTGTATTTATACTGACAACTCTCAAATCTCCCTTTTGGATGCCCTGCCAGCAGCTTAAACGATGCATAAAAAAAAATACCCCTGGTTCCCTCCCAAACCTTTCTCCTCGCCACACTTGTAGTCACCACTAATTAAAAAAACCACCATCCCGTCAGCTGCCCAGCTGTAATGTGGTCATCATTTTTTATTCAGATCTTTCTATGAACTCTCACATCCTGGTTGAATCCAAATCTTGTCCCCTCCCATTTGTAACTTCTCCAAGATCCCAGCTTTTCTTTGTCCAGACCACCCACAGCTCTCAGTTAGGCCCTTGCTTAGATCCTCCTCTTTGGACTTGGCACTGAATTTGTTAAAGCAATTTTGAATAGACCTATTCAATGGGACATGACCTCCTATTTTATAAGCAAAGGATAGCCTAAGCAAAGAAAATAAAATACTTACGACCACAAAACTCTTCTATGTTTGACCACTGTGAGTTTGAAAGGCACACTACAGTGTCCGACTTTCCTGGGATTTTAACAAAACCATTAAGGCACCTATACGTCACTTCTGTGTTGATAGGGAAACCCTCTGTGCGATTAGGATCAGAGGGGATGGCATGACTCAGCCTTGGCAGGGACCCACACTGACCTGTAAGAAAAACAAATTAATTTTAATAGGAGATAATTATTTTAAATAATTTCACACCGCCTTCAGCTGTCACAGCTCCTGATGAGCCTTAGACCCTCCAGGGACTGCCACAGGCCTGATAAGCCCCAGGTCGGGGAGGGGGTGTTCTCCAGTACCCTGTGAGAACAGACTGGCTGGCTTCCCACAGCTGGGGGTTTAAACCGAGAGCTCAGGAAGGGGCGCAGGGTCCCTCAAGAGAAATCTGGGGCCCAGCCCGTCGTGTCTGCTGGGCCCCACTCTGTTCATGCCAGTTAATGAGGTTTTGGCCCTGATCCAGACAAGTGTCCCCCTTCCCCCCTCGACAGCCTCGGAACCCCCACAAGGCCCCAGCGACAGCCAGAGACAACCCAAGGGCCAAAGCCAGCCCCTGGGGAGCGGCTCCCTGCGCGGTCCGGCAGAGTCCCAGTGAGGGCAGCCCCCTGGGGGGCTCAGGCTGGGATCGTCCACAGCCCCCAGACTGCACGCTGAGGTCTCTCGGCCCCTCGGGTCCTAGCACAGCTGCCTCTGTCCCAGACACTCACTGCAAGTCCCAGGCAGCAGCACCACGAATCCGAGGAGCCAGAGTGGGTGGCAGCGGGACGGCCTCGCAGCCGCAGCGACAAACACCATGAGAGGCCCGATCCTCCAAGCCAAGACCAACCGGCTGCCAAGCGAGTGACGGGGCAGGGCCACTTCAGGGAGCACAAGAGCCGCACTGGTGCCCCCCCTGCTCCTCTGGAGAGGTGCCCATGGGCAGCGCTGTAATTACACAGCTGGCTACACTGGCCCTCAGAGGAACCCAGCAACCAGACGGTGCAAAGGGGGCTGAAAATTTCCCCCTTCCCTGCCAGCGCCTTCGGTGTGACGTCGCCTGGCAGCTGCAGCCTTGCCCAGCTCTCCTGAAGTTGCAGAAATTCTGGGCAGCTCAGGCTCAAAGTGTGTGTTTGTGCTCAAGAGTAACGTGTCCCTGAGTCACACAAGGATCCTCCCTCTCCCAGTGCTGGGTCACGGCATCCTCACCTAGCTGAGGTGGCAAAGTAGTGTTTACCTTACCCTGAAGGAATGCACAGTACCCTCACCCTGCTCTCTCGTCTCATTCATCTTCCGACGGCATGAAGGGGGGGGGGAATGCTCCAGCGGGGGAGACAGGCAGGGCCATAAAACAACACAGCCAAGTTCACAAAAGAGAATTTCATGTGCAAAACATGCAGTCACTCTAAGTACTACAGAGTTGATTTTAGTTTCATCCATGCTTTGTGCCTATTGTTTGCTCTATTACTGAGTTTGACAGTCCCTGAGCAGTGAGGGTGTTCAGCACAGCACAGGATCAGACTCTCAGGAGTTGTTTACAGTAGAAAAGTTGTACTCCCTTTAACTACAGCAGCAGAGCGAATCTTATACAGCCCCCCCCTACTGTGGACTCGGCTATATCAGAAAGATGCTTATAGCATTCTAGTGATTCTTGTAGGGGCAAGGGAGTAAGTTAAAGCTGCAGAAGTCACCTTTGGTCCATTATAACTACATCCATAGTAGGGCTTTTTACCACTGTAACTTTTTTTAAAAGTGAAAATCACTCCCCTAACAGAAATAGTTACACTTGCAGTGCTGTGTAAGCGGACACCAAGCCTTAGTGAAACATTCACCTTTGTTCGTGCAACTTCCTTCACGGTGGTCCACTCACGAAGTGGCCTTTTAACTCCGGTTGTAAAATGTGCTGGAAAGTGGACTGTCGCTACACATTCACCATAAAGGCAGCAACGCAATTACTGGGTGGTCAGACTTTCACCAGACAGCGAGTACAGTAGCCACAACAGACATACCGCTACGATGAAATACACTGTAAAATATAAACCAATGCAAATCAGTTAAGGAAATAGTTACATGGTAAGTGGAAAACAAACAAACCCTATGAGGAAGCACTGATAACTGTGTGACGTACTGAACATAGGAAAATCAGGTGCAGTGAGCATTCAAATTACTTGGACAGAAACCAAATCACAGCAGCACAACCTAAGCTATGAAGTAAGTGGCTGGGTAATGAGAAAGTACCATATATTTGTATGTCTGCATTTCGCCATAGCACAAGGTGAAAAACACACAAACAATGGTCTCAGCCTGGGACCAATCTCCTCAGTTCAAGTCTTTGACTTCCCAGCCATCTTGTTACCGTCAGTGTAGGTAAGGGAGGAGAGAGGTAATCTCATGATGTCACTGTCCCCCACTTTATACCCTCAGGCCATGTGCCTGGAAAATACTAGCCCAGAGGCGTCCCAGTGGGCTTTGCTGAGTCCCAGAGTTGGGCAAAGCATATTGTGTGCTGCTTGCACAACTCCCCTACAGAATTGTAAGTCACAACTCCCCTGCTGATCAATGGTCACCCAACCCCCACCTGGATGTGGATCACCTCCCTCACTGTCTCTGGAGAAACAGCGGTGGGTGACTCCCAAACTCACAATACATTTCCAAAAACCACCATAGCAGAATCTCCTTACCTCATACAGACCAATGGTATACATACCTTGACAGAACAATGGGCTTCAGCAGATCACAACCTTTCATAGGATATCACACATGGCATGCCTTGTATGAAATATCACGACCACATATAAATGATGAATATGGGGGTTATAGGGTACTACTTTAAGGTAACATGTGCCACAGTGGGGTCTCAGAGAAGCTATATTGCCCATAAACTAAAACAAATGTATAGTAGGAGTTTATGAAAAACTAATTTCATTTTCTGAGCCAGAGCAATGAGTCGTCATGCAGCAACACACAAGCCAGGTGTTGTAGCACATACATCTGCCTTTTTGGGGTTTGTTGGGTGGTTCTCCACCTACCAGGGGAGCTGGGATTTTAATAACGACGCAGCTCACGTTTCAGAGGGTCTGAGAGATTCTTCAGGATCTGGTCAGAACTTCTAAAAGATGGTTAGTTAGAAGTTAACATTTCAGGTCTGTCAATCTTGCTGATGGGTCATTTAGCACTGAACTTCAGGCACAACCCTGCAAGGTGTAGGGCACCTTATGGGAGCTGCTGAGTGTCCTCAAATCCCATTGACTTCAATGGGAGTGGAGAGCACTGAGCCCCCTGCAGGATTGTGCCCTCAGGGAATTTGTGCACAATGCGTCAGAGAACCTGTTCCACCGAGTCTCAGAGACCAGGTCACCCTGACTCTCCCCCCACCATTCCCAGGGTCTCTGAGTCCAGGCTTCAGCTCAAACCCAAATGTTTACAACGCAATTTAATAGCCTCACAGCCTGCAGCCGAAACAACTGACCGGGGCCAGCTACAGCTGTGCGGTGGGTCTTTTATACCCCTCCCCGAATGCAGCCACCTTTGGGGAGCAAAGTACCTCCTGTTTAACAGCACACAGCAACTTTACATAAGTTTAGGGCAGGAACCGAGGACACCAGGGTGAATGCTTTGACTTGCAGGAATGGCCTTAGGATTTGTAATGGCCACGAGCTGTCAAAATCTTGGTTTTACCTCTCATCTGAAACAGAACAGCACTCGACAGCATGCTCGGATTCATTGCTACATCCGGAGGGAAGAGTGCCGCCTTCTTCCAGCAAATGATTTTTCCAGGTCTCCCATCCATGTAATAACCAGATCCAACACTGTGTAGTTCATGAAGTGTGAGGCGTTCACAGCTTGCATTGTCACCGATACTAAAGAGAATTAATCAAATAATGGTGAGTAATATTGGTTGCTAACTTTTGCAATGCTTCCATCAAATTACTGGTGCATACATTTTCCCAATAATTAATAAGTTTTAAGATGAAATCCGAGTGCTATTCAGAAAGGTACAGATGACACAAGTAACATCAGTTGCTAAGGCATCTGTGGGTAAAACGTATTTTTATACAAAATGCATAAGAGCCAAATTTGACTTACTGCATTTACCCAACTGGCTAAAATGCCTGTGATGAACAAGCTGAAAACATCTTTTATACATGAAAATGAAATTTATTTCATTAAAATTAAATGTATTTCACTTGATTTCCCAATTCTAAGTTGATTCAGGGATGTATAAGCCAAAACATGAGCAGCAATTATAATGGTTTCCTTTCAATGGGATAATCGTTATGGCAACAGGTCTGTGTGGCAAAAACAAGTAGGTAACCATACAGTAGAAACTCCCTAGAGAAGCTGCTAGTGACACCGTAGAGCCCTTTTGGAGTCTTTGAAGTCAGCCCCAAAGGCTTGTAAGGAAATAGCCCTCAAATCCACAATTGATCTCCATCCCCAGGGAGAAGTGGTTGTGATGGGTTAGATCAGGTGGCAGTTCCCAAGGGGGTTTCTGTGATGTGCCTAGACTACCTCTGAGCCTGTTTTCCCTGCCAGCTTGGGACTTCAGTTCCTTGCCTTGTTTGAGCCAGACACGCTTGCCTACTGCAAACACAGATCCAAGTCTGAACCACGTCCCGCACAAGCTGCAGGCTTAACTGAAAACAGCTTAAAAAGTGCTCCTGTCTCCAGAACTCAGATACCCAGCTCCCAAAGGGGTCCAAACCCCAAATAAATCCATTTTAGCTTTATACAGGGTAAACTCATAAATTGTTCGCCCTCAATAACACTGATAGAGAGAAATGCACAGCTGTTTGCCCCTCCACCCCCAGGTATTAATACTTACTCTGGGTTAATTAATAAGTAAAAAGTGATTTTATTAAATATTTGGAACCACTTAAATCCTACTTTTTGTAAAAAAACAGACAGAGCAAAGTAAATTACCAAACAAAATAAAACAAACCAGGCAAGTCTATGCCTAATACAGTAGGAAACTAAATGCAGGTAAATCTCACCCTCAGAGATGTCCCAACTTCTAGTCTGGGTCCAGAAATCACTCACACCCCGTACTTACTGTCCTTTGTTCCAGTTTCTCTCAGATAGTCTCTCCACCCCAAAGGATATCTCTTGAGCCAGCTGAAGACAAAATGGAAGGGTTTAAATAGACTCTCTTTTGTGGCTGGAAACCCCTTCTCCTCTCCTATGCAGAATCCAGCTGCAAGATGGAGTTTTGGAGTCACATGGGCAAGTCACATGTCCATGCATGACACAGAACTTTACAGGCCGACACCACATTCCCAGGAAAGCTCAGATGTGGACTGGCATCTCTCAAAGTTCATTGTTAGCTTAAGTGTTTCTTGATTGGGCACTTACTGAGAATAGTTTTTTCTCAAGCAGCTGACCAACTGCTTCACTGAGGCTACTTAAAATCAAACAAGTACACAGCCAATATTCATAACTTTGAATACAAAAATGATACAGGCATGTAAATAGGATGACTATATACAGTAGATCATAACCTTTGCAGAAATATGTTACATGGCATATCTAGCATAAAACGTATTCCAGTTAGGTCATATTTACACTCATAAGCATATTTCTATAAAGCATTACGGGGTGCAACGTTACAGTGGTTATTACACATCAAGGACTATGTCCATTTCATACAAATCACACTGGAACACTTGCACATGTTGATCTGTTGGCTAGAGCCACAAACTAAAGACCAAACCACGTTGGTGCTAATTAACATTTGTGTTAAGTATCAGGGGGTAGCCGTGTTAGTGTGTATCCACAAAAACAACACGGAGTCTGGTGGCATCTTAAAGACTAACAGATTTATTTGGGCATAAGCTTTTGTGGGTAAAAACCCCACTTCTTCAGATGCAACTGAAGAAGTGGGTTTTTACCCACAAAAGCTTATGCCCAAATAAATCTGTTAGTCTTTAAGGTGTCATTTGTGTTAAGGACTCTCAAGGAACTCAGAGGACCAGAGGATTACAGCCTCTGTCTTACGCTTTTAGAGATCCAGATTCAGGATCTAGAGCAAAGTGACTATTAGTGGGTTTCATCCCAGTCCCTATTTATGCAATTCATCAAGTCCCTGGAAAATTCAGCTGGCCTGGCCGTTTCCACACACCAGAGTCTCCAGACTGAAGTAGGCGAGAGCATCACCGGCAAGAATCAGTTTTTATTTTGCCTGAGCTGGGGAGTGAAAGGAAGGATTAATTGTGAAGTAGAAGGGCATAATCTAGATAGAATTAAGGGGAAGGGACCGCACTATGGGGGGTAATGCTGCAGCTCAGGAGTGAAGAGGCTGACAAAGCTGGGTGGAGGAAGCGTGCACTGTGTGTAGGTGTAGCTGCCCCTGCTCTGTGCTATTCTTCCCTCACTTTTACAAGCACTCAACTGACTCGAACAAAAAAAAAAAAAGAAAAAAGAAATCAAAGCTAGATGTTTACTAGAGCAGGAGCGAAATTCTACAAAGTTTCTCCTGCTGCAAGTTGAAACAGTATTTTGTTATTGTGTGTCAGTGTATGTGCATTTTTCAACACATATATACTTAAAGGCAGCCTTAATATCTTCCAGCACAACAGCTGGATCACACATGTAGATTGCCTTTGCCACCAGAGCAAGAGCACCTGCTGAGAGTGTGAATCTCACTGTACTAAAAGTGCCATTTCAAGGCTGAATGAGTCAATTACAAAGAAAACTGTCAGGGGGTTTGGTCTTTAATGTTTCCAGGAACCCACAAAAGCAGCTGAAGAACTGAAGTGCCAACAAACAGCACTGCAGATTTTCTTCCTGGGCTGATGCCTCCTGCTAAAGGGTTTAGCACTGGAGCACAAAAGAACTGACATGAAAGGTATTTGGCAGAGATGTGAACTTTACACAACACTTGTTTCTGTACTTGGATATGGGAAATGGGATGACTTAATTTGGAATGGGAGAGGCAAGATAGCTGTCCAGAAAAGCGTACATTGTGTTGCTTTTGGCAAAACGTGAAAAGGGGAGGGGAGGGGTGTGACTGTCCCTGCGTAATGTGAAGACGCTGGGAGGAGATAGAATCAAAGTACAGTGCAAAGTGTGTGTCTCAAATTCACCGTTGGGGTAAAACTGGCCCTACTCGATGAACTCAGGTTTATGCCCATTTACACCAGCTGAAAATTTGGCCCTGCGTTCACAATATAAGAGGGAAGGCCATTATAAGCAGAGTACCGTGCTCTCAGAAGAAAATGCCCACTTTGAATAATTCACCCCATGTCAGCTCTAAGTGAGCCCTCAGAACCACCAACAGAACTTGCTTCGCATTAGCGCCTCTCAGAAAGGCTCCCTGGCCCTGCCTTGCCTGGCTGTGTTCTCCAGCACCTCTGTCTGTTCTTCTACTCCAGCCCCACTGCCTTAGGGCTTGGCCTTGCTGGAGTTGCACGGTGAACTGGCTGTTTTCGGCTCTTCCATCGCGCATTCAGACCACAGCAGCACTGATTTGCACATTATCTCCCACCGGGGACTTGGTCAGTTCTAATTCTGGCCTCTGCTGACCTCTGGCCCATTCTCATTCCTCTTACTGCAGCACCAAAGCAGATATGGCACAGCAAGAGGCATCCTGTCCCCTGACCAGGCTCTTTTCTCACCAAGGGCCCTGGTGAAAGCTCTGCACATGCCTGACTCCAGTCATATTAGTGCTGAACTTTACGTTGGGGCAAGTCCTGCATATAAAACCTGGCCTCTGGACCCTACTTAAAAGTGGAATTAAGCCCTGTCCACAGAATGAGTTGGACATCCCTGCTGCACCGCCTAGCTTGACTAACGTATTATAGCATCATAGGAATTAGGGCTGGAATTTACCTCAGGAGCTCATGTTCTCCCAAGGAAAGCAAGCTTGTCAGTAGAAGTCAGGGTCATACCAAGCATAGTTGTGGACTTAATGAGCTATTATTGACCACCACTTATGGCTGTAGTGGAACACTTATTTGTTCCCCCGTTAAGCTATAAACTGGCCACGTTTGTCTTTTTACACCTATTGAAAGCAAGCCCATAACTGATGCAACTGAGCACCTCACAAAACAATCTAGAGGAACAGTCTACAGGGCCTCCCAAGAATTTTGCAATTTGTCTTTCTGTAATTAGAGAAATTAGAACTTTGCTTGTCCCCTTCTTTTCCTTCTTTTAAGCACAGGCTGGAGTTGGAGTGAGATTGTGTGAGTGACAGAGGAAAACAAATCAATGGAGCCTTGCATTTTGTCACGAAGGCAGTCAGGCTCATTGTTCTGGTCAGCGGTGGCCTGGGCCAGCGACTGACTGGGATGTGTTTCCAACTTGCATTAGTCTTGCCCTACCCAGTGAAGGTCTCATTTTGCACAAGGATAGCCACTGCCTGGAGAGGTCATGCAGGCATAACCGAAGAATCGCCTTCCTCTGCAGCCTCTGCTTAGAACAGAAGAGTACTCAAACAGTGTTCTTACACTTCAGTTCCCTGTACAATCATCTTTGCTTAGGCTACCTAGCCTCCTATGAGTCCACCCAAAGTTAACTGTAAAACAGAAGACTTGAGGAAATTAAAAAGAACAGTATCTTTAAAAAACCCTCCCATTGTTAGCCAGGATTTTACAAACCTGAAACTGGGGTAACTTCACCTGTTTTCTCCAGGTGGAGTCAGGAATCAATGGGGAGACAGCACGTCCCTCTGATAAATGACTGGTACAAAGAGGAGTGATTTCCCCTAATGCTCCTTCTTTATTGAATCTCAAGCACACACTTATGCACAAGAGCAATAGGTTTAGAGCATCCCAAACAGTTACCCAAAGTCTGAAATTGTTTCAAGTGATCAACAGCTTTGCTCACGGGTGGGGGGAGGCAGCTCCTTCCATCCAGCTTCTGGGGAGAAGAGGTCAGTCTCTCTCCCAAGAAAAGCTCCTTTGAACTGCTCCAAAATATATTCTTTTAAAGTTTTATTGCTAACTCCTAGTGACTCCTACTAGTCACCATAGTAACCACTAGTGGGTCACTAATTCCCCTAGCTTCAGCAAATTGCTCCTTATCCATTATCAGCAAAGCATGTCTAGTCATAATTAAACTTATGTCAGGGGCACTCAAAGCCAAGGTCACCTATCCCCCCACTCCCTTCCATTCTCATGCTCCATTAACTGTTCCATCCTCCCATTTGGATTAGCGAAATTGCAATCATGCAGCTATTTGGCCTAGCCTCTCAGAGCCCTAACAATATGTTATTTGTTTTTCAGCTAACAGGGGCTGGACACAAAATGGTTGCAGTAATGTAGAGTTTCATTCTCCCATAACATCCCTTCTGTCTGATTTTAATCCCACTACGGTTACTTGTAGCCTAAATTACTGAGGATGAAATTAGAGAAGACACTCAAGACATACTTAATTTACTTTGTCACTTTTGTAGGTTCTCCCCTATCACAAGAACCAGACAAACATTTCGATATATGACAAAGACATTCCAGAGATAATTAGATTGTAAAACCAGAGACCTTGGAAGGGGGACTCCAGAACCCATGTAACAACTGAAACTACTCTACTTTTCTGCACAGCCCTCCCAGATTGGCTAGATTTAGCCAATTCCCCCCCCCCCCCAAGGATCCTTAATTTGTCTTGCTCTTACTGAATCTTTCCATGGCATTGTAGGCAAATAACTACTTTAGCCCCACAGATATTCAAGTATCTTACAGTGGCTTTCTACAATTAAAGCAATATTGGTTTGAGATGGAGAAAGTGAAATATTAAAAAACTGAAAGCTTAAAAATGTTTTTATTTGCTTACCAAGATAATGGGTATTCTCAATATAGAGCGAAGAAATTAAAGTCAACTGAAATAGAAAACTCATGAATATCAGTTAACAGATCCCAGGAACAATCCATACATAGGGAAGCATCACTTAGTACCTTAGATTATACCAAATATTTTATTTGGAAGTTAGCAGAAAGAGTACAGCATGGACGAGGCAAGTGAGCTGCTCCCAGATTATCTAACATTGAAGGCAGGCAGGTTTCTCAGGGCTCTTTCATATTTCAGACACAAAGACAATGAGAAAAGTCCTTCACAAAAATTTCATGGGATCATCGGAATATCTGCGTGCATAGTTCTTCTGCAATCTTCAGAGATCTTAAGGGTTCTCTTATACGTGTCTAGGCTCCCCTCTACTAAGCTGTACTGTCCAGTTTACCAGAAGAAGATGTAGCCCATTTCAACTTCAAAGTGGAGGTGCAGCAGGCACTTCAAATAAGCGTTAAATAGATAATATTGGAGTACTGTCATTCACAAATCAAAAGTTTGTACATGTGTGAATAATGGGTCAGATCTACCTTTTCAGGGCATGGACTGTCATTTATACAGTGTTTATACACCCCCTAGCATAAAAGGGCCCAACTTGGTTGTTGCCTTCAGGAGCTACTGCAATTTAAAATGTTAAACAATAATTATCCTTGTGCATTAATCCACAGGACATTAGGTGCTATAGTGGAAAGAGGGAAAGGAAAGAAAGGTCCAGGAATGAGAGATTTGCCGTAAGTGATCCATTTAAAGTGCAAAGGTTTAAGTATGTGTCCAAATTCAGTTGAAATCAATCCACTCGATAATCCACAAGAGCTAAGCATATATCTGAACTCAGCAGTTTCCTAACTATGGGTCATGACCTCAAGTGGGGTCATGCCATCAGCAGTTGGGTCACAATCCCATGTGCAGCGGACACCATTTTGCTTTACAAAATAGCATCCCCTATGTTGTCTGCAATGGCTGGAGCAATCAAGTCTGAAAATGGGGTCATGCAGGCAAAACAGTCTGGGGACCACCAAATTAACTCCGCGCTTTTTCCTTTAACTTCGATTTCTATCAGTTACAAAATTTACTTAACACAAATTTCATGGGGCAGTAAACATGCCTTTTAGTATCAAGGGGAAGCATGACCATGTGACAAATCAGGGTTTTATAATTCAGTGCTAAATGTCTTCATGCTAACAAATCTGCATAACAGGGTGACAACTCCACACATAAAAGAATCTGAATGACACTCAAAGAATGCGTTAGAGGTGCATGGTTCACCCACTATACTACACAAGTGGCAGTGGGTTTAGACCCTTAAAGTCTATAAACCCATGAGCTCTATGTGGCTAGGATCTAACATATGATGCTGCTTCTCTAAGCAGGGCTAAAAATATAAGCCCCCTCTGAAAATCTACTCAAGCCACTCCTAACTTGTTTTGTTTACTCTGGGAATTTACTTTCAGATGTATAAAGAAAGAAAAACAAATTGCTCTTGGGGAACAAATAAAGATCACCCATAACTTTTGTGGAAAATACTGGTGTGAACAAAATCAGCTAGAGGGCTCAACATCCTCCTTGCATGGAGCAAGATTAAAGAACGTTTTACCTTTTCCCCCCCAGGAAGTTGGGGGAGGGGTTGGTATTTCCAGATTGGAATAACCGTTGGGTTAGGCTTTGCAAAGGAGAAACATATCAAATGTATGGTGAGGAATTTACATCAGCATAGCTATGTCTCAGAGGCGTGGATTTCTCACACCCGAGACATGCAGCTCTGCTGACCTAACCCCTGCTGTTGATAGTAGTAGGCTGATGGAAGAATTCTCCTGCTGACCTAGCTACTGCCGCTCGGGGAGCTGGATTACCTATGTGGATGGGAGAACCTCTCTCGTCGGCATAAGTAGTGTCTATGCTAAGTGGTGCACCTGCAGCTCTTCAGCCATGTAGCAGCTTATTTAGTGTAGTCATGCCCTGGTCTGAGATGTGTCTTAGAACTTTAAAGTGTGGAAGAACAAAAATGCAGGCACTAGGAGAGGCAGAATTGCTCCCAAGTTATTTATGGTGGATCAGCTGTTCTATAAAGCTTAAGCTTTCAACAACGTCAGTTTTAAAAAGATATTTATTGAGATGTTTAAGCTAGAAAAAACAATTTCCTCAATTTAGGTGCTTGCCTAGTAATTAATACTTTTCCTGGTGCATTACAGTAGACCAAGAAGCAAATACTAAATGCCAGTCACCTTTGCTTTGAGGGTAGGCCAACTCCAAAGTACATTTGTTTTTTCACTGTACAATAAATGGATGCCTCTTCAATGAAGGACAAAAGAATAGTCACATCTATGTTGCTGCAGAGGGATAGGCAAAGCTTTCTACATTCCTGCCATCTATTCCATTAGGGATAGCAGGAGTCTAAAGTAAAGAGGAATTATGACATTTAATATTAAACAAAAAAGTTTCAGTTAAAAGTTAATTACTTAAAAGGCTTTTTGTTATTTGTCCCAAATTCCAAGAGGGAAGGGTATTTAGCAATTTGTTCATGTAATTACCACTGTATTTTAGAAAGATTTGAGGCATTACCTCTGTCAGATATTGGACACAGTTCTCAAGTTTTGCCCCACCCTTTCCCCAGCACTGCTCATTGCCTCAGACTCCAGCCTGACAGCACAAACCTTGAGAGACTGCCTCAAAGCACAAACCACCCTTACATGAATCACAGGGCAATACAGCTGCTTGACCTGCAGCCTATGGGGACAAGCTCCTCAAGTGTTCCAGCAGCATACAGCTAAGCTGGAACTTTTCCAAGAGCACAACTGGTACTAGACCAGACAGCAGGCTGTGGATTTTTACAGATCCTCCCTCCTCAAGAAGGGTCCGAAAGTGGTGTAGTTTTTTTTTTTTTTTTTGGAGGTTTTCAGAAAGCTCACTGGGAACAGAGATTTACCATTTTTTCATTCCAAAGGAACTTGAGATTTTAAGCATGTAGTCAGAGTTAGGGGTAGGAGGGACTTTACCCATAAGGGTTACTAGTCTTTCACTCCTTGAAACAAAACAACCTATCCTACTTCTAACCTCAGCTCCATACCAAAGCCAACATCTCTGGGCACAAGCTCGTTTTAAAGCATTATGAGAGTCTTAGATTGGCAAGCTGAAAGCACCTTATTCCACACAACTTTTGCTTCCAGATACATTTAGTAAGAAATGGTCCAATTAACTTAAACCATGATCTTATTCTTCTTCATTCAGGTGCATCTGGTTCCTTGTCCAATAGTCTAGAAATTTGGACTGCATTTCTGGCCATAAAAGTAACTGTCAACCTATCAGTACTAGCATGACCGGGGAACATTACATAGCAAGAAACAACTCGCGCTACAGCAGTAGGCAAAATCCTTCATCATTGTTCCTTTGATCTCAGTGGAGCTATGACTGTTTACATCAACTCATGATTGGCCCCCAGAAGCTTTGGAATCCCTTTTAGTATCTTTCTTGTTTCTTTCTATAAAGAAGATTCCCTATCATCTGTTTCAACTCAAGTCTCTATTTGTTATAAGATCTAGGCAGTACAAATCCTCCCATCAAGCCAAGATTTTAGCAGCCTAGACTTCAGTGGGCACAAAATCCAAAAACTCTGCACTCAAACCTGGAACAGAGCTGGGTTCTCGTTTGAAGCGTGAAAGGCCAGGAATCACAGCCCATCTTTGGTCAAGTTCCGTTTCAAAGTTCTGCCCCTGAGCATTTGGTTTTGTAGCACGAACCTTGAGTAGGTTTGAGATTACCCTTTGATACTCAGTTTCCAGAGTCAGCCAGCAGCTTTAAGTCATTCACCACAGCCTGATACTCTCTCTTCCTCACGGATGAAATCCACTCTTGCACCAAATTGGAAATCTGTTATAGCAGCAGTTCTGCCATGCTCCTGTTCTTCTGGATAGCAAAGATCTCTCTAGGATAGAAGGAGATTAATATTAGGCCGTTGTCCCACTGTCCATGGAAAAAGAAACAGGTTTTGATGTGTATTGTATAAGGTTCTCTTGTTTTTGGATACAGTATCAAGAGGATCAGTCAGGCTCTCCTATTTATCCTCTCATAATGGAGGAAGGAGACATCCAATGAATTGAAAGCAAAAACATTTAAAACAAAGATATTTCAAGATGTTAAGATCAACGCAGCCAGGACTGAACTCTGACCCAGCTGTAAACAGAAGACTATACTAACCGCACAAGAATGTCTTGTAGATCAATTGAAACAGAAAAGGAAAGAGGCTCACTTGCACAGAACCCTGGGACTTCTGACCATTTTAAGTTTTGAAAGCACTTGGCGCTGGGTAATACTCCAGAGATTCCCATGTAACTTTGGCTGCAAATAGATCTTTCCTTGGTTCTGACAGAACAATAGTTCTGATTAATGTACAGTGGTACAGCAAATCTGAACAGTGGTGGAGTAATCCAGCTACCTAATAATAAAGAAAAAATGTGAGAACTGAAAGCCTTAGCTGTAAGCCTAGGCATGAAAATTCACTTCCTCCCTCTAGTCTGCCAGAACCCAGATTTGGTGACCTTCAAGATATGGTACAAGACTCACCTCGTGTCCTCAGGTCACCTCTGGGAAATGAGGAAGAATGGGAGGAAGTGATGGTGAAACGTGTGTTTTGGAATCGTGATACAGAATACGGTCTGCTTTTTATTTTCTTTTTCTTATGTTGGTCAAGTACCACGTTCTTGGATGCAGTATAAGAACCTGAATAGAATAAAATGGACTAAAGTTGGTATTTTAACCCCTGCCCAGTTTTGAAAGGAACAATCACAAATATGTCAAAGATTATGTCTAACCAAAGTACATTATAGGATTTCTAAAAAAGCAAAAATTAATTTTCTAGCAGTTGAAGAGCTACCACCAAATCAGACTTTTGTTTATTCTTGTTCAACTACTGGGGAAATGTTACTCTGTATTTACAGATACAGTTCTGCAGCACATGTACGATATCAGCTCTACCGGCTTCAGTGAAGCTCCGATAATTTATACTAGCTAAGAATCTGTTCCAAAGCAAATACCTTCTCTTAAAAACTGTTCTAACCTCTGTCAGTGCACTTCCAGACCTTATATTATTCTGAACCCATTTATCAGTATATTACTGACCTCAGACAGCACCTGTTAAACCCCTCCTATATTCTTCACCCAGCATCTTATGTTCACAAAGCCATACGTTTAGTAAACTACCAGAAAATACAACTGTAAGAAGTGCTTGGGAGTAAGGGGCAGATAGATAACCAAGTTCTCTCCCAAAATTTTACAGCAGTGTTACCACTAACAGTTTCAAAAATTATACAAGTTAGATCATGGAAATAATCCATGAAAATTTAGTGTACAATGTGAAATTGTGGAAACTACATCTTTAAACAAACCCAAGTTCTTCCAACTCACCTGAGAAAGTACTACTTATTTCCTTTTAATAGGACATGTGCAGTTGTGTCTACAGCAAAAGGAGGGATAAAAAAACATTCAAAGTCTCACATCATTCTTTTATGAACAGCCCCTCAGTGATAATTTCCTAAATATCAGTGCATATTAAGATGAAACATTGTTAAGGTCTTTTTAAAAGTTGGCCATGCAACTTATAATTAAGTTATTTTGTGCCTAGCAATAATAGTTTTACCTGGTGCAAAAAAGTAGCAGAGGAAGACACTAAACACACATTACTCACCATTGCATTTAGGAGCAGGTCCACTCCAGATTCCACTTGTTTTATCTTTTGTTGTACAATGAATGGAAGCAGCTCCAATAAGCCGGAACCCACGGTCACATCTGTAAGTTACTGTTGAGTTATAAGCAAAATTTTCTACACCCCTGCCATCGTATGTCCCATTGGCAATGTAAGGAGGGAAAGAACAAGTAATCACTGCAGGAAAATAGAAGGTCATGAATATGAATGTTTGAGTGTTGTTGTAGCTGTGTTAGTCTTAGGATATGAGAGAGACGAGATGATACTGAGAGCCCTGTGTAGCTTGAAAGCTTATCTTTCACCAACAGAAGTTGGCCCTAAAGAGTTGATCTCACTAACCTGGTCTCATTAATATTAATAAAAGTTTCAGTTAAAAGTGCAAACATTTACTTAACAAAAAGTTTATCTAAGATCCTTAAAAGAAGAAAAAATATTTAGCCATTTGAAAATGTAGTTAGTACTGTATTTTAACCAAGTTTGAGAGAGAGAGTTTCCTCCCTCCGATTCGGAAGTCTTCCTTCTTTCAAGCTTTACTCCATCCTCTTCTAAATGTTATCATGCAAACTGGCGCTGGTCCCCATGACATAGGGCCCTGGCAAAAACTCTCTCACCAGAGCACACCCATTCCAAAACATTACTCATAGGAAAGAAGGGTTTCATGACCTTGGGGAACAGTGATAAGGTCTTCAAGTATTCCACAGCTGGAATATTAAAACATTTCTCATAGCAACAGCATGGCTGACAGACCCTCCACATAAGTGTCCAAAACAGGAGAGAGGCAAATGAACTATGAGAGGATTTAGATTGAGTTCTACTCCAAAGAAACCTCAGATTTAGGTGTTTAGGGAAGGTTGGATTTGTCTTACCTTGGCAAGTTGGAAGTTTACTCCATTCAACTTCATCTCCCTTAAGCTCACATTGAATGAAAGGCCGACCAATTAATTTGTACCTAAATAAAAAACACACACACAAAAATGAGTATCAAGTTTCTTACCTAGTTCTTTGATTGCCTGTGTAACTGTCTGGCAATTTGGAATATGGATTCTTTCAGCTTACAGGTGGTGACTTATGACCTGGGTGAAGCCTTGTTATGGGTTGAGTTAAAACCTCATTGAGATGGATGGGTGTCAATGTACCCTTCCATTAATATAGTTGTGAGAAGTCCATCACAATGCCCCACCTAAAAACAGAGATAATGTGAACCCACTCAGGAGTTTTGCACTGTGTGGAGGAAAGGTTTTTGCTGAGAGGTTGTTTTTTTTTTTTTAAAGGGTATCTGTCAGGGGTCGCAAAGCAGAACAGAATCAGGGAGACTGAGACAATCTGAACAAAGCCAAGCAGAAGCTTGTAAGCACGGTGTGACCTTGAAAGAAACTTAGAGGTTGTGGGTCAAGGGTGCTGGATGAAAAGAAACTTGGGCATGTAAGCTAAAGACACTACTCCTTTGCCGCCTTTGGTTTCTCCTGCATTTGGAGAAGCGGGGCTTTCTACATTCCTTGCAAATAAGCAAGGCTGCATCAAAGAAAATACCCGATTCCATCATCAATTTCTACTTCCAACTGGAACATCATCAGGGGCCTGAACTTTGACTAGCCACTTGGTCAAAAATGGGCAACAGACATTGAATAAGATTGTTCCTGCTGTGAATACCAGCATGACCAAGGCACAAGTAGTAAAAGGCAATTTAAGCAAGCAAATAGGTGGATACAACACACTCTCTGCAAGCTTAATGGGTTTATACTGAATCAAACACTTGGGAACAGTCATTAATCCTGTGCACAGCAAAACGGTGGATTCTCTGCCCTCTAATTTGCACATTGTAGGGATCCTTACTTCTTCCATTGCTAGAGAAGGCAGAAAGAGTCCCTAAAACAGCCCCAGTTACTCAGTGTGATGAATCCCCAAAGAACTAGTAATTTTAGTTACTGTCAGACTGTTCAGAGTGTTTTCACACGTGAAAGGGTTTAGACTTTAGACTGGCCATATTTTAAAGAATCCTTATTGAGGTTACAGGGACAAACCATCCCGATGTGTAGAAAGAATAGTAAATATGGCAGGCAACCAGCTTGGCTTAACAGCGAAATCCTTGCTGATCTTGAACACAAAAAAGAAGCTTACAAGAAGTGGAAGATTGGACAAATGACCAGGGAAGAGTATAAAAATATTGCTCGGGGATGCAGGAGTGAAATCAGGAAGGCCAAATCACACCTGGAGTTGCAGCTAGCAAGAGATGTTAAGAGTAACAAGAAGGGTTTCTTCAGGTATGTTAGCAACAAAAAGAAAGTCAAGGAAGGTGTGGGCCCCTTACTGAATGAGGGAGGCAACCTAGTGACAGAGGATGTGGAAAAAGCTAATAATGTACTCAATGCTTTTTTTGCCTCTGTCTTCACGAACAAGGTCAGCTCCCAGACTACTGTACTGGGCAGCACAGCATGGGGAGGAGGTGACCAGCCCTCTGTGGAGAAAGAAGTGGTTCAGGACTATTTAGAAAAGCTGGACGTGCACAAGTCCATGGGGCCGGACGAGTTGCATCCAAGAGTGCTAAAGGAGTTGGCAGATGTGATTGGAGAGCCATTGGCCATGATCTTTGAAAACTCATGGTGATCCGGGGAAGTCCCTGACGACTGGAAAAAGGCTAATGTAGTGCCCATCTTTAAAAAAGGGAAGGAGGAGGATCCTGGGAACTACAGGCCAGTCAGCCTCACCTCAGTCCCTGGAAAAATCTTGGAGCAGGTCCTCAAGGAATCAATTCTGAAGCACTTAGAGGAGAGGAAAGTGATCAGGAACAGTCAGCATGATTCACCAAGGGCAAGTCATGCCTGACTAATCGAATTGCCTTCTATGACGAGATAACTGGTGGATGTGTTGTTCCTTGACTTTAGCAAAGCTTTTGACTCGGTCTCCCACAGTATTCTTGCCAGCAAGTTAAAGAAGTATGGGCTGGATGAATGGACTATAAGGTGGATAGAAAGCTGGCTAGATTGTCGGGCTCAACGGGTAGCGATCAATGGCTCCATGTCTAGTTGGCAGCCGGTATCAAGTGAAGTGCCCCAAGGGTCAGTCCGGGGCTGGTTTTGTTCAATGATCTGGAGGATGGTGTGTCTTGCACCCTCAGCAAGTTTGCAGATGACACTAAACTGGGAGGAGAGGTAGATACGCTGGAGGGTAGGGATAGGATACAGAGGGACCTACACAAATTAGAGGATTGGGCCAAAAGAAATCTGATGAGGTTCAACAAAGACAAGTGCGGAGTCCTGCACTTAGGACAGAAGAATCCCTCGCACCGCTACAGACTAGAGACCGAATGGCTCGGCAGCAGTTCTGCAGAAAAGGACCTAGGGGTTACAGTGGACGAGAAGCTGGATATGAGACAACAGTGTGCCCTTGTTGCCAAGAAGGCCAATGGCATTTTGGGATGTATACGTAGGGACATTGCCAGCAGATCGAGGGACGTGATCGTTCCCCTCTATTCGACATTGGCGAGGCCTCATCTGGAGTAGTGTGTCCAGTTTTGTCCAGCCCGACGCTACAAGAAGGATGTGGAAAAATTGGAAAACGTCCAGCAGAGGGCAACAAAAATGATTAGGGGACTGGAACACATGAGTTATGAGGAGAGGCTGAGGGAACTGGGATTGTTTAGTCTGCAGAAGAGAAGAATGAGGGGGGATTTGATAGCTGCTTTCAGCTACCTGAAGGAGGTTCCAAAGAGGATGGATCTAGACTGTTCTCAGTGGTTGCTGATGACAGAAGAAGGAGTAATGGTCTCAAGTTGCAGTGGGGGAGGTCTAGGTTGGATATTAGGAAAAACTTTTTCACTAGGAGGGTGGTGAAACACTGGAATGCGTTACCTAGGGAGGTGGTGGAATCTCCTTCCTTAGGAATTTTTAAGGTCAGGCTTGACAAAGCCCTGGCTGGGATGATTTAGTTGGGGATTGGTCCTGCTTTGAGCAGGAGGTTGGACTAGATGACCTCCTGAGGTCCCTTCCAACCCTGATATTCTATGACTTGCTTGCTGCAAGCCGACAACTACTCTTGTGGTCCCATCCTGTGGAACTGTTCTGAAATGGAACCACCTGGCATTCTACACCTTTGATAACTGCCTAGTTATCTGGCGTAGTCAAGAATTAAAAACACTGTCCACTCTGACCATACACTTCACTCTGAAAGTTAGTGGTTCAGCCTAAGCATCTCTAGGCCACCTCAGGGGAAGGCAAAGAGGCAGTTTGCCCCAGGCCCCCCATTTAAGAGGCCCCCAAACTGAGGGATGACGCAACCTCAGCACACCAGGCTGCAATGCAATGACAGAGGGGCAACAGGGCCAAAGCTGAGCAGTGCTGTAACCTCATGGGCCAGGTCTCAAAGCCCAGAGCTGGTCCCAGCCTGACAGGACAGGAGCCACGCCAGCGGGCTCACTCCCCACTCCCCGCCCAGTAATTTATTTTTAGAAGGGTGGGAAGCCTCAGTTCCAGATTTTGCCCCAGGCCTTCTAATGTCTGTGCAGCCCCAGCTACCCCTCCTCTGTCAGCAGAATTCCATTTCCAAGGTTGTGTGACCTTTAAAAGATTCCTGCGTAGAAATTAGCGAACGGGGTATGCGGCCACACAGCCTTCCCGACCGTCTTTCCTCGAGCACTGGGGGAAAAGGCCACATCTACACTACAGGGATTGTAGCAACACAGCTCTGCCTGCAAAACCCTACAGCATACATGCAGCCTTCAACATTTTTTCTGTTGCTGTAGAAAACACCTCCCAGAGGGACAGTCCTAGGTTGACTGACACATTCTTCGGTGGATCTAGCTGCATTTACACCAGGGGTTATGTCAGCATAGCTATCATGCTCAGAGGTGTGGATTTTTCACACCCTGACTGCCATACCTATGTCAACCTACACGAAGCATAGACCAGGCCTAACCATGTGTGTTTGGCGGTCGGAGGGGTGTTAAGGTTTTAATAGGAAAGAGACAAAGAACAGTTTTTGGTAGAGTTGTTTTTCATTTTGCAACTAAAGATCTTTTCCAGTTCTCTAAACCCTGATTAAAACCATGCATGGAAAATCTGAACCAAGTTACAGATTGATGGCAAGTGCGGTTCATACATGGGCTCCGTAACTGCAAAGGCAACTGACAGACCAATTTTACTGTGGTAGCTTTTTCAAATAGATACTTGAACACCCACATCTTCTGTGTAGTAGTTCCTTTGAAATAAATAGATAAATACGTAGTCATTTTATGCTGACCTATTTGTCTAGACACCTACCATAATTTGGACCTACCTTCTATTATGTGTAAAAGCTTAAAAATATTTGTGCTAATTTTAGTTTGTGATAGAAGTTATACTTAGGCCTGAATCACACCCAGGGCCCATGCTACAAAATTTAGGGCATCCCACAAATATTTCAACCAGAAAGTGTTCTTCCCACAGAAACCACACCACTGAGAATCTCTCTCACCACCTACAGGGTAACTCCACCTGACACCATTTGCATTCCATGTGGAAAGATTTAAATTCAAGCCCAGCTGCATGTGAACTGGGACATACTGGGCCTGATTTTATACTTGTTATAGACTCTGTGGCACTACATAACCCATCTGGACAGGATCTGGTGTTCACTGACCTACACTGGATGCAAAAAGTAAAGGCACCCCAGCAAACCCCTATTCTCCCTCCTCTACACACAGCTGGGACTTCTTCCCATTTCAGCTTCATCACTCAAGTGGGGAGGGTGGAGACAGACTCCATACTAGCAAATGGTTTGAAAGCTCTACTTCCAAATGAGAACCCACCCCAAGGCTGCAGTTGATAGCACTACCCCCAAGTATGGATTTGAAGTTAAACCATGCATTATTTTGCCGTTAGCCAGCAATTGTACACCAAAGTTCTTGGAATTAACTACGAGAGGCACCTTGACACTCACCCATCTTCACAGAGCAAGTCTATTTTTGCACCAAACAGAAATTCTGTCGTATGACCAGCTCTGCCATGGAGTAGTTCTCCTGGATGACCACATGATTTCCCTAATAGAGACCAAGGCTAGGATTAACATTAATTTGTGTTGTCATGATGGAAACAGAAGAGCTAAACAACAACAACATACTTAAGAAGGCTATAGCTGCATGCCCACTCACACCACTTCATATAGTGTCACACCACAGAGGGTCTTTTAGTCCAGTACCATACTTCTGACAGTGGCTTCGGACACACGTGTAAAACCCACACAGGGCTCAATCATACCAGCGGCAACTGAAGGTGCTCAACCCCTTGCAGGCTGTACCCTGCACAACTGTCCAGACCAAAGGGGGTAATTATGCAATAAAACGCCCACTGGTGCCAGGGGTGGAAAGTGGGAAGGACAGGTCTGTCAAACCCCCATGGTTAATGGCTGACTTACGTCCCGAAGGTAAAAATACCCCTTCTGTCTTTTTATCCTTATTTCTGCATGCTAAATGCAGAAACTTTTTTTTTCAATCTCTCAGATTTCTTTGTTTCAGCATTTAGCAGCAGTAAGTTCCACGAGTTACCAAGCGTTGTAGAAAAAATACTCCATCCATGTCATCAATTTTAATGAAGACAGACAAGAAACCTCCCAATGGCAGAAATTCCTCCTTCCCCCTACAACAAGTAATTTCCCATGGTTATTCTAGTTGAAACATAGTGCATTAGAAATTTACTTTTCATATGAAATTCAAAGCAGACATACTGTATTCATACAGCCAGCGCTATCCTGGTACTTGATCTTCACCAGTCAGTTTTAAGAACAGCTAAATATTCCATAGAAATACAGCTATTGCAATTTATCCTAAGAAAAAACCTGGCTAAACAGCCCTTCAGACTAAATAACCAATTAAACTAGCAAATTGGGAGCCAGCTGCCTAGTGGGTCCTAATTGTGAGATGTTCTCAGATCAAGTGAGACAGAAAAGTAACCAAAAAAAAAAAAGATACTCACTTCTACAAAACTCAGGGGCTTCTGACCATGTTAAGTTGTCAAGACAAGTACTAACAAGAAGCATTTCAGTGATGTTCTCATACCCTGGGCGACAAGTATATCTCACAGTGATCCCAACAGGATGGTAATTCTTCCTCTCATCTTCCTTACTTAAGGCAGCAAACTTTAACCTTGTTGGGGCACCACAACTACCTAGCAGTAGAGACAGACATTAGTTCTGAAAGGTTTGGCTATGAAGACAGGTACAGAAACAGTCTGTTGTAACAACAGACCAAAACTCAGCGTTTAGGAAACAAATTACTCCCTTAGCAGCACTTTAGGGAGGTTACGAACAACCACGTTTGGATACCCTTTGTTAAATAGGCCCTATGGTGAATGGGCCCCCAATATAAAACTGCAGAATGCATATTAAGATATACTTTTGGTGTTTTTGTTTTATTAGATTCCCAGGTAAAAACTAAGTTTAACTGAATGTCAAGAGTACATATCAGTAATTTAGACTAAATTAAATGAGAAAGAGATTTAATTAGCCCCAAAACAAGTACAGTAAAAGCTGTGTTATCTGGCACTTTACTGACCAGAAAGCTCTATTAACTGGCATTTCTGATATCTCCCAATTCAAATCTTCAATCTAGTAACCGGGACTAGTATACTGGCCCAGGAGATTATGCAATTGCACATTCTGAACTCTACTTTTATGCAAAAGAGACAGAAGACAAATAAGCAAGCGGATATCAGTGATTTATTCAAAAATGCAGCTTCCAAGGTGTGTCATAGGGTCATTACAGATTCAGCCCGATCTCCTACACCTTCTACCTCTACAATGATAATTGATGTTGATAATGACGACCATGAGGCATCACAAGATCCTGACGTGCCTTCTGAATCGTCAAAGATTAAATTATGTTCAGTACAGTTTTCGTGTTAAGTGTATTTTTAATGATTGGGGTGTACACCATGTGCTGCCCGTAGTGATAAGATTACAGGTCAAGTTTTCTATACAGCAGGTTTACACCCAAGTGCTTCAAGAAACCAAACACTCTGCAGTGCAGGACTACTACTAGATGGGCAAGTACCTGTCTACTATTTTAAACTTCATTCATTTTATTGTATTGTAATTCTTTGAAAATTGATATTCCATTGGTAAGTATAACGCTTAATTAACTGGAGTATCTGATTAACTGGCACCCCCCATTCCCTCAACATGCTGGATAACAAAGCTTTTACTGTATTATAAATCCAGGAAATTCAGAGTTAAGGTTACTCTTACCACCACCCCAAAAGCATGTCTAAGTACGGAAATGCAGAGTTAGGCCACCCAACCAACCCTAGTAGTGATGCCAAGAAATAAGCATACAACTAGGATTCATGCATTTCAGCGTTTGTAGTCCCAGACTAGATGAAAGACATTAAACTTAATGTAAATGTTTCCCCTTCCCTTTGGGTATTTTGACTATACCTATTAAATAGGAAAAGTCTTACCTTTTCATAAGTGAAAGGCAGCCCAAGGAACTTGATTCCAGATAAAATAAAATACTTACGACCACAAAACTCGTTGATGTAGGACCATTGTGAGTTTGAAAGGCACACTACAGTGTCCGACTTTCCAGGGATTTTAAGGAAGCCATCACTGCACCTGTATGTAACTTGTGTGTCAACAGGGAAGCCCTCTGTGCGATTCACATAGGAGGGGACGGCATGATTCAGCTTCGGTGGGGGCCCACAGTCACCTGGGGACAAAACAAAAGCCCATGGTAACAGAACCTATTTATTCTAGTAGCTTTGCACACCAGAAGGACCCTGAAGCGCATCAGCGGTGAGAAAAGGGAGCTGCGACAGACCACAGGTGAGCCCATCAGGAAGGTTACTCCGATTGCCCAGCCCCCTGCAGCCCCACCCACCTCAGGGGTTTAACCTGGGAGCTGAAGACAATCAGCACCATCAGTAACAGCCACAAGAGACACAAATCCCTGCCAACCCTCCCATGCGGTTTCCCCATGGAGGGAACCCCGGAGAACGAGGGAACCCCGGGGGCAGGCGGCAGTCCCGGGGCTGAGTGCACCGGGGGAAGGGGCTCGGGGGGACCCAGCGCACGGAGCAGGCAGAGAGGGCCCCCCTTGCCTGGAAGGGGCACCCCCCGCCCCGTGACAGGAGGAGCCAACCGAAGGGCCAAAGCGCAGCCCCGGGCCCGGCCCGAGGCAGCCTCTAGCCCATGCCCTGGGAGCCCCCCCGACACCGGGACTATCCGCAGCCCCCGGCCCGGGGAGCCCCGCCCGGCACGGCGCACGGAGATGCTTTGCCCTGCCGACCCCCCGCAACTCACTGCGAGTCCCGGGCAGCAGCAGGAGCAGGAGCCCCAGGGCCAGCGCGGGGCAGGGGAGCCCCGGGGACATGGTGGGGGTTGGCCAGGGAGCTCCCACCCGCAGCCTGCGCCGTGCCCAGCACAAGTGAGGAAGGGGGTGGGGATAGAGGGGGCCTGAACAGCGTCATGAACGGTTGGAGGCGGGGTCAGGAGAGAAGGGGCGGGGCCTGAAGAGCGCTAGAACGGTTGGAGGCGGGGTCAGGAGAGAAGGGGCGGGGCCTAAACAGCGCTACGAATGGTTGGAGGCGGGGTCAGGAGAGAAGGGGCGGGGCCTAAACAGCGCTGAGACCGATTGGAGGCGGGGTGAGGAGAGAAGGGCGGGGCTGGCTCAGGCTGAATCCAGTTGGTTACAGCAAACACAGAGAGGAGGCTGGTGTTAATGTCACCGCTAACACAAGCAGCAAAGGAACGGAAATACCAAAACACACACCCTTGGGCTTTATTTTCAAAAGAGCTCAGCACAGTGAATATCGTCGGGAAGACTTGAACATCTGTCCTCACGCTGCAGATTTAGTTTTTCCACTGGAGCATGCAAACATTTGGCAGAGATATGAGAAAATGAAGCTTTATACAATGTGTGTGTGTGTTACGAGCTCAGAAACTGGATTATCTAATTTAGCAGGGGACAGGGCTGGGCAATGAACATTCATGTTTTGACGCTGTGTTTCCTTTGGCAAAAGTGCAAATTGGCAAAAGAAACAGAGCACTGCAGACTTGGGAGGGGCAAGACAGTTCAATACAATGTCTTTCTACAACATGGGAAGGAGGTGTAGTGACAGGCCACCTCACATATGGTGATAGACTGGCAAGCTCATGGGCAGTCTTTTTAAGGTGAGGGAAACACAGACTTAGCAGAGGCGTGCACTTGCCAAGAGCACCTAGAGCAGTAGGTTTCAATCTTTTTTTCATTTGCAGACCCCTAAAAAATTTCAAATTATGGTGTGGACCCCTGTGGAAATTTTGAATGGTGGTGCGGACGCCTTTGGAAATCTATTGTCTGTATATATAGTTGAATTCTGATGACTTATGTCATTCCTCCCCCACTCTAACTCTAGGGTACAGATGTGGGGACCTCATAAAAACCTCCTAACTTATCTTTACCAGCTTAGGTCAAACTTCCCCAAGGTACAAAATATTACACCCGTTATCCTTGGAATGGCGCTACCACCACCAAACAATTACTGGTTACTGGGGAAGAGCTGTTTGGACGCGTCTGTCCCCCCAAAATACTTCCCAAAACCTTGCACCCCACTTCCTGGACAAGGTTTGGTAAAAGCCTCACCAATTTGCCTAGGTGACTACAGACCCAGACCCTTGGATCTTAAGAACAATGAACAATCCTCCCAACACTTCACCCCCCTTTCCTGGGAAATGTTGGATAAAAAGCCTCACCAATTTCATAGGTGACCACAGACCCAAACCCTTGGATCTGAGAACAATGAAAAAGCATTCAGTTTTTACAAGAAGACTTTTAATAAAAATAGAAGTAAATAGAAATAAAGAAATCCCCCTGTGAAATCAGGATGGTAGATATCTTACAGGGTAATTAGATTCAAAAACATAGAGAACCCCTCTAGGCAAAAGCTTAAGTTACAAAAAAGATACACAGACAGAAATAGTTATTCTATTCAGCACAATGCTTTTCTCAGCCATTTAAAGAAATCATAATCTAACACATACCTAGCTAGATTACTTACTAAAGTTCTAAGACTCCATTCCTGGTCTGTCCCTGGCAAGAACACACACAGACACACAGACCCTTTGTTTGTCTCCCTCCTCCCAGCTTTTGAAAGTATCTTTCTCCTCATTGGTCATTTTGGTCAGGTGCCACAGGTTACTTTAGCTTCTTAACCCTTTACAGGTGAGGGAGCTTTCCCCTGCCAGGAGGGATTTCAAAGGGGTTTACCCTTCCCTTTATATTTATACAACTTAGTTTTCAGTCTGTCTTCTTCCTACAGGAACAGTAGCGGGGGAAGTAGAGCTGTCAGATCCCAGGAATATATGGCTGAGAAGTTCAGGGATGGGTGGGGGCTATTGATTTCAGTATCTCCTGTATCCTTCCGCAACCAGGGTTACAGTTCACCATACAGCAACATGCTTGTACAAACAAAACCGATAGCTGGCGATCCCAGCAGTGGCCAAGCACTAAATGGGCTATGGGGATGGAACTCCATCACACCCCTAAAGCTAGTCATAGAATCATAGAATATCAGGGTTGGAAGGGACCTCAGGAGGTCATCTAGTCCAACCCCCTGCTCAAAGCAGGACCAATCCCCAACTAAATCATCCCAGCCAGGGCTTTGTCAAGCCTGACCTTAAAAATTCCTAAGGAAGGAGATTCCACCACCTCCCTAGGTACCGCATTCCAGTGTTTCACCACCCTCCTAGTGAAAAAGATTTTCCTAATATCCAACCTCGACCTCCCCCACTGCAACTTGAGACCATTACTCCTTGTCCTGTCATCTTCTACCACTGAGAATAGCCTAGAACCATCCTCTTTGGAATCACCTCTCAGGTAGCTGAAAGCAGCTATCAAATCCCCCCTCATTCTTCTCTTCCGCAGACTAAACAATCCCAGTTCCCTCAGCCTCTCCTCATAACTCATGTGTTCCATTCCCCTAATCATTTTTGTTGCCCTTCGCTGGACTCTCTCCAATTTTTCCACATCCTTCTTGTAGTGTGGGGCCCAAAACTGGACACAGTACTCCAGATGAGGCCTCACCAATGTCGAATAGAGGGGAACGATCACGTCCCTCGATCTGCTGGCAATGCCCCTACTTATACATCCCAAAATGCCATTGGCCTTCTTGGCAGCAAGGGCACACTGCTGACTCATATCCAGCTTCTCGTCCACTGTCACCCCTAGGCCCTTTTCCGCAGAACTGCTGCCTAGCCGTTCGGTCCCTAGTCTGTAGCGGTGCATTGGATTCTTCCGTCCTAAGTGCAGGACCCTGCACTTATCCTTGTTGAACCTCATCAGATTTCTTTTGGCCCAATCCTCCAATTTGTCTAGGTCCCTCTGTATCCTATCCCTACCTGCCACCGTACCTACCACTCCTCCTAGTTTAGTGTCATCCACAAATTTGCTGAGGGTGCAATCCACCCCATCCTCCAGATCATTAATGAGGATATTGAACAAAACCGGCCCCAGGACCGACCCTTGGGGCACTCCACTTGATACCGGCTGCCAACTAGACATGGAGCCATTGATCACTACCCGTTGAGCCCGACAATCTAGCCAACTTTCTACCTACCTTATAGTGCATTCATCCAGCCCATACTTCTTTAACTTGCTGACAAGAATACTGTGGGAGACCGTGTCCCTACAGGGCAGGTTTGTGACACATTAGCAGAGAACAGCATGGGGCGGGGGGCCGTGCAGTGCTGCTACCTGTGCTGTATTGGTGCTGAGGATAAATGAAGAACCTCACTCTCCAGAGCTGTCTGTGCGTATTTCAACAGCAAGGAACAGATCACCCACTTTGCTTTCCTCTCCATCTCTTCTGCTCCAGCCTGCTTCCTAACCATGACCCAGTGGCTAGACACCACAATGACAGGAGTCCTATAATTATCAGGACAGATGAATAGAAAAGCTCTCTTTTTACTTATTGCTCAATGGAAGATGCTCTCTAAAAAAATCCAGGTGGCTGCCATTCAGGGTCCTGCATTTGGCCAGTGATGTTAATAATACTAATAAATATTCAAAGCGCTTTACATAAGCATGCACATTTTAAATTTCGGAGCACACACAGTATGTTACATTCATCAGAGATAACTTTTAGCCCTCTCTTTTCTCACTGATCTTTCACGGCGGAGAGTGCAAGTAGCAAAATTTTTAATAGGAATAAACTCTAGTAATCAACCCCAGCTGTGTTATAGGCTAGAGATTGAATCCCACTGTATAACCGCATTTACTTTTTTAACTTAAGCGGTCTAGAAAATTAGTCTATGGAGCTGTTCACAGTGTAATTGTAACACTGACAGATGCTGGTTGTCAGCAGGCAGGGTTGAACCTAGGACTGCAGGAACTTAGTGCATGAGCCTCTACCACATGGGCTAAAGGCCAACTGGCTGTTAGCTAAGGCTGTAGAGCAGACTCATTTTATCTCTCTCTTTAAATGGTCTTGGTGCCACAAGATGGGCTAGAACACCACACCCAGGAGGCGTGTGGGTTACATAATGTATTACTCAGCTTGAGCAATGGTGATTAGAGGCCCAGGCTGACTTGGTTCATGCCATCTAAATTGATCACTAGTGAATGGCCTCTAGTGGTCCTTGTCTACAGCGAAAAGCTCAGTTGTATTATGATTCAAGGGTAAAAGAGTAAGAGAGAGAAATGCCACAGACTAAGGCAAATTAAATTCAGAGTCCCTTCATGGTGACAGAGACTGGTTTGGGGCAGGGCACTTTTCCAGAGTATAGACAGCTAGTGTCACCCCAAAAGTAGGCTAGTCAGCCAGAATTGCACTGATTCAACACAGCCAAGCTGCAGCTTCTAAGGTGAACTTCTGTGGAGCCCCTAGTGCAGAGTTCAGCTGCTTTCTGTCCCTTGTCCTCACCTCAGCCTTCCTGGAAATACAATTTGCTCTACCCTGCGAGAGATCATGCGCCCTTAGAGCTCAGTAGCCCTCAAAGCTACAATTTTGAGGTGGAGGGAACTTCTGGGCCTATATGTTACTTCTCTGCTGCTTTCTTTCAATCGGCTCCTCCTGGCTTTATACAGCCACAGATTCTCAGTGGAAGGGGATGTTGCACTTGTTTTTCTGGCCAACACTGTTCATTACCAAGGGATCCTTTCTACTTGTCCTCTGGGTCAAATTCATCTCTGTTATTTTGGGGATCTGACTCAATCTCACTGGCTCCATAAAAAGGAGTAAAGATACCAGCCTAACAGTGCTGTAGACCGATGGTTCCTGATATTCCACAGAACAGGTTACAGCACTGTCCGCAGAAAGGCAAGCTGCTGTCTCCTATGCTACTTGCCCAGTATGCTTCAACCATGAGCTCCTCTAGATGTGAGAGGAAAAGCCAGATCTTCTTTGCTTTCTCTGTCCTTGCAGTCCCTGCTGAGACTGGTCACTAGATTGAAACAGTTTTTCACTTCTAAGAAAAGGAGCCTTTAAACACAGTGGGGATTTTTCGGTCTTTAGCCAGTGGGATAAAGTCATTAAAAAAAAAAATCACAAAAATAATCAAAAGTTATAACAATTGCATTTTATTGCAGGAATAATTTTTATTGCTGGAATGCAGGAATAATTACTTGATCACAAAAGGTATAGGTCAATTTATCGGGCAATGGGAAAATCGCTTAGCAAGCTGTTTCTCTACAGTTAAATTTCTACCATCTACTCTTGAGTGTGATTCGATCTAAAAATGCCTCAGGTGATAACACTGGTATCAATCAAAACTAGATCTGGTCAGATTAGGAAGAACGTCTGTTGAGCTGAGTTTAAATCAAGAGGACAGGGAAGATTGCTTTGCTAACCCGTAGATTTTCAGTGGTGTACAGGGAGTTATGAACATCACTGCCCTTAAGGTTAATGTAAATCAGACAGTAGAATAGCCATACACCCACTGTGAATGTATGTATTATAATGCATAAAAGATAAATGTAAGCAGCAATTATGGCAAAGCTGAAGGTTGTTGGTGTAAATTTCCAGCTGCATAGGATCTGAAGCTTGTATGAAAATAAACCTTTAGATCATACAGTTCAATCTAGTTCCTCTACTTGCTTTCACTTTCCTCACACAATTAGGATCACAGATTTCAGCTATTCATTACAATTTTTTAATCTCCCGCTTCAGTTTCTGAATCTCCAGATACAGTTTCTTCAGTTCCAGCAGGGTTCTCAGTTCCGTCAGAGGCACATCACAATGGACAAACTCTTTACTCTCACGTACCCCTGAACATTCTTCAGTATTGCTTTGTTTTTTCTGTGAAACAGAGAAAGAGGGAATGTGATTATGCTGCAGAAGAGAAGGATTTACCTTTGAAGCATACTTGCTCCTTTTTGGGGTTGAACCCTCAGTCAGTGCGTTACATATATCTGTATCATACGGTCTGTCTGACACAGGCCTGATACTGAAAAGGCCTTCACACCCACAATTCTTATTGATGTCTATAGGGGCTGATAGTTCTAAGCAACTTTGAGACCTTTCTGAACAACTTGCAGAATCAGGCACTTGGATTGTCAACTCCTTGAGCTGGAACCAGGCCTCTATTTGCATTTTCACAGTGCTAAGCACATTGGCAACTACTCATTAAATTTTCTTTATACTGTGCCTAGACCAACAGAAGATATGCCATGTCTCACACCCTGGACTGCATTGGAAGCCTCTCTAATTTATAATATGGCCAAGTTTTCATCCTGTGTGATTTTTACCTACCACACTTTTTTTTAAACCGGAATCAGTGCTACAAAAGGAGAAAATCTCCTACTTCAAAGCATGAGAAAGGATGGGATGGAGGAAGGACATGAGTTTGCTTTCAGATCAATACATTTTCCCCTTCTATTGTATCAATGGCACATCTCCCTACTTGGTCCCATTGCTTCATTAAAACAATGAGGACTCAGACTTAAGAAAATCAAAACACTGTTTTGTTATTACTTTTGTTTTACACTAGAAATTGGACTGAGTACTTCAAGAAATCCAGCGGGAGTGTCATACTTACACATTTGGGTAATGCTGTCCAGTTGCCGTTGGCTGAACAAGTGATACTAAAATTGTCTGTTGTAGGCAGGTACCAATCGTCTGAAAAATGGTACCCGGGAGAGCATTTGAAAGGAATGCTTTCATTTACGTTGTACCACATTTTCTCATCTAATGCATTGACCATTCTTCCATTCTGCACATCTGGCTTTGGACACTGCACTGAAAGGAAAAAGCAGAGGAGAAGGCAGAGGAGATGCACTGTGAGTGCTGCTTATTGCCTGTAATGGAAAGAGGCAGCTATATTGAAGACCCCATGCCTTTGGTTTACTTCACTACAGCTGTTTTGGTTTAATCAGAAAAATAAACTACTTGTAACATCACACCCACAGTGACTCGCTGGAAGAAAACAAACATCATGAGTTCAACAAGAAAAGGGTGTGAGTGAAATCCCATCCAGCACTGTGTATCATGGGCATTTCATGGAGTCATGGGCAGCAGAGCACAGGTGCTTTGCTGGTTCGTTTAAGGAAGTTTTATTGGCAGCCTTGGGACAAATGTGAATGTGAAGTTCACTCCCTTGCACACTTGTGGCCTTCTTCTAAATAGCCTCTTTGGTGTACTGCAGAATTAGCTTCCCCCGCACCCTTGCAGTGAGGAACAATTGCAAGTCAGCGGAGTTGCCTTGGATTTATACAGGTGGAACCAAGGGCAGAACTTGGTCCTTAACAGTGTCTTATGCTTCTATTGTGACTTTCATCCTGCAGGATGCCAAAGGCTTTGATTAGATACCACAGTGACTGGCTCCATACAAACCCCTTAGATAACAGTAAGGAACCCCTTCCCCACAACCACCTCTGGAGAAAGGGGGCAGTAAGCATGAAGGGCTATTTGAGGACTGTCTACAGAATGCAGACCTGAATGGAGAACTTGATTCTCATGCACACTAAGGCCTCTGGCAAGAGAGAGGGACTTAGTGTAAATGAGACTCCGTCCTTAAAGTTTTGTCTGGAAATCAGCCCCCACCACTCCTTCATCTCACATCCAACCTCAACAGAGCAAACTCTACAGAACTGAATGTGTCTACCTCAGAAGGAAGAAAGGCTGAGTCTGCCTTGGTGAGCTTCAAGTCTGTGAATCTGTGGAGCCAGACTTGTAAAACCTGAGGGTTAGCACACTCAGCCATTCCAGCCAAGGAAGTGCTAGTCAATATCAAATTGATTAAGGGGCAGTCAGAAGGTTTGGGGTTTTTTGCAGGCTCAGAAGTCTGTTGTTCATTGGCATTGACTCAGTTGAGTAGTACAGGGTACCACTTTTTCAGATTTTGGTACAAGCAGCCTGGGGTCCTTGATAAGCACCTTTTCTAAACGGGAAAAATCCATCATTAAAGCTGGTCTACTCCTGAAGAAAGCTACTTGGACCTAAACTCTGGGGATGCTTGGTCCTTATCCTATTAAATATATATTCTGCTGATAAATATTTACTTCTTTGGCCTCCCTTCCACAGTATAGCCAGGAAAGTTTTAGCAATGAGTGATTAGTCATAATTAGCATCTTTCTTTGACGTACTTTCCTAATTAATCCTCAAAACACCTCTTCAAGGTAGCTTGGATCCACAATCTCCATTTTTACAGATGGGAAATGGAGGCAGAGAGGAGAAATATCTTGCTCAAGTTGTATGGGGAGACTTTGGCAAACCAGGAAAGTGCCTAAAACCACTATGGCTTATTGCTAAAAGCAGCCAAGTCAGTAGGCTGTAAATTGGCCATTCAGCAGTCTCAGTTTAACCAAGGGGGGTGGGGGTGGGGTTGGGTGCCACAGAGAGGGCAGCTTGACCCCACGTCCTTCCTGATAAGAACTGTGTTCAAGTTGCTGATACATGCATCTTAGAAGAGCAGGATGTGCCCCATGAATGTCTATTGGGGCCTCAAGGCTGCCAACAGCTGGTTAATCAATAATCAGAAGGAACCTCTTGCTTGACCATTGAAACTGCTTACTTAACAAGTTTGCTTTAAAGGACATGTCATTCTATTACTAATGTATAAATAGGGGGAAAAAGTTTGAGGTAGGGGGACTCTTCAGGACTGGACTCTCTCTCTGGATGCATCTTGTGTTTCCCACTGGCAGACGAACTGCCGCTGTGCCACTCGAGAGCCACACTCAGCTTTGGTAATGATCAAGGGTTGGGGGTGTTTTACGAACCTGTTGCAGACGAGTGTATAGGTGCTTGAGACTAAGTAAAGTTTAGCTGTAAGTGAAAGCACTCTTGTGTTGTCCTGTTTGTGCCAGCCATTGATCAGTCGGATGGCCGTGTCTCCCTTGATTTATTTCCTGACACCACCTCGCACAGAGTAAAAGTTACCAAGAGCTTTGGGTTGAAAGAACCCCGGGTACCAAAGTCACACAGGGAGACTCGCCTGGGGCAGGAAGAGGGTAAGAACTCAAGGTCCTTGGTTTCCAGTGCTGTGCTCAGACCACCTCTTCCCCTACGGTGCTGTTACTAGGGCTCAGCGTACACGTGCCAGACCAATCACCATACCTCAGTTCATCATTTACACTTACCTGGCTGACAACTTGGCACAGGAGGATTCCAGGTGTTGTCATCCTGACACTGACTCTCTCTACTGCCATGGAGCAGGTAGCCTTCCTTGCAGGAGACCCGAACAGTGACACCGTATGTAAACGGTTGCCTTGTCGGAGTCATTCTTCCATTTTCAACCTCTGGCCTCGGACAGCGAACCACTGAGGGAAAACAACAAAATGGTTCATGCTACGTCAGAGACAGGGAACAAATCAAAGCCAATACACTTAAATAGCAGCTCATCTGTTTCCAGGCACACTAAACATGGCGGGTAAAAAAACAAAAAAAACCCAGCTACGTAAGAATATCAGATTCTTAACCGTTTAGCAGACCTCTGTGTTGGAAAAATGTCTTTATCTCCATGGGCCGGTGCAGCAAGTAGTTACTCACGGCACTGGATTCACAGTGACACTGAGACTATTGTGAGGTGGGAAACTTTATATGGCAGGTTTGGTAGGTGGGTGAATGCTTTCAATGCTGTTCTCTTTTCTGCAGGTTCCTATTGCCAAGTCAAGGCACCAGGGTTATTCCATTTTTTTGGAATCAGGCTGTTCCCTCAAACGCTCTCTGATGTTGCATCCAGAAGGACTCATACCTAAAGGGATGATTCCAGGACAGCTGGGTTGGGAACCAGATCCAAGAGATGGGTCAGTGGGGTGGGGGAATAAGTCACCGGGAGTGAGACTCACGCCTCAGCTGGGACACAGGTCTAATGGCTGGTGGCACTGGCCAGTGAGAAAATCAGTAGGGGGTAATTTTTATATGTTTGAAAACAGGGGTCTGTGGTGGAGGAGGTTCAGTGGTGGTTCCAGGCACCGTAACCCTCCTTAGCTGCTCTCTAGCTCTGCCTGGGGTTAGTATCTCAGAGCCCATTCTCAAATCCCCTGATGCACCTGCCAAGCTGTACATGTTAAGAATCTCCCACATGCAGGGGAATCCTGCTGCTCCCACAGCACTCACTATTCCATGTGGGCTGCAAGAACAGCTGCTCCTGCTGGGATCCTTCACATGGAAGTTAGAAGATCTACCTGGTTATTTTAACAGCTATAGGATCTATTCAGCTTCGGCAGTTTGCAGCTAACACTGCCGCGGAGCCATCTGCACTCCGGGGTGGGGTTTGCCGCCAGACCGGGAAGGATAATGCACCACCACAAACGAAAAGCCTTAGTTTCCACCCAGGGATCCATACGGATGGGGATACCTTGGGCCAGTGCAGCCTGAGTGCCATAGCCACACCCTCTCTTGGCTTTTCACCACCCACGTCAGCGGTAATCCTGGATTTCAAAGATGATTGTGGGATGGATGAGGAGCGGCAGGCAGCTCTGCTCAGTTTCAGCCCCACTTACAAAAAGTGTTGGGACACTCTGCGTGGGTCTCCGGAAAGTACCCTCTACCCTTTGTAATTTAGAGTCATGTAGAATGACTTACCTTTGCACTGTGGGGCAGGCCCACTCCACATCATATTTACCCCATCAGATGTGCAATAAATGGAGGACTCTCCAATCAGTGACAAACCGTCTCCGCAGCTATATGTCACTTGTGATTCATAGGGGAAATATTCCTTCATCCCACCATTGTGCAGCCCATTCATGATAGGTGGAGGTCGGCCACAGGCTACAAATGGATAGAAACAATGTAAGGCCTGATGCTCCTCTCATTGACTCAGGCAACAACTAGGGCAGCCCATGAAGTTACAGGGGCATCCAGCACTTGGTATTTAGACCATAGGTAAATTCTCTTTAATGGGGGCTGTTGATGCTCAGCTGCTTGAAAGATCAGTCTGTTGGTCAGACCACCCCCCTATAGTGCTTAATCCTTCCAGAATCTCCTAGGCAAACATCCCAACCCTCCCTGGGTCCCCCAACAAGTGTCTCAGTCCCACTACCCACTGTGGAACCTTCCCACAACATCTCCCGCAGTGTAATAACTATCCCACTGCTGCTGCCCATCCATACCGAATGAAGAGGAGGAATGACTGTAGAAGATGTTATCAGGGGCCTGAGCCAGGACTAATGGGAGGAAATTAAGAAAAGGAAATTTTAGGCTGAACATTAGGCAGTGCTTAATTTGTAATTAAAGAGGTGCTGGGGCTCAAACAATTGTGTTTTTTTTAACTTTCAGAACTGATGCACCATGCCCAGAGGTGTCAGGGCTCTGAACTGCCAAGCCCTGGCACAAATTAAGCAACGACAGTATGAAAAAAAAACTTACTGCAAGTGAGATCTAAGACTCTTCAATAATCTAAGAAAAGGGGTGGGAGTCCCTTCGGCTGACACATTTAACTTTCAGCCAGAAGCAGGCCTGGAGATTAGACTGTAGGGAATACTTACATGTTGATCCCCCTCCCCCAGAATTGGACGAGGTCATCGGATAGAAGACAGATGAAAAAGCCCTTTGGCTATTTATTAATGATCTGTGGGGATCCTTCCAATATATCCTCCTAGAAGTTGAGATGTAGGGAGGCAGCCTTCCTGCTGTTGTTACTAAGATCATATGGTGGCATATTTCTTCTTAATGGTAGGTTCTCTTCTCATTTATACTTACTTTTATCACAAAATGGTACTGGGGGGTGCCACATCCCGTCACTTCGGCACACAATCCCCTCACTGCCTCTGAGGATGTAGCCAGGATCACATTGAAACACAATACGGTTGGCATATGTATATTCAGTTTTAACTGGATAGATCTGTTTTCCATTTTCAACCACTGGCTTTGAACAACTTATCTCTGAGGAACACCAACAGAGTTTTAGATGTTTTTGTTCAGAATAAGATAGAAGAAAAAAAGTCACGGTAGAGACATTTTCTACAACAGAGACTTTACCAGCAGGGTCTGAAACGTTTGCAAGCATCTGAACACTGACACGAACATCAATTTCCTTAATTTTTGTTTTTAAAGACCCTACTTCCTAAAAGAAGTTTTGTTTCATGGGTGTCACAGTAAAAGGAAGATGGCTAAGAGTGTCTTCTCCAAAAGCTCTGTATAATATCCGAGGAGGACACTGCAGGATGGCGTAGTGTGACAAGGTTTTACTGTTCTGAGTTTGGGACAGTTGAGAGAGACTCATAAGTGGCCCAGCCACACATTGCTCACACATGCCATATTCAGTGCCTAATAGAGCCTTTATACCGCAGCACACTGGCTTGAATTTGGGATATGCCATGTGTTACAGCTAATCATTTACCTGGTGCTGTTTTTATTTTATTTATCTTCCACCTGCAAAACCAGGATCTTAGACCTTGTCTACACTGTGAGAAAAGACCCTTGGTATGACTATGTCTGGCCTGGGTCAGCTGGGAGAGATAGTTCAGTGGTTTGAGCATTGGCCTGCTAAACCCAGGGTTGTAAGTTCAATCCTTGAGGGGGCCATTTAGGGATCTGGGGCAAAAATTGGGGATTGGTCCTGCTTTGAGCAGGGGGTTGGACTAGATGACCTCCTGAGGTCCCTTCCAACCCTGATATTCTATGACTCAGGCTCATCACCGTGCTTGGGCTGTAAAATTGCATGGCCTGTGGGGCTGTAAAATTGCAGTGCAGACGTTTGGGTCTGGACTGAAGCCTGGCCTTTGAGGCCCTGTGAGGAGGGAGAGACTCAGGGCTTGGGCTCCATCCTGAGCCTCAAAGTCTATCCTGCAATTTTTAGTCCCATAGCCTGGGCCTGAGTCAGCTGACCCAGGCTGAGACTTGGTGCTGTGGGGTTATGTGGGTTTTTTTTTTTTTAATCACAATGTAGACGTACACTTTTGCAGAACATCTGATCCATGATATTACGGGTAAGTAACCTCAAAATTACCTAAAATAGCTAATGTAACTACATAGATAAGTCTGATATCTCAGGACCTGGTAGGTCCTAACAGCAAGTGTTTGTCCCACTAGAAAGGGGGATTCTTGGACTTTTAACGATATATAGCACTCACCGATTTCTAGCCCTGGTAGCTTACCAGACATTCTACTTCAATCCTTTCAGTGGTGCAGAACTGAATTTTTATTATTGCCCATTCTGAGCCTCAAGCCAGTGTAATCCTGAGGGGCTGGAGGGACTTGGAAATGCCATATTTGACGGGGAAGGAACATTTGCCACAGTATTGTAAGTTATGTATGTAATACGTGTGTGTGTGTGTGTGTGTGTGTGTGTGTGTGTGTGTGTGTGTGTGAGAGAGAGAGAGAGAGAGATGTTTGGGGCTGCTTATTGGGATGTTCAAAGTTCTTGGATTAGGGTGAGCAGGCAGTGTACAGCTGAACAGGTCAAAAGTTGTACAATAAATGCAGTTCCTCACATCACACTGGTATCACCATGTCTACGGTACAGACACATTCACACAGCCAATTGCTCAATGTGTGCTGGACCAGATTTTCAGAGATGCTGAGCACCCCACCACTCCAGCTACAGCCAGAGATCTGGAGTTGCTCAGCACCTGGGGGCCAACCAGGCCCTAAAGTGTCCCCCTCCCTGCCATAAGCTATTAAATTGCTCTTAAATTTGTATATCAACTAAAAGCAAAGAAAATTCAGCCAAAAATTGAGTTACTTACTCTGACATAATTCTGAGACTTTAGGCCATGTAAAATTTGTAAGACAGGTCAAATGAGGAGATACTCCAGGGATGGGTGTGTAACCTGGTCTGCAGGAGTAGGTCACTACGGTACCAACTAGAAACTCTCTGTGATTGCTTCTGTCAGCGTAGGCAAATGCTGGTGGGTAGGAACATCTCCCTAACAATCCAAAACAAGACAGAGATCTGTAAAAGTCATTTAACCCTGAAACCTATGGAGAATGAAGCATCCTCATAAGAATGTGGCATGTGAGACCCAGCTGTGGAAATCAGTGGCCTACATTCTGCTCACCACTGCACTGAGCACAGTAACTGCAATGATATAAAACAACTAGGGCTGAATTATGGGCTTGGGTACGCGACAATGCACAGTTATGGGGGACACAAACTGCAATGACTACCTGCTTTACAGGTGACAGTAATAGTAAGCAATGAGAAACATGAATAGCAGTAATCTATGGTGAAGTGGTGTGATGCTAGCCCCTGCATGGAATTAAAAGGAGAACTGCTACATTGTTAAATACATCACCTTGCTTGAAAACATAAGTTTTCCATTATGAAGAAATGGAATAAAGAGTTAGTATCTTTTAGCAAATTTCTATTTGCATAGCACCTTTTCTGAGGAGCTTTATAAACATCGGTGAGTGAATTCTCACCATACCCTTCTAGAGGTAGACACATGAAAATAAGGAATCTCCATCTTCTATACTGTCACAGGGATACTTCAGGTGGCGTGTCTAGCTTTTGTAAAATGAAAGTCACAGGCGCTTTCTTGCTCTCTTGCATGAAAGGTGTTTTCTTTGTCCTCCCTTGAGCTGGGAAATGACTGGCACCAAAACATCCCATGAACAAAAACCCAGAAATCAAAATACAGCTTTTCCTCTCTGCAGTCCTCCCAGTTTAGTGCCTGCAGATGAGGATTCACTGCCCCAGCATTTGAATTACCTCCCAAACCCAGAGCTGTTTTTATCTGGTGTTAGGGTGACCAGATGTCCCGATTTTATAGGGACAGTCCTGATTTTTGGGTCTTTTTCTTATATAGACTCCTATTACCCCCGACCCCCTGTCCCGATTTTTCACATTTGCTGTCTGGTCACCCTATCTGGTGTTGACTGGCCTCAGACTCTGCTCTCCGCAACAAGCCTCACCTGGTCTTTCAGTATGAAACCCGGGTAATTAGCCCCTGTCTTTTCCCACCAATTGCTTTCCCCTGGGGTCTGAACACTCTGGTGCTCATTTGATTCCCAAAAGAAAGTGAGAAAGGAACTTCAACAGAAAAAGGCTGCAGCCTAGATAGACATAAAGTGGAAGAAAGGAAGCCGGGGGGAAAAAGACAGACCATCTATTACACACCATTCATATCATATTCACTCAGTGATACGACATGCAACATCATGAGGGTTATAGACGACAGAAAGTTGCCCCAATATAGACACCCCACAAAGCATCACAATACTCTGGCACACACTTACCTAGGTCACAAACGGGTTGCTGCGGATACCACTTGCCATCAGCTTGGCATTGAATCCTGTCCGCGCCCCTGAGGAGGTAACCAGGATCACACTGAAACATTACACTGGTTCTGTATGTATAGTTATGTGGGAGTGGAGATTTCTGGCTTCCATGTTGAATATGTGGGACTGGACACTGAGTCTCTGCAAAACACCAAAGTACCGATTAATCCTCCCCACACCTCTGCAAGGCAAATAAGGAAGGAAACTACAAACAGAGAAACTGAGGCAGAGCAGAAAGAGACGTGCCCAAAAGCCTGAGAGGAAGACAATGGCAGAACCAGGATTAGAACTCAGAGTTCTCCATTGCCCAGCCATGTGCTGGTACTGCACCACCTCTCCATATATTGTAATTATTCAGAATTTGAGCATGTGTGCCAGAGAAGTGGTCATAGCACAGTCATATACATCCCACTCACAAGATGATACAGGAAAATGTCATCTAATGTCACCTACGCACTGGCTTTCTTTGCTGCAGTTGACAAGGTAGCTTTTGTTACAAGAAAACTCAAGACTGACACTATATGTAAACACAAATATTTTTGTAAAAAAATGATTCAAAAATCTTTTTTACCTTCGCACTGAGGCGTAGGCTCACTCCAGGTTGGAGTGACCTCATCACCAGCTATACACTGAATGGAGGTTTTTCCAACAAGTGAGAAGCCTCTGTCACATCTGTAAGTTACCAATGATCCAACAACAAAAACTTTCTTGCGCCAGTCACTGTGCTGGCCATGGGAGATGTTCGGAGGTTGGGCACAAACTAGAATTAAAGAGAGAAAAATACATTGTTTATACAGTAGATAAAAATCTCTAAGAAGAAAAGGAGGTGACAGATTCCCAGCATTTCCTGATGCCATTACAGCAAAAAAACAAAAACAAACAGTCTTTCCATAATACATGGAAGAACACCCAAGGTATGTCCAACAACCTGCTATCTCGGTGGTCATCTCTTGCTGTGCATGGCATCAGGACAGCACACACAAAAATGATGAAAAGTTGGTTAAGTATTTATGTGGCCATTTGGCTGCTGTGACAGTCATTCACATGCTCCATGAACAGCACTGAAACACGGATGATGATGATCCAGAGAGATGCTGAATGCCTGCAGCTTCCATTGACTAGAAGGTCAGGCCTTGACGCAGTAAATTGGCCCTGTTATACTTCCACGCCTCCAAATCCAGATCTGAACCTCTTCCAACTGCTCAAAGGTCTCCCAGCTTCCCAATCTTCCTCCAAGCTACCAAACCCTCTGAGTCCCCCAACAAACACCACAGCCCCACACCCACAACAGAACCTTCCCTGTAGATACACAGAGCCATCTTTATCCCCAGCTGCCCATCTCTTCCAAACTGGCGAAGGGGGAGATTAGTTAGGGCGACACAAGGGGATAGCACTCGGTCTGAGGAGTAATATAGTTTTTCTTAAGGGTTGGTTTTAGTCGTTGGAGGTCACCCATGGAATTAATACACATTTTCATTGCATGATGGTAAACTAGTCCCAGGGCTGCTCATGTACATAAACCACAGCTTGGAAAATGCCTTTGAGTGAAGAAAATTGTCACAAGGCCTTTGGAAAATAACTGGATGTCTCAAAACTCTTTTCAGGTGCTAAGCATTTTGAGACCTGATCCCCCCAACAGACACAGAGCTGCAGTTTGCATTTGCATTGTATCCTCCCTTAAGAGGAGAATAGGGGGACAGCATCTTTAATCTGTACCAAGAGCTCCACACAACCCCCAGTAACAAAGGTTGCTATGAGATGCACTGAATTTCAGGGTCCCAGCCTGTAAGCGACTGGGTCATACTCAGGCTGGCCTAGCAGTCACAGCTGGGACTACCCACCAGGGACAGGAGCCACCAGGCCAGAGTTGGAAGAATCTCAGTTCTCCATCATTTATACTGACCTGGTTCGCAAACTGGTATGGCAGGATCCCATTTGCCATCATGATTGCAGCGAATCTGAGCATTTCCATTGATACTGCCTTTGATACCATGCCCAAAATCACATTCAATTGTAACACTGTCCCCAAATGCATAGGTCTCCTCTCCAGGTCTAGGCATAGGTGCCTGTGTTCCATTGTTAACATCTGGAGCTGGACAACGAATTTCTGAGAAACACCAACAGCGTTAAATCACAGCAAAAACAATTGTGTGGCTGCAGATTCATTTGATCCAGTGGAGCTGAATTCTTTGCAAGCTATAGAAAATTGGCATTTCCTTGACATTGAGCATGTGAAAAGTTGTACAATAAATGCAGTTTATTTATTTTGTTACAAGAAAACTCAAGACTGACACTATATGTAAACACAAATATTTTTGTAGTCATCCTTCCATTTTCAACCACTGAGGGAAAACAGCCAAGATGTTGGTGCTAAGTCTAAGACAGGGAACAACGAAAGCCAAGACATGCAGAGGACAGCTGGATCTATCTTCCAAGCAATCTGAACATTGTGAAAAAACACACAGCCACAAAAGATCACCACATTTTCTTAATCTTGCCGTTGACCTTTGTGTTTAAGGAAAGTTCTTATTTCCACAGGCAGTCGCAACAGATCATTTCTTATTGCACTGGATTCGTGATGAAATTTGACTATTGGCAGGTCTCCTGGGGGAATTATGGGACTACTGGAGATGGGGCAATGCAGCATTCAATACATGAACACCTTCCATGCTGCCAGCTCCTCGCTGCAGCTTCCTGCTGCTGAGTCAAGACACCGGGGTCATTTCAACTTTTTGGATTCAGACTGTTCCTGCAAACGCACTGCTATCGCAGGACTGCAGGCTTAAGGGGATGCTGCCGGGACAGTTATACTGGGAACCAGTAGCCAGAATAAGGGTCAGGCACAGGTGGTGGAGAAATCAGTGTGAAAGGAGGACAAGCATTAGCTTGGATGTGGGTCAGACAGCAGATCACATATATGGGTGCTGGGTGAGAGAGGAAACTGGCAGTGTGCGTCTCAGGGAGTAGGTTGTTGGGAACATTTAAGGCACTGGAAAGGAGTGGTCAGCAATGGGATGGCAGAGAGTGAATGGGTTATGGGGACACATTGCGCCAAATCATTCAAAAATCTTTTCTGCCCTTTCCCAATACGAGTCATTTTAGTGCAATGCAGAATGAATTACCTTTGCACTGAGGGGTAGGCTCGCTCCAGGTTGGAGTGACCTCATCACCAGCTATACACTGAATGGAGGTTTTTCCAACAAGTGAGAAGCCTCTGTCACATTTGTAAGTTACCGATGATCCAACAACAAAAACTTTCTTGCGCCAGTCACTGTGCTGGCCATGGGAGATGTTCGGAGGTTGGGCACAAACTAGAATTAAAGAGAGAAAAATACATTATTTAAGAGACTGGGTCATATTCAGGCTAGCCTAGCAGTTACAGCTGGGCTGAAGACTGCCCACCAGGGACAGGAGCCACCAGGCCAGAGTTGGAAGAATCACAGTTCTCCACCATTTATACTGACCTGGTTCGCAAACTGGTATGGCAGGATCCCATTTGCCATCATGACTGCAGCGAATCTGAGCATTTCCATTGATACTGCCTTTGATACCATGCCCAAAATCACATTCAATTGTAACACTGTCCCCAAATGCATAGGTCTCCTCTCCAGGTCTAGGCATAGGTACCTGTGTTCCATTGTTAACATCTGGAGCTGGACAACGAATTTCTGAGAAACACCAACAGCAGCAACAGCGTTAAATCACAGCAAAGACAATTGTGTGGCTGCAGATTCATTTGACCCGGTGGAGCTGAATGCTTTGCAAGCTATAGAAAATTGGCATTTCCTTGACATTGCTGAGGAGGCTTCGGTTTAGAGAAAGTTTTGTCTTCTGGGCAGAAACAGCATGTGGGTTAAGGGATTTCATTTTCACTGTTCTTATGGGCAGCTGTTCTGATTGCAACTGGCAGGGTATTTTTGGCCTTCATCACAGATAGAGTCAGTGAGTAGCACTGGCTGTGTTATGACCATACTGTGTATAAAAAGGCAGGTGATACAGCGTGATCTATCTTGATTGCTATCTACTTTAGGTTCAGATGGAGATGGTCGATGGGGGCAACAGATCTGTCCGTAAGCATAGAAATGTACAGGTGGCAGATTTTAAGAGGCACAATATGGAATTCATAGCCCGGGGGTATATGCAAACTTTAAGCTACCTTTGTACCTTCCCAGTACTGGACTGCTCCACACAGACAGCCCTGGGGACCTGTGCCCAGCTGCCTATGGGTTTGGCTTCAGCTTTACCCAGAATCTCTGCAGTTCTATGTGCTGTGACCTGCCCCAACACACCCCTCCCACTGGCACACTACTTACCCCAACCTTGCTCGAGGCTCCTGGGAAGACAGCCCTATTGTAGTCTTCTGCAGTTCCTGCATGGGTGGAGTCCTCTTCTGGATGGATCCAGGGCATCTAAAGACCTGTTCTGTCACTCTGGACATTTTACTTGGAGTAAAGGGGCCAGACTGGGAGTGAGGATCGCACCTCAAATTGTTAACCATAAACCCCTGGGTTAGCAGGAAGAGAAGACCCTGACTATCCCTCCTTCTCTCTCACCCCCATCGCTACACTTTGAACCACACACAAGCCGACTATAAGCATAATCTCCCTATTGGTGTTAAATTTGCTCAATTAAAACAAAGATAATTTAGCCAAATACTTACTCTGACAAAAGTTGAGAGCTGAAGACCATGTCGAATTTTGAAGACAAGTAACATGCCCTTGCCGTATTCCAGCAATCAGCTCATAACCTGGGAGGCAGCCATATTTAACCACCATCCCGACTGGAATCAATGTGCCAACATTAGTCTTCTGAACAGCATTGGGAATGTCAGGTGGATCAACACAATGACCTACGGGTAAAACATGAAGAATGTAAGGACATCCTTAGCCAGGAAAACCTATTGAGGTGAAATCTTCTCAACAAGAATGTGATGTGAGAGACATAGCTGGGGAAAATCAGAGGTCCATATTCTACTCTCTCTCGCTCAGATCCATGCAATCCCATTACTCAGAATTTAACTCAGTCATTTGCAAGGAAACCGCATAGAAAATACAACAAAAACAAATGGGAATATGGGTGGCAGTCACTATATGATTCTAGCTTGCGTTTGGAATTAGAAAGGGAAATGCAAGGCCCTACACTAAACCTGACAGTGTTTCTGTTTGTCTGTAACATGCAGTGTTGTTGTAGTGGTCATGGTCCCAGGAGATTAGAAAGAGACAAGGTGGGCGAGGGATTAGCTTTTATTGGTGAGAGACACAAGCTTAGAGCTTGCACAGAGCTCTTCTTGGTGTTGGTAACATGATAACTTCTGAACACCACATCCAATCAACTCCACAATTCCCAGGCATCAGTAGGCAGAAGCCTGTTGGTTTTGGTGGAATGTGGACAATCGGAAGAGGGATGGGGAACAAACAGAGCTTCTTGCATCTGATAATTGTCAATAGATCAGAGAACTGGTTGATCTCAGCCATTAACACCGTCTAGCAGAATACCTGCCATCTCAACACCGCCTGTTCTCCCAGTACCATTTAAAATGAGGACACCTTGAAGGACTTCTGTCCCAGACAGGAAGAAAAGAAGCAAAAACAGGGTTTGGGGAAAAGATGGTACACACTGAACCCTGGTCCAGAGGGGAGACGGAGCCACACAGAGCCATGGCATGAGGGAGGAGATATCAAGGAGTCTTGGGAAAGGAGCGGAGTGGGAAGGTGGCTCACAGGATCTTGTGGGGGAGAATGGAGGAACAAAAGAAGCCCAGTGGTGCGTGCAATGAGCTCAGCCTACAGACGTAACCAAGTGTCCAAACCTCTAGTTAATTTCAAACTATAGAATGGTTTAAACCGGAATCCCTGTTTTCAGCAGACAAGTCATCATGGGGCTGTCTCAGCCCAGTGAGATTCCGGCTTATACTGCCGTGACAATTTCCTCTTTTTTTAAAAAACAAACCATCAAACTGGTTGCACAACTGCAATCTGTGTTCAGTTCCGTGCACATCCCCACAGGCAAGCCAGAAGCACTGTTCCTGAGCCATCTTGTGTATCTAGCATCAGTCAGGCTGGGCAGACTGCGCACTGCAGATCTCGCATGGAGATTTTCTCAACAAGTCAGTTATGTTAAGTAGCAATTACATTAGCAGTGGTCCTATTCCGGTCACAATCACACTGATCAGGCACCAGGGAAATGCTGGTCACTATTAGACGTTAGACCCTCTATTCAAACACCACCTGGCACTGACCTGTCATCCACATAGTTCAAATTTGTGAGTGGCTGGCCTGTTAAACCTGGTAACGATCCTTCATTTCGATAACACTGTTATGAAGGAGGCTGGGTGACCCTCGTTGAAGCGATGGGCATGATAACAGCTGCCCCCCATCCAGGATAAATATCAGACACAGTTAAGCTCCTTTATAGAGTAAGTTGGATAAAACCATAGGAGCCACTGCCCAGACACAGGCTGCAAGCAAGGCTGGTAAGTTTTGTCTGAAGGCTGTGCGCATGTAAGTCCGTGAACAGAAGCACCCAGGAAACAGGCAGAGAGAACTAGCCCAGGCAGCCAGAAGCAGACAAAGAAGGAGCAGGAAAGCCAAGGAGATGGCAAGAAATGCACTGGTAACGGGGCTCAAGAGGAAATGGAGAGAGAGCGAGCTTTTCTATAGTGTGCTGACAGGAACGAGGCTTGGAACTGTGAGCAAAAAACCTGTCTCCGGTGTGATTCCTACTGTTTCGGGGAATCAGGACTCTTGTCTACCTTCTCTGTGAATAAACAGGATTGCACCAGAGAAATACCGAGCTCGATCATCAATTTCTCCTCTTAACAGAAACAGCCTGCAAGACACTGCGTATTGGCTCACCGCTCAGGGGTAACAGTACTTTTCAACCTGTGGCGTCCAAGCATTTACAGTGTGAGCTCAACTTGAAACATGGGAGTTGTCCCATGGACGTCAACACTACCTGTGTGCTTAAAGTTAAGCACATGCTCAAGAGCTTTGTGGAATGGGGCCTTAAGGAAAGAAAAGCACCACCTCCATTTGGAACTGCAGGAGAACCGTAGCAGGCAGAGCTGGACTTTGGCCAGGAAACAAGAATCAGTGCGGTAAGAATGGCATGGGATCTTCAGTGACCACAAGCGCCCAGGAGCTTGCCAGAGGGAAGCAAAGGGAGAGTCCAGGGGTGAGGGTGAAGGGGAAAGCCAGGAGAGGGGAAAGGGTGGGGATGGGATTGAAGGGAGAGGCTCATCCTCCTACTCACTGAGAGCTCCCCCAGGCAGCAGCATGAGTACCAGGGTCCCCAGGAGCCGCAGGGTCCAGCCAGAGGGAAGTGACGTCATGGTGCCAGGTGAGTTCCCAGAGAATGGGGGTGACAGCACAGTCCGGGCAGGGCTGCAGCCGCTCCTCACCCTGCACACTGTGCAACACAGACCCCAGCCAGGGCCACCCAGAGGCACATGAGGCAAGGGGAAGTGGGAGTCAGTGCTCTGCAGCTTCAGGGGCCCAGGAAGGGGATGGGCAGAGTGCACATACTGCCCAGCCCCCTCTGTAGTGTTGTGCTCATGGCAGACAGTGCACAGGATAGAGCGGATATAGCTGCAGTTAGTACCATAACAAAAGCAGGCTGTGGTCACCCCCTCAGCATAGGAAACACCTGGGGGGGGGACGACAGCATTTCCTCCCTCTGCCTCCTTCCAAGGGCTGGGCGGCATCAGAAGAATGAGACATCGAGGGGTATTAATGTTTAGCATCCCCTGCAGGCTGCACACACTTGTTTTTTCTTTAGAGGATGCTGCTGGAAGGTGTAAAGTTTGCAGAGAGGCACCTACCAGTGCAGCGCTGTACAGCTCAGGTTTCTCAGTGGAAGAGAAATGCAGGATTGTTATTTTTCTGGTCTGGGGACAAACACAAAGTTATTCTGACACAGCAGCACTATGCCACCCTGTCCTGATCAGCACCCCCAAACTGTGCTGATTTCTGAAACACAAGAGGCAGTCCAGTTACCAAAGGATCCTTGCTATTAATCCTGTGGGTCAAATTCATCCCTGCTGTTACTCCATCCGCCTCCGCTAATGTCATTACCCAGGGATGTATCTGACTCAAAGCTGCTCCTGGCTTACAGATGCAAACCGAGCCATGCTTCACTCCTCAGCAGGAAAAGGAGCCTTTAAACCTGCTGGGCACTTTCCTGTCTTACAGCCAAAGGGAGAAAATTATAAAAACAAAGACAATCGGCAGTTTTTACAGTTGCACTTTATTGTAGCCCTGCAGGACAGAAATAATTGCTTGATCACAATGGCGTAGGTTAGAGGACGCCCCTATCATTCATTGGGCAATGGGGAGATGGTTAGTTGGTTGCTGCTCTACAGTTAAATTTTCACCATCGATTCGTGGGAGTGTGTGTGAGGATATAGAAATGCTGCAGATGATACCAGCACTGAAGTCAACCAAAAATAGATTTGTTCAGTTTAGGAAGGAAAACTGCTGACTTTTTAAATAAGAGAATAGGGCAGAAAATTGGCTTTTTTATGCTTTACATTTTCACAGTGGGGCAGAGGGATTTGCGAACAGAGTTGCCCTTAAGGTTCATGGCTATCAGGCAGTTAAACAGCCATTCACTACTTTAAACATGTTTGGGTTATAATGCACTTAGGTTAAATATATGCAACAGTTGGGTGATTTCTGAAAGCTCAACGTTGTTGGTGTATTCTGCAGAGGGTCTGAAGCTTGCATCAACTGAAGGTTTACTTTCATACATTTTAATCTAGTTTCTCTCAACTTGCTTTCCCTTTCTGAACTGAAAGGAATCTGAATTCAACCCTTTTACTTATAGCCCTCACAAATATATAAGAGGATGAAATCCCTAGTTTATCAAGTAGGGACTTACATTTGTGAGATTGAAAGGAAAGAACAAAAAAACCTCAAACCGTAACCACTGGCACACAGCATGAAAAAAATCTGATTCCTGATGCACAGGCTAATCTCTTCCTGGATCACTAGACGTACTAGCAAGTTCTCTGCAAATAGTAACAATCATCATATGTACAAAGAGAAAAGGAGTACTTGTGGCACCTTAGAGACTAACCAATTTATTTGAGCATGAGCTTTCGTGAGCTACAGCTCACTTCATCGGATGCATACCGTGGAAAGGCAGTTTCCACGGTATGCATCCGATGAAGTGAGCTGTAGCTCATGAAAGCTCATGCTCAAATAAATTGGTTAGTCTCTAAGGTGCCACAAGTACTCCTTTTCTCTTTGCAAAGACAGACTAACACGGCTGTTACTCTGAAACCTGTCATATGTACAAAGTAATTATACAAACCGCAGCCAAAGGAGACAGTTTGTCACAGAAATGCGTCAGAGATTTCAGCTATTCTTTATATTTTTGTAGGTCCTGCTTAAGTTTCTGAATCTCCAGATACAGTTTCTGCACTTCCAGCAGGAGTTTCAGTTCTGTCAGAGACACATTGCAGTGGAGAAACTTTATACACTCGCGAACCATGTTGCACTGAGGGGAATCGAGTTGCTTCTTCTGTAAAACAGAAACAGAGGGAATGTGATTACGCTGAAGATAATAAGGACCTATCCTCACAAGCATGCTTGCTCCTTTTTGATCTGAGCCATTATCCAGTGTGTTACATGTGTCTGTCTCAGACATATTATAGGATTCTGAAAGGTGTTGCACATTCTCAGTTAGAGCTGGCCAGAAAATGAAAATTTCATGTGAAATATATTGTGCTTTTGAAAACAGTTTCATCCTGAACCGGAACAAAAACAAAAACGACCCTGAAATTTTTCATGGGAAGGGATTTCAAGAAAAATTCTACTTCAAGAGACCCCCAAATAGAAATTTTTTGGCTTCCTGGCTGATCACACCAGCCAGCAGGCAGAGACCCTGGCCACGCAGACTCCATCCAAGCTCCAGCAGCTAGACAGCCTGGGCACTCAGACTCCTCCTGACTCCAGGGGCCAGGGCAACAGAGCAACTGGGCTCTCTGCCTCTGTGGCCCTGGAGATAGCAGGCGTGGGTGGCAATAGCTGAGAAGCAGAGAGACAGGGCGCTCAGCTTTGGCAGCTGCCTTGGGAAGACTTTGGTCATTTACAATTTCTGCACATACGCACAGTCTATTACATGTGTCGTCTCATATCCTCTGTGCCTGACTTAGGGTCTGATCCCGATAAATGCCAGCTGAGTGCCCTCAATTCTGATACTGCTAAGCAATGCTGAGGAAGTTCTGAGCAACTTGCAGAATCAGGCATTGGACTGTCAACTCCTGAGACAGGAACCAGACCTCCATTTACACTTGTACAATGTTGAACACACTGGCAGTTGCTCAGTAAAGCAGTCAGTCATGATATTTGCTTTATACTGTGCCCCAGACCAACAGAAGATACATAACGTATCACACCATTAACTGCTTTGAAAACCTCTCTCTCTATATATATATTTCACAATGGGGCATAACATTTTCTTCCTGTTGTGATTTTTAACCACCAGATTTTACCTATTTTATATTATTTTGGGCATGGAGCAGCCACTGCAAAGGAAGAAAACCTTCTCCCTTAAAATACAAGAAAGGGATGGGGTGGGGGAGTGATGGGATGTGTTTGCTTTCAGGTCCACTTATTTTTTCCACTTATGTTGTATCAATGGCAGATCTATCTCCCTCGCCACACAGGTCTCATTATTTTAAAGAAGCAAAGACACATTCAGACAGTGTTTTGTTTTACACTAGAAATTGGACAGGGTGCATCAAGAAATCCAAATGGACTGTGATGCTTACACACACGGGTAACACGGTCCAGGTGCCATTAGCTAAACATGTAACATTCACGCTGTCTGTTGTAGACTGATACCAAAGGTCTGAACATTGGTACCCAGGAGAGCATTTGAAAGTAATGCTTTCATTCACGTTGTACCACATTTTTTCATCTAACGCATTGACCATTTCTTCATTTTGCACATCTGGCTTTGGACACTGAACTGAAAGGAAAAGGAAGAAGAGAAGACAGTTCAGTGAGAGGGGGAGATGCACGGTGCATGGTGCTTATTGTCTGTAAATCATGCTCTTAGTTCACTTCATTGCAGCTGTTTTGGTTTTGCAGGGAAATAATCTGCAAGTAACATTAAACCCACAGTGCATCTCTCTCTTTGGAGAAACAAACATCATGAGAACAACAAGAAAACGGTGCGAGTGAAATCCCATCCAGTGCTGTGTATCATGGGCACTTCCTGCAGGCATCGGCAGCTGAAAGCCCCCACATGGAGCAGCAGAGCACAGGCGCTCTGTTGGTTCATTTAAGGACGTCTTATTGGCAGTCTTGGGACAACTGTGAACGTGCAGTTCACTCCCAGGCACACTTGTGGCCTTTTTTAAAACAGCCTCTTTGGTCTATTGCAGAATTACCCTCCTCTGCAGTGAGGGAGAAGTACATGGAAGTCAGTGGAGTTGCCTTGGATTGATACTAATGGAACCAAGAGCTGAACCTGGTCCTTAACAGCGTCTTACGCTTCTATAGTGACTTTCATCCTGTAGGATGCCAAAGATACCACAGTGACTGGCACACTACGAACACCTTAGACAGAGAAATGTAAGGCCTGATTGCCTTTTGACTTACTCCACTGAGAAGCAGGAGTGGCTTCAGGGAAGTTGGAGAAGTTACAGAAGAGTCCAGCACTTGGACTCAGATTGTCCCCACAAACATACCGAGACCACACACACAGAAGGTCAATATTAAAAGTGCCACCATCAGGACAGCTGGATTGGGAACCACAAACCAAGAGATGGGTCAGTTGAGGGGTGTGTCTGAGGGAGAAATTCAGCAAGGTGGAAATGGGAGGATCAAGCATACGTTAGGGCATAGCTCAGGGCAGATCATATGTATGAGTGCCAGGGCAGAGAGGACACTGGCAGTGGGCATCCCAGCTGGGAGCATTTGGTCTGCTGCAAAGGAGGAATCTGCAGTGAGTTGGCCCCTGGCTCTCCATATTTTCAGTATTGAAGGGCTAAGATGTTAAATAGCCCCCAGGTCATTGCAATGTGCCCTCCACCCTTTTCTAATCTCAGTCATTCTAGTGTGATGAAGAAATGCATCACCTTTGCACTCAGGGGCAGGTGGATCCCAGCGCGGAGTTCCCCCATCACCAGCTATACATTGAATGGAGGATACTCCAACAAGTGACCAACCATCCTCACATACGTAGGTCACATTTGAGCCAACATGGAAAACGTCTTTCCGGCTGCGGTCGTCCCGTCCATTAGAGATGCGTGCAGGTGGATCACAAGCTAAAATAAAAAAGGGGAAAATACAGCAGCGATGCAGAACGAGCAATCCCCTAAAAGCAGGGAGGCAGCATAAATACTGTGGGGTTTCCCGGCAGTACATTTCCAAAAAAAATGGTGCTTGGAGGGGCACCAGTGTCTAATGCCTTTGACAATCTGCCAGCACTTTCTGTTAGTTTCTGGCTGTGAGTTAGCATCATACCCATGGCATTGGGAGAGCAAAGATAAAAACAGCAACATGCAAAACACTCTTAAAATGGCTCTTGGACCTGCAAGGGCCCCAGGGATCGTTGTTCACATGCGGATGACACTGAACAACTGCACTGAATGACTGAGAATTACAGCCAGACCCTGAGAAGTACAGAAGGCCTGCAGCTCCCATCAACTTCAACAGTGGCGTCCTCCTGCATGGCTCCCTGAGTCATTAAACTGGCCCTGCTACATATGCACCCCCAAAATCCAGATCTGATCCCCTTCTATAGACACTGAGTCTGCAATGAGTTGGCCCCTGGCTCTCCATATTTTCAGTATTGAAGGGCTAAGATGTTAAATAGCCCCCAGGTCATTGCAATGTGCCCTCCACCCTTTTCTAATCTCAGTCATTCTAGTGTGATGAAGAAATGAATCACCTTTGCACTCAGGGGCAGGTGGATCCCAGCGCGGAGTTCCCCCATCACCAGCTATACATTGAATGGAGGATACTCCAACAAGTGACCAACCATCCTTACATACGTAGGTCACATTTGAGCCAACATGGAAAACGTCTTTCCGGCCGCGGTCGTCCCGTCCATTAGAGATGCGTGCAGGTGGATCACAAGCTAAAATAAAAAAGGGGAAAATACAGCAGCGATGCAGAACGAGCAATCCCCTAAAAGCAGGGAGGCAGCATAAATACTGTGGGGTTTCCCGGCAGTACATTTCCAAAAAAAATGGTGCTTGGAGGGGCACCAGTGTCTAATGCCTCTGACAATCTGCCAGCACTTTCTGTTAGTTTCTGGCTGTGAGTTAGCATCATACCCATGGCATTGGGAGAGCAAAGATAAAAACAGCAACATGCAAAACACTCTTAAAATGGCTCTTGGACCTGCAAGGGCCCCAGGGATCGTTGTTCACATGCGGATGACACTGAACAACTGCACTGAATGACTGAGAATTACAGCCAGACCCTGAGAAGTACAGAAGGCCTGCAGCTCCCATCAACTTCAACAGTGGCGTCCTCCTGCATGGCTCCCTGAGTCATTAAACTGGCCCTGCTACATATGCACCCCCAAAATCCAGATCTGATCCCCTTCTATAGACACTGAGTCTGCAATGAGTTGGCCCCTGGCTCTCCATATTTTCAGTATTGAAGGGCTAAGATGTTAAACAGCCCCCAGGTCATTGCAATGTGCCCTCCACCCTTTTCTAATCTCAGTTATTCTAGTGTGATGAAGAAATGAATCACCTTTGCACTCAGGGGCAGGTGGATCCCAGCGCGGAGTTCCCCCATCACCAGCTATACATTGAATGGAGGATACTCCAACAAGTGACCAACCATCCTTACATACGTAGGTCACATTTGAGCCAACATGGAAAACGTCTTTCCGGCCGCGGTCGTCCCGTCCATTAGAGATGCGTGCAGGTGGATCACAAGCTAAAATAAAAAAGGGGAAAATACAGCAGTGATACAGAACGAGCAATCCCCTAAAAGCAGGGAGGCAGCATAAATACTGTGGGGTTTCCCGGCAGTACATTTCCAAAAAAAATGGTGCTTGGAGGGGCACCAGTGTCTAATGCCTCTGACAATCTGCCAGCACTTTCTGTTAGTTTCTGGCTGTGAGTTAGCATCATACCCATGGCATTGGGAGAGCAAAGATAAAAACAGCAACATGCAAAACACTCTTAAAATGGCTCTTGGACCTGCAAGGGCCCCAGGGATCGTTGTTCACATGCGGATGACACTGAACAACTGCACTGAATGACTGAGAATTACAGCCAGACCCTGAGAAGTACAGAAGGCCTGCAGCTCCCATCAACTTCAACAGTAGCGTCCTCCTGCATGGCTCCCTGAGTCATTAAACTGGCCCTGCTACATATGCACCCCCAAAATCCAGATCTGATCCCCTTCTATAGACACTGAGTCTGCAATGAGTTGGCCCCTGGCTCTCCATATTTTCAGTATTGAAGGGCTAAGATGTTAAATAGCCCCCAGGTCATTGCAATGTGCCCTCCACCCTTTTCTAATCTCAGTCATTCTAGTGTGATGAAGAAATGCATCACCTTTGCACTCAGGGGCAGGTGGATCCCAGCGCGGAGTTCCCCCATCACCAGCTATACATTGAATGGAGGATACTCCAACAAGTGACCAACCATCCTCACATACGTAGGTCACATTTGAGCCAACATGGAAAACGTCTTTCCGGCCGCGGTCGTCCCGTCCATTAGAGATGCGTGCAGGTGGATCACAAGCTAAAATAAAAAAGGGGAAAATACAGCAGCGATACAGAACGAGCAATCCCCTAAAAGCAGGGAGGCAGCATAAATACTGTGGGGTTTCCGGCAGTACATTTCCAAAAAAAATGGTGCTTGGAGGGGCACCAGTGTCTAATGCCTCTGACAATCTGCCAGCACTTTCTGTTAGTTTCTGGCTGTGAGTTAGCATCATACCCATGGCATTGGGAGAGCAAAGATAAAAACAGCAACATGCAAAACACTCTTAAAATGGCTCTTGGACCTGCAAGGGCCCCAGGGATCGTTGTTCACATGCGGATGACACTGAACAACTGCACTGAATGACTGAGAATTACAGCCAGACCCTGAGAAGTACAGAAGGCCTGCAGCTCCCATCAACTTCAACAGTAGCGTCCTCCTGCATGGCTCCCTGAGTCATTAAACTGGCCCTGCTACATATGCACCCCCAAAATCCAGATCTGATCCCCTTCTATAGACACTGAGTCTGCAATGAGTTGGCCCCTGGCTCTCCATATTTTCAGTATTGAAGGGCTAAGATGTTAAATAGCCCCCAGGTCATTGCAATGTGCCCTCCACCCTTTTCTAATCTCAGTCATTCTAGTGTGATGAAGAAATGAATCACCTTTGCACTCAGGGGCAGGTGGATCCCAGCGCGGAGTTCCCCCATCACCAGCTATACATTGAATGGAGGATACTCCAACAAGTGACCAACCATCCTCACATACGTAGGTCACACTTGAGCCAACATGGAAAACGTCTTTCCGGCTGCGGATGTCCCGTCCATTAGAGATGCGTGCAGGTGGATCACAAGCTAAAATAAAAAAGGGGAAAATACAGCAGCGATACAGAACGAGCAATCCCCTAAAAGCAGGGAGGCAGCATAAATACTGTGGGGTTTCCCGGCAGTACATTTCCAAAAAAAATGGTGCTTGGAGGGGCACCAGTGTCTAATGCCTCTGACAATCTGCCAGCACTTTCTGTTAGTTTCTGGCTGTGAGTTAGCATCATACCCATGGCATTGGGAGAGCAAAGATTAAAAACAGCAACATGCAAAACTCTCTTAAAATGTCTCTTGGACCTGTAAGGGCCCCAGGGATCGTTGTTCACATGCGGACGACACTGAATTACTGAGAATTACAGCCAGACCCTGAGAAGTACGGAAGGCCTGCAGCTCCCATCAACTTCAACAGTAGGCTCCTCCTGCATGGCTCCCTGAGTCATTAAACTGGCCCTGCTACATACACACCATCAAATTCCAGATCTGATCCCCTTCTATAGCCACTGAGTTCTGCCAGAACCCCCTGAATGAGCATGCCAAGCCTCCTCCAAGTTATGAGACTCTTCTGGAGTCCCCCGAATTCCCCACCCATCCCCACTAGCTATTGAACTTTCTCACCACACCACCCTCCCAGTATAATGAGCCATCTTTTCCCCATATGTCCATCCTTCTTGAACTGGTGAGGAGGAGGAGGACTGCTTCGGGTGAAAGATGGGGATAGAGTTGGTTCTAGCAGGTGATATTTTTTATCGTGGTTAGTTTTAGTCTTCTGACACTGTTCCGGGATCATCACACATTTCCAACGGTAGCCAGAGTGACGCATAAAGCAGTCCCAGTACTGCCCATTGAAATAGGCCTAAAGCTCTGAAAATGCTCAACTAATAACTCCAACAACAGATATTACCTCACCCCCTGGGTTTCTCTAATCCCTCATCTGGCTTTTTGAAAATTCATGGATACTTAAAATTCTCTTTTCATGTGCTTAGTGTTTTGAGAACTGACCCAACACCGATGAGGGTGCCAGAAGCATTTGTACCATGCTCCCACTCAATGGTTGCGTTGGGGGATGGCAACTTTAATCTGTGATGGGATCTTTCTAATGGTCACAGTGAAGTTGGCTGCTAAGGGAGGCACAGAATCATTGTATCCTCTGGGCATCCCAGCCATCCTCACCCAACATCATCTACATTTGGGGCAATGTTGTCTGGTCTTTGGACCACTGTGGGAACAAGGCACTGTGGAGGCCTTCTCCAATCATAGCTCCCTTAATCCAGGGCAATCTTTCTGCTGAAGCCTTTTTAACTCAGGACTAGTCCTTAAAGGTACAAAGCATATTTATCTTCAAGAAATCTGAACTGCAAAAGGCATTTATTTGTACGGACATATAGTCCGGGCACTAACTCCAATAAACAGCATTCTTTAAATGCTGGCTAATGAAGAATAGATATAAAGTACTGGGAGACTATGGGGAGACTGAAAATTCTCCCATTCTCTAGATGGGGTAAACACTAACCTGCAGGAAAGGACAAAAGGATCTTCCTCAGGTATAGTTGCTAGTTAAAGGATTGGTATGTAATTGTGCTAAGAATGATGCAATGGGAGAGAGCCCATACTTTCTATGTTTGGCAGGCATCCTTTGCTATCAACTGATTTGTACTTTGAAATCCAACAGCAAAGGCAAGCTGCGATAACCTATCAGCCGCATGTGAAGGACCTGAGATGAAGACTTTGCTATGCATATAATTTAGCTACTAAGAAAACAGAAAAATCAGTTGGCAAACAGGTGGCGATGGTATGCCAAAGTAATCAGGTCTCCTGTAAAAGTGGGAGATAGAGACGTATTACACAATCTTAGTCTCACAGTAAATGAGAAAATTGCAGAGAGGTGAGAGTCATTAGTCTATATGGTAATTGGAAAGTGAATTACATATCTACAAGGTACAGGCAGAGTTGGGAGAAGGTTCCATCCAATCCTGCACCGAGACATGCTTTGTCCTTGTGGATTCATTTCTGCTTCCAAGGCTATGGAGGTAGAATTGTGGAATACACTCCAGTAATCTGGAAAATGTGATTAAAAAGTAGCTAATGCAAGCGTACAAATTGAAGGAGGAGGTGAATCTTCATATGATTCCATTCTACAATCAAACCAATTCATGTAGTAGAGGAATACTTCATTCCATGAAGATCAAAGTGAAGAAGCACAAACACCAGGAAATTCACCACATGGAGCTCTCCGCTGGAGCTGGGGTGTATTTGCCTCACTCTATCAACAACATCTGTGAAGTTTTATCAAGGTGCCTAGCAGAACAAGTAAACTAGAAGCCAATCTGCCCAATCTGTGGACCATGTTCTTCATTTTGCTACTGTCATTAGGGAGTAAAGGCCCACTAAATACTCACTTATTACGTGCATCTTTTGGTACTACTTGAGCATGCCGATAGACACAGAGAAGATAAAATTGCCCGTCATAGATATCACAATGCCAAGACACCAGTCATTTAGGTAGGGGAGAATGTACCCCACATAGAATCATAGAACTGTAGGACTGGAAGGGACCTTGAGAGGTCATCTAGTCTAGTCCCCGTACTCATGGAAGGACTAAGTATTATCTAGACAATCCCTGGGAGGTGTTTGTCTAAACTGCTCTTAAAAATCTCCAATAGAGATTTTACAACCTCCCTAGGCAATTTATTCCAGTGCTTAACCACCCTGACAGTTAGGAAGTTTTTCCTAATGTCATGTCCAACCTAAACCACCCTTGCTGCAATTTAAGCCTATGGCTTCTTGTTCTATCCTCAGAGGTTAACAAGAACAGTTTTTCTCCCTCCTCCTTGTAACAACCTTTCATGTACTTGAAAACTTTTATGTCCTCCCTCAAGTCTTCTCTTCTCCAGACTAAACAAACCCAATTTTTTCAATCTTCCCTCGTAAGTCATGTTTTCTAGACCTTTAATCTTTTTTGTTGCTCTTCTCTGGACTTTCTCCAATTTGTCCACATCTTTCCTGAAATGTGGCGCCCAGAACTGGACACAATACTCCAGCTGATACCTAATCACCGCAGGGTAGAGCGGAAGAAATACTTCCCCCAAGGTTTCACACCCAGCACAATGGGACATTGGATCCTGACTGAGTCCTCTGTGTGCTACCATAATATAAATATAGAAGTACCAGCAATTACACTTTGTGTTAGATGTTCCTTTCAAAATCAGGGATGGGAGGTCACTGTATCAGAGTTCATCATCATTTATACAAACTGGTTTGCAAACTGTAACAACAGCCACGTAAAATAGAGATGAACCTATCATGTGAGATTCAGTCAGACTAATTTAAAGAACTAAAAACATTCAAAGGAGGATAATGGATGGACACCAAGAAAAAGTGTGTGAAATTGGAACTGGCTAATAGCACTGTAGGGTGATGCTTTCTTCGGGTGGAAGGAAAATAGTGGTACCCTCAAACCACTTTTTGAAATGGGATGGAGTCAACGGGTCACAAAGCCAGTCCAGCTACAAGCACAGGGATCTTGTTTTCTGTGTTCACAGAGGGCTGTGTGTACTTAAGATGACTCAAACAATGGGGTCTGTCTCCGTCACTCATACATCTACTCTCCCGGCAGATTTCTTCAGAGGAAGCTCAGCCTACCCACTACAGACCCCAACCTTCATCAGTTCCTTTTCTCCTCTTTTACCAGAGATCTGCTGACACCCCGCAGGGCAAGTACCCTGGAATGAACTGGGTGTGGGGAGCTGGAATGAACCAAAATCTTACAACACCACTACCACCCCACTAGTAAGCTCATGCAGTGCCATTCACCAACTTTGTTCCTTCTGTGCCACTAACAACATACATTGACTACCTTTGTGTGTGCTTGCCTCATGATGGAAGAAGGGTAGAGCAAGGGAGCGGAAAGAATGTTTGTGAGATGCCTCTGTGCCAGTAGCATTTGGCCTACCTGTCAGTCATTGTAATGACCCTGCATTTCTATCATACTTTTCAACCTGTTACGCCCAGAGCTACTTCATCCACCAGAGAAATGCAGCTATTTCTCCAAGGTCCCAATTCAGTAAAGCACTTAAACATGTGCTTAAAGTTAAGCATGGAAGTGGCTCCACTGAAATCAACACTACGCCTGTGCTTAGAGTTAAGCACGTGCTCAAGGACTTTGTGGAATGAGGGCCTAAGTGACGAAAAACACCACATCCTTTTGAAACTGCAGGAGAAACGGAGGGAGGCAGAGTGCAATGGCAGAGCTGGAATTTGTCCAGGAAACCAGGATCAGTGTTCTAAGAAGGACATAGGATCCTCAGGACCTTTCAGGAGAGGACTGAAGGGGGAGACAGAGGTTCAGGGTGATAGAGGCCGAAGAGGGGAAGCAAGAAGGGACGAGGTGGGGGAGGGAGTGAAGGGAGAGGCCCTCTTTCCCAACTGGGGCCTCCGTGTGCTACCATAATATAAATATATAATTATGCAGCAATTACGTTGTTTGGGAGTAGGTCAGGGACAGCAGGTCACCATGTCAGAGATCTTCATCATTTATACATACCTGGTTCGCAAATTGGTAATGCAGGATGCCATGCACCATTCTGTTCGCACTTAATCGATCCATAATTGTCCTTGAGGGCGTTACCAGGATTACAAACAATGCTAATCGTGTCCTCATACTCATAGATTGCTTGTGTAGGTCTCGCTCTTCCATTGGTAATGTCTGGATCGGGACATCTAATTTCTGTGAAACACCACCACCACCAGTGTTAAATCAGAGCAAAAACAATTCTGCAGATTCATTTACAAGGAGCAGCTGAACATTTTGCTAGCTACAGAAAGTCAGCATTTCCTTCACATTTTTGAAGAGGCTGGTTTTAGGTGGAAGTTTTATATCATCGACAGACACAGCAAATCATTTCTTCCTGCCATGAGTGTTATTGGGCGTGCCTCATGGATTGAGGAGTACCCTTTCCAGTTTTCTTCTGGGTAACTATTTGAATTGAAGTTGGCACGGTATTTTGGTTTTCAGCAGGCTTCTAAACAACACCGATTGCTGTGTTACAATAAATTTGGTGTAGAATCCACCTTGATTATAATCTGCCTTAGATAATATGGAGATCATGGGTGGGAGCAACAGATCTGTTCATGAATGTGTAAACAATTAACTCTGACCCTGCTTCCTACTGTTAAAGTAAGAATTCCCAGAAGACAGACAGACACACACTTACTTTGAACCACATATCGACTATAGAGTATAGCTTCCTACATTTGTGTTAATTTTGTAGCTCAATTAAAACAAAGAAAGCTAAACCAAAGATTAATATGCTTACTCTGACAAAATTCTTGCTGTTCAGACCATGTAAAATCTTTCTGACAGGTAACATTCGCAGAGGATATTCCAGGGATTAACTCATAACCTCCCACACAGTTATATTTCACTACAGTCCCAGCCGGAAACAAGTTCCTGTTAGAATGATCTCGAAAAGTATTACGAATGTAAGGTGGGTCATCACAACTACCTAAGAGTAAAAATAAAAGTTTGAGGACATACATAACCAGGAAATCTTATTGAGAAATAATTCTTCTCTACACGAATGTGACATGAAAGACATGTATATTAACAAACAAACAAACCCAAAAACCTAAAACCCTATCACAAAACAAGAAACCCCATGGCACATGCTTCTCTCCCGAGGAGAGGATGAGAGGGGAAAAAAAACAAAACAAAAAACACATGCCAGGTGCATAGTTACATTATTTAATGCAATACTGGAAGGCACTCAGACATTATGGTGATGAGTGCAGGATAAGAACTTATACAATAAATACATAAACAACAATACATGGCTCTTCTTCAGTAGATCTCAAAGCACTTTACAAAGAACGTCAGTATCCTTATTCCCCTTTTACAGGGGAAACTGGGCCACAGAGCGAGGAAGTGACTTGCCCAAGGTCACTCAGCAGGGATAGAACCCAGGTCTCCTGAGTCCCACTTCAGTGCTCTATTCACTCGGCAACACTGCCTGCAATAGAATAAAACTGGAATCCCTGTTTTCAGCATACAAGTCATTTAACCGAAGCGTCATGGAGCTGTGTCAGCACAGTGGCATGCAGGCTTGCACAGCAGTCACTATTTCCTCTCTTAAAACAAAGGGGACATCAAACTGGCTGTCCCTGAAACTTGGGCGAACAAGGGCTGCAGGGTCAGTTTGAAGGAGGTGGTAGTCCCCATATGACACTTACTTCGCTCACAAACTGGTAACTGAGGATCCCATCTACTATTTTCATTGCACTGAAGTATGTCACTGCCTTTGAGGGTGTAGCGGTGTTCACACTCAAACAGAACGGAGGCTCTGTAGGTGTAGACAGGACTATATCCAGTCACCTGTTTTCCATGGTCAACTTTTGGCTGTTCACAGCGAATGACTGTGTAAGAAAAACAGTGTCACCTTGGGAGGTTTACTGTTATATTAAAAATTGGGAAACGAAGTGAAGATACTTCTGAGGAATCAGATCTATTTACCAGGAGGATATGAACAGATTTGAAAGCACATACACATGGCCCTGCAGAGATATCATGGCATGTCTGAACACTCCTGCCCCTGTCCCCCCCCCAGAAACCACCTATTTGAAACATTGTGTTAAGGAAAAGCAGAAAAGTATCAGTGGGTCTGATGCTATGTTCTCAAATTCCTTGGGGCATCAGTTTTGATCGAACCTAGTAGGCAAGTTTTAGTCTTCATCTAGCCTTTTCTTAATTCAAGTAAAGTGTCAAACTACCCCTGCTGAATTTGTGACCACCTGCAAAGGCAGTTCTGTCCCAGGCAATTGTGGGGATATGGTGTTGGGGGTGGCGGGGGAAGAGAGTGAGAGCACACACAGTGCTTACAGTCTTTGACAAGAGAGGTATTGGGCAGCAGGAGCTGCTGGAACTGCTCCGTCTTGTTGCTTATCATTTGTGGACATTATAAAATCATTTCTCCAGAGTTCCAGCTGCACTTATAGCTGACACAGACACTCAGATCTGGTCTCCTGTGAAGAAGACAGGCAGATATGCTCCTGGTTTACCTGCAGAAACCTCAACAGGAATAATTTCTCAAGTGAGTAAATAATTAGATTTGTTTCCCACATACGTCTTATCAAAAATATGATCAATTTAAAAAAAACCCCATAAAATGGGGTTTTCAGTAAGTTCCATGGCCATTTCAATAACATTTTATATGAGTTTTGGGGGGAAAACATTAAAAACAATGACATGAAAAATAAAACATTTTTAGTAAAGTGGACAGTTTTTCGCAAAACAATTTGCTTTTTTTTCAAAAAAGGACTTTTTTTGACATAAAAATCTTTGTTGAAAAAATTTCGATCAGCTCCAGTATTCTTCTTCAGAGGACTCTTAAGTGAGGACGGAAGCTGAATAAACTCTACTCCTCTCTCCTTCTTCTCCTCTCCTTCCCCACCCAGCTGCAAGCCCTGCTCCATCCTCTCTGTCTTGGCACGGCTTCTCCCTTTGAGAAGCAGAAGACCTTGTCCACCTCTCTCCTCCATGTCAGTGGTCAGTCTCATGTTGCCAGCCTGTCTCCCCCCATGAAGCTTTTCTAGGATTCCATGTCACTTCCTCCTCCCATACGGACACCAACTGCCTCTTTAAGCTTCCTGGCTCCTTGCCTGAGGGAGGAGTTGGAACACAGAACGTGGGCAGACCAAGGAAAGCAGGCAGTTGTTCTTGGTAGGGTGAGGTGGGAACTGAGGCCAATCTGGACACAAGAAGTGCAGTTCCCTGCACCCCTTAGTGTCTCTGCAAATCTCAGACTAGGCTCTGTTCTCCAAAGGGTGTTACTAAGAAGATGTGCTGAGGGGTGGGAATAAGAGTCGGAGTCCTGGAGACAATCTGTTAAGCAGTGGCACCGTTACGACTTACGTTGCGAATGCGTACGTGCACACTGCCACCATGTTTTACAGTAATTGGATTCCATCACCTTTGCATTCAGGGGCAGGCCCGCTCCAGTCTCCATTTACGTTATCCGTGGACGTACAGTGAATGGAGGGCTCTCCAATAAGTGAGAAAGGAACCTGTCCCCTCTCTATACTGTCACACTGGTAAGTGACAGATGTTCCATAGTTGAATTCCTCCATGGTCGTCCCAGTATGTGTTCCATGATCTATTTCTGGAGGAGGCTGGCAAGGTATCACTGAAAAGGGGGAAAAAAGGAAAGAAGGGAAGCAAGAGAGAATGTAATTTACGTCATATCCAAAGTCTTATAAGAGAAGAAGAGGCTGAAATGCAATGGATTAAAACCTTAGGTGGTTTAAAATCAGTGTAGCACCATTGACACCAAGGGAGTACCGCTGATTCACCAGCAGAGGACCTAGCCTATTGACTACAATGGAGCTATGCCCATTTACACCAGCTGGGGATCTGGCCCTATGCGAGACAAGATTTTTAAGACTAGAAAACGGGGCACCTTTCCTAAGGTAGTTATGCAGCCAGGGTGTGGTGGGAGTGGATGCACAGACTCAAGGGTCATGAAAGCCGAAGGAAGGAGGAGAAATCAAATCGAGGTCTTGCCCATTCAAGCGTATTAAAGATTCTATGGCACGTTCTCCAAAGGGAGGAGTTTTTGCTGTCACTTTCCATCCTAGGGATAACTGCGTATGAGTGACAGGCAAAGTTATCCCTAAATATAAATATATCTGTAAAGTGCTTAGAGATTGTGCTATAAGCATGTTAATACTATATATCTGGTTTCAGAGTAGCAGGCGTGTTAGTCTGTATTCGCAAAAAGAAAAGGCGTACTTGTGGCACCTTAGAGACTAACCAATTCATTTGAGCATAAGCTTCGGTTGCATCCGATGAAGTGAACTGTAGCTCACGAAAGCTTATGCTCAAATAAATTGGTTAGTCTCTAAGGTGCCACAAGTCCTCCTTTCCTTTTTTACTAGATAACTGAAGAGCAAGGGTCTGATTCAATTTACTTGGGGATCTGGTCCAAGCTCTGTTAACCAAGAATCTGATTCTTTTGGGCTTCTACCCCACAAACAAACAGATTCAAAAGCTAACAAGTTTTTCTACAGCATGGTGCAAGAGGAAAACAAAACTGAAGCGTTCAAGAATTTAGCATGCAGTGAAATAATAAATGAGTTGTATTTCAGAATCCATCCAGCAGGAGAAAGTATGCTTTTCATTGTCTAACCCTGATTACACTTTCCCCACAAAGCTATTAAGAGTCTCTAATCACCTTGACAGTATGGAACCTCTTTGTCCCATGTAACTTGTGATCCGTGAAGCACACATTTTCTTTCTGCATCTCCAATTAGTCTGTACCTGAATAAAACAGCAGGGAAGGGAACTTACATGATACAAACTGAGATTGGATGTCTTGCCTAGTCCAGCATCAATAAGGCTTTGATTCTCTTACATCATCATTAGTAGGGTTGGTTAATACATTTTCATCAAAACTATTTTTCAACAGCAAATTGGATTTTCAATTAAATGTTGCTTTTAAAAAAAATTATCTGCTTTCTGCAGACATTTTCCATGTTTCATGGAAAAATAGAATGCCCCCAAACTGAAATATTTTAATCCCACAATGCTGCCACAGTGCCACATTGGAGCTGTAGCTTGGGTGCCTCATTCTCCTATATAGAGTGGTCTCCCTGGTGAGGCTACATCTCCCATGATTCATCATGGCCTTCACAAGAGGAGGTAAGATCATGGGAATCTGACTGGGCCTAGGACAAAACTATTGCCAGGTCCCTAATCAGGTGTAAGGAAACAAAAGGTATTTTATTTATCTGGTCACCCCCTTCTGGCAGGCCACCATCTGCAGCAGACTTACTCAGCACCAGCAGGTAGGTCACTGGTGATAAATCAGACAGAGTCCTGTGTCATGCTCACTTTCCCTCAGGGAGTCCCTGGCAGGCAGCTGTCTATCAAGCCTTTCCTGGCCTTAGCCAGGCCTCTCTGAGTGAGAGCTGGAAGTCTGCTCTCCTTCCCAGTCTGCCCCCAGCTGAGCTCTGTGCTCTACTTTTAACTCCTCCCTCCAAACCTGACACCTGACAGCAGGTGTAGCAGGGTGGGGCTGACTGAGCATACATCAGCTCATTAACCTTTTCCTGGGGTTTGTATGCCCCATCCCAGAGTCCCTTGTTGGTTAGCCTGACATTGATCCCAGGCAAAGTCATGGAATGGCTGACATGGGATGCAATCAGTAAAGAATGAAAGGATAGCAGCTTTCATGGTTTTATGGAAAATAAATTTTATCAAACAAACTTGATATAGTTTTTTTCCATTAGATTAGAAGTTTGGTTGATGAAGATAACTCATTGATATAATAGACTTAGACTTCTGTAAGGCACTGGATTTAATACCGCATGCCGTTCTGACTAAAAAACCAGCACTATACCAAAAATATATATATTTATTCATTTATTTTTGGTTGATATATATCAATGTAGCACATATTAAATAGATTAAAACTGGTTTAACTGATATAGCTCAAAAAAGGAGAGTGTATGGGAGTGGGAGAATCCTTAAAGTGGTCTTTTCTACTGGGGTCCCCCAGGAATCTATTCTTGGCCCAGTGCTATTCAATATTTGGATCAGTTATCTGGAAGAAAGTATAAAACCATTGCTATTGAAGTCTGAAGATGACACAGATTGGTGCAATGGTAAATTATGAGAAGGCCAGGTTAGTTTTTTAGAGTTATCTGGATTGCTTGGTAAACTGGGCTCATCTGAACACCACACATTTTAATACAGCTAAATACAAAGGTATGGGTCTAGGAAAAAAGAATGCAAGTCACCCAAAATGGGGAGCATGTATCTGGAAAGCAGTGGCTCTGAAAAGGACTTAGGGCTCGTGGTGGATAACCAAGTGAACATGAGCTCCAAGTGAGATGCTGTGGCTAAGAGGGCTAATGCGATACATGGATATACAAGCAGGGGACAACTCAGTGTGAGTTGGGAGGTGGTATTACCTTTATATATAGTAGCCATGAGGCTACCACAAAAATTCTGAATCCAGTTCTGGTGTTCACACTTCAAAAAAAAGATATTGAATTGGGAAGAGTGCAGAAAAAGGCTACAAGAATGATCTGAGGCTGGGGAAATCTGCCTCATTAGGGTGGAGGAAGCTCAATCCATTTTGCTTTTCAAAGAGAAGGTTAAGAGGTGACTTGGTCATGGACGGTCTGGAAGTACCTACACGGCTAGAAGACTGGATAATAGAGACCTCTTTAATTTAGCAGAAAAAGGCATAGAAAGATCCAATGGCTGGAAGCTGAAACAAGGTAACAATTTGTGCCTTGTATGTAGCCTGAATTTAACAGTGGAAGGTATTAACTATTTGAGCAACCTACCTAGGGATGTGGTGAAATCTCCAAATCAAGATTGGAATCCTTTCTAAAAGTATGTTCTAGCTCAAATACAAATATGGGCTTGATCATCAATGGGTGAAACGTTCTGGGCGGTGTTATACAGGAGATCAGACTAGATAATCATAATGGTCCCTTTGGAAATTAAAAACCTATACATCTATCAGCACAAGCTGCCCATTACTCACCCCTCTTCACAGATGAAGTTTATTGTTGAACCAAACATGAGATCTGTTAGAATAACAAGTCTGCCATTTTCTGGCTCTCCGGGGTGAGGGCATGATCTTGCTAGAAAGAAATAAGACTGGAATTATTCTTGATTTGTGTGTCTTGACTCAGTAAAATGTAACCATAAAAGAACCAAAGATTCTGTCTCCATCAAAACTCTACTCACTTTTTGTCAGCTCCGGATACAGAGCCAGACTTAACTTGGAATTTGTGCATGTGTTTGTTTAAATCAAACTCCGTTCCATTACCATGTTTTTGTGCATGTGAATATTTCACTTGTGACAGTTATAACTTCTTCCAGCCTGGAGTAGTCTATTATTTAAGGTTCAAAATCCATTTTTAGCATTGTGTTTTAAAGCTCCAGAGCGGAAGGAAACCTTTGTAGACATCTTTGGAGTTGCCCATGAAGAGCAAGGAGCAGCCAGGTTTCAGATACGAACAGGTAATTTAGTGGTGAAAGCCTTCATATCACATCAGTGAACTTAACCCCTCCCTCCAGGCATACAGTCCCTCTCATTATGCTCTTTAATCAAAAAGGGCTGATGAAAATCAATTAGTTTAAAAAAGAAAAGTAAAAAAAACAAAATACTCACCCTTGCAAAGCTCTCTGGTGTATGACCATTGAGAGTATAGCGTGCACCAAAGATATAACTTTCGTTGTATCTTGGTATAACCTGGGCGACAGTTGTATTCCACTTTGCTCCCAACAGCAAACTTACTCTGAGTTCTGTACTCCTCCTTCAGCTCAGCAGAAGTAAAACGTGGTGGCACACCACAATCACCTAGTGACAAAACAGAGGTGTCAAAAATATGGAACTAGGAAAACATGCTATTGTCCAGACCTCATTTACTAAAGTGTCCTTTCTTGGAATAGCAGAAGGGTTGTAAACAAAATACTTGAGCTCTCCCTCCTAACTGACCCCTGCCACTCCACCTGGTTCTCTCAAAGATTTGGCTTAAAATTTTTTTTTGGCATCAAACAAATCTAAGTTCTCCTTAAAGTCAGGAAAACAATCTTCCCATCTGTAAGGGGAGGATAAGGATGCAAGAATTATTTTCTCTGCAGCTTGTTTGGACAGAACATAATATGCCCTTCCCCACCATCGCTGTGATGGTCGCTGCGTCTCCAGCTGTGACGCAAAACACTGCAGGCTGGGTCCTAGAAGGCGGATAAGCAGCAGGACCGGAGCTGCTAAGGTAGAACCAAAGCTAGTATCCTTGTACCCAGTTTATTCTACACTTTGAAACCAGGTGGAAAAGGGTAAGTTATTGGAGGTGACGCAGACCTGGTCTATTGGCACCAGCTGATGGACAAAGAGGAAAGGAATGGCCAAAAGGTGTGTGGGGGGGAAGGGCTAGAATCAACTCAAAAAGAAATTGTTGTTGTCCTGCTTAGGTCCTTAAAAGGCGAAGAAAACTTTGTGGCCTACTCTTGCCACCAGTCATCCCCCCAGTTATGAGCACCCATGATGAGGGAGGCCTCAAGAGTCCTGCGATCTTGGATGCAACCCGGAGAAATCCTGAATGTCAAGCCACCAGCCTGATGTTAAGCACAGATTGTTCATCACCCCAAAATATGCACATTTTTCCAAGCCTCTTACGTCTCAAGAACTTGAAGAGGGTCTCCAGTTAACTGTTGCCTTACACCTTGTGCACTCATTTATACCAGTGCAAAGTGGATGTATTGCACTACAATCCTCATTTGGAAGCACTTTACACACACTTTGCACTTATGTAAATGATGCACAAGGTGGTGGGTGTGGAAAAAACATCAAGCCCTAAGGGCACTGGGAAGACAGAGTCTGGTCTCTTGCGAGACTGCTGATAAACTTCTAGTGGAATTTTAGACTGTCCAAGGCCCAGAAGTGCAGAGGCAGCAAGAAAAATGATCAGAGGAAAACAACAAAGTTATATGAACCTCCAAAAAGAGGTTCCTCACACGGAGATTTCACTGGATGCTCAGGCTGGTTCTTATTTTACCCAGATGGATTTGCCGGATACTCATGTTTACTCACTGTGTACAGCAACAACGAATGCAGCAGCAAGTAACAGCGGAATGGTGGCTATGTAAGAACGTGGTTTTCCAGGGCTTAAAGATTCCATCTTTCTTTATGTCACGTTCTCTTCTTGCAGACCTAACAAGGACGTTAGTACATCACTTTCCAGACTAAAGATCTGTAAAAATATGGGGATGGAGGGGAGTAAAGTGTTTCAAATACATTTAGGATGGACATACATTGTAAGCTCCTTGGGGCAGAGACCATCTCTTTGGCCTGTGTTTGTACAGTGGCTAGCCCCGAGGGTCCTGGTCCATGACTGTGGCTCCTAGGAGCTCGGTCATACAAGTAATGATAAACAGAATATAATACCTAGCTCCCGCATAGCGCTGTTCATCAGTAGATCTCAAAGCACTTTACAACAGACGTCAGTGAGCCATGCCCTCAGCAGGTGCAGACTGGGGTCATTCCACCCACTGGGGTCATTCGAAGCCAGTGGAGCCACCCTGATTTACACCTGCTGAGGATCTAGCCTCGGCTATTAAAAACAGAAGCAAGGTGGGGAAAGTTGAGAGCCGGGGTGAAGTCAAACATCCCTACAATAAGAAAACAAGGGGTTGACGGCAAGTTTCACATAACTCCTACAGGCTTTAATCAGACGCATTTCTTTGCCTTTTTTGAGGTCATGGTTTTTCTTCAAATGAAAAATAAAATCCCAATAAATAGGAAGTTGTTATTTAATTTTTCCATCTACTGAAACCTACCTCACATCTCACTTTCCCAGGGAACATTCACAGCACGGTAAACAGAAATGCCCGAGTCTTGGCACACTTCCAGGTTCAACAACACACCCTGCATTAACCTCGTAAGTTATGTGATTAACATGGCTCGAGCCAACCTCCAATTCTCAAGTCCTAATACTTCTAATAATGGAGGGCAGGGTGGTTTAAAGGAGACAACAGCGGCCTGGGACTCAAGAGATTTGGGTTCTATCCCTGGCTGTGCTACTGGCCTGTTGTGACAAACACAGGCAAGTAACGTCACCACTCTGTGCCTCAGTTTCCCCATCTGTACCCATTCACAGAAACAGTCATGAATAGATAAAGAACAAACCATCAAAGCCATTTGTTTCTGTCAGTTGTGACAGATATTGCAATTGCATGAATTATCTTTGGGGACCACATAGTGTTCATTTTATGAATGGGTTGTGCATCACTCTGGGCCAGGGATTGTCTGCAACTTTGGTGTGGGGGAAGGCGACAACAGCTCCTCCAGGAACCAAAGATAATGTGGGGGGGGGGGGAGGGTGATTAAGGTGAATCACTCAGGATGCGAACACCTCCCTGGGGAGCTTCATATATAGTAGGTCAAACTGGATATTCCACAGACAAAGAAAGTGGTAAAAAGGCGGAGTTTAAACTAACTCACATGGCCTCCTTTCGATTCAGCAAATGGACACAGGACCCTCTGTCCAAGGGGGGGGGCCTCAACCCTTATAAAAGGGTTGGAAGGACTTTAGCTTACCCGGGTCCCACAAGACTGATGGACCTCTGGATACTTTTAGCATACGTATAGGAACTTTTATTTATTTTTGTATGTTTACTCTGTAGTTCTTTTACCCTAAGAATAAACGCATTTGGCTTTGTGATGACTGGTTGGTAGCTAGTACAGACTGTAGTAGCCCCTGGGAAAAGGTTAATTACAGGAAATCTCTCAAGGTGCAGAGGGACAGCAAGCCTAAACTTCTCGCCAGGAGGGAAAGAGATGCAAATCTTCACCCAAGAGAGGTGATGGCAGGGAACCTGAAACCGTAAGAGGGTGCCCTCGAGGAAAACCAGGAGAGCGAGAGTCAATGGGGCAGTTAACTCTGAAACTGCAACACCACAGTGTCTCACCCCTGGATGGGGCCAATGGAGCACTCAAACTAGATGAGCAAGAGCACGAACACTAGCTATGTCTCATTGGGCTCTTATTGGGGATTAATGGAAAGGCTTATGTTAATTTCTACTCCTCTATTAAACAATTAAATTAGCTAGCTACATATAACCATTGTACAACATGTAGCTGATATTTGCAGTAGCAAAATAAGGTAAAACATAACTGAAATAAGGATTCCGAGTTAAGAATGATTGCATTGTTTTATAAGAATGAAACTCACTGTGTCCGTTTGGAAGGTTTATTGTAACTCTTCAGAGCCTTTTTGTCCTTTGCATAAAGTTATTTGACTCCTCAGTTAACAACTGAGCTTTCCGCATGATACAAGGTAACAAATTCACTGCCCAAAGCACAAACCTGTCCCCAAAATATATGCCAACTGCTTATCAGTTTGTCAGGCTCTCTTTAAAACCTTTGTTATTGCCAGGACATTGGCACTTTCCAGCCAGGCAGCCAAATTAATGCCTACAGGGACATAAGTTGATCTGCACTTTCCAGAGAATTTATATAGTCCTCTAAGTCCATTAGAGTAGTCTGACAGAAAAAAAAATTGCTCTATTCGTAAATCTCTATGGAACAAACCCTAGCATACATGGGCAGGTAAAGCTCCCAGTGGAGTCAGCACAACTGCTGTGCAATACATTATACCCATATGTACGTACAGCCATGTGAAGAATATGTAAACAGAGTCAACTGGAGTTTTGTACAAGTCAGTAGTGATTGGGGTGAAGATCTCAAAAGTGCCTGAGTCCCATTTTCAAAAGTGCCTGAGGCATTTATGGGCTTGAACCTGCTCCCCTGGAAGTCAATGGCAAAACTCCTATTGATTTTAATGGTTCAGGATCAGACCCTAAGTGCCTGAGTCACTGTTGAAAATGACATTTAGTCCCTTCGGAGCCTTTGAAAAAAACCTTACCCCATGACTGCAAAATGTGTCCCATATAGACAACAGCAAGAGACTCTTGTAAAAGTTATTAGCTTCCAACCAATACTTCTTTTTAAACATCACCTAGAGTCACATTCTCTGTCTCGCCCCCTTTCCCCTCCTCCCCGTTTCCTTAAACCTAATACTTCTTGCTGTTGTTCTGCTTTGCTAGCCCCCCCCGCCGCTAGGTCTGGCTTTGTTTACTAATATATCCGTGCACGTGGGCATATTTGCTAGAATAGATTATATTGAGGTTTAATAAATGGTTCTGGATTTCCTGCTTCCCCCCAACTCATTTCCCCTGGGCTTCTCTTAGAGGAATGTTGCCTTAAGTAGCTGGGTTGCAATCACAGTCAACTTACCTGAAGGGTTTGTCAGCAGGCGGCAGAGTGCACTCAGGTCTATTTGGTTACTGAAGGATGAAATGGTATCTCTGACTTTCCCGTCTAGCCTGTCCTGCACCCAGGGATCACCATGCTAAACAAGAAGTTAGCACAATATGCTTACACATACAGAAACGCTGAGATATGGTGAAATTGAGATGAGGTTTCGATCGGGGGGGGGGGGGGGAAGGGTGGTGCACCAGCTTATCTATAAATGATTAACTCCTCCTCTAAAATGACAAGGAAGCAAATTATTCAAGCTGCAATCAAATGTTAGATAATTCATTTCGCAGGAAGCAGATGTCGAAATTGTTTACTTACTGCGCTAATCTGCCAACTCTTTACTGAAAATGACATGAATAAAAGGTTCTCCGGAATTTGGTTGAATAGTTCATTGTTCCAAGAGCAAAGACTAGTGGACTTGCCAGCCGGGATATAACTACTGTACTGCAAAGGACTATCTATTTTGCATTTATGACAGGGATCGTTTCAGTGGAAAACCCACAACAGTTTGTGTATATCATATGAGTAGATGCCTCCTTACCCTGATGGTATTTTATGATGGAGGTTTTTCAATAGTTTCTCCAAGTGTCTCTGACTCATTCAAAAATGATACAGGCTGGAATTTTCAAAGGAGCTCAGGGGAAATGGACCCTCCCTTTGACCCTTCTGAAAATACCAGCCACGCTGCCCAAAATGTCAAATGCTGTACTTTGTCTCCTGAATCAACTGTGTGATGCTGTTGCAAAAAAAGGCAAACAATGTTTTGGGGTGTATTAACAGGAGTTTGCTATGTAAGACAGAGGAGGGAATTGTTCCACTCTCCTCGGGGCTGGTGAGCACTGCTGCAGCCTCAGCTGGAGTGCTGGGTCCTGTTTTGGGCACCACACTAAGAAAACAGAAAAGGAGTACTTGTGGCACCTTAGAGACTAACCAAACTAAGGTGCCACAAGTACTCCTTTTCTTTTTGCGAATACAGACTAACACGGCTGCTACTCTGAAACCTGACACTTTAAGAAAGAAGTGAACAAATCAGAAAGAGTCCAGAGGAGAGCAATAAAAAAAGAGAGGTTTACAAAACATGAACTATGAGGGAAAGTTGAAAGAATGGGACATGTTTGGAGGAGAGAAGAGATGGCTGGGGGGTGGGGGAGGGCATGAGATCAGTCTTCAAATATGTAAAAGGTTGCTGTAAAGAGGACAATCTATTGTCCACTGAGGGTAGGACAAGAAGAAATTGACTTAGTTTACAGCAACAGAAAGATTAGGTTAGATATTAGGAAAAGCAATTATTGGAACAGATTACTAAGCGAGGTTGGGGAATCCCTGTCATGGGAGGCTTTTAAGAATTTATTAGGCACACCCCTGTCAGGGATGATTCAGATATACTTAATCCTGCCGCAGCACGGGGGGTGGGGGGACTAAGTGGCCTTTTAAAGTGCCTTCTAGCCCCCACATTTCTCTGATTCTGGGTCAAATCCCGGAGTCCTGACTTGATTCCGTACTTGGGGCAAATGCTCACTGACATCCATGGGTGTTTTGACTGAGTAACGTCTTCAGCATTTGGCACTTCTGTGCCTCTTTCTTCCTCCTCAGACTGGTTTCATTTTGGGTATTGTTGAGTTTTTAAATGAGCAGCTTATTTTCTTACCCCTTCAATCCTGGCATCTTAAGACAACATAAGAATTGTCAAAACTGAATAACCAATAGCCCTGGATCCTGTCTCCAGCAAGGAAGCAGTTTATTCAGCCAATGCTAGGTTAACCAGAAGACAATAACCCATCCACAGAGCAATGTTACACCACAGGGGCTGAGGATTCACCTTCTTGGTTGTGTTCTTTGCTTCTGCTGGTCTGGAGAACCTGTTAAAATATGCATGTGCAGTGGTCTAGTTATTACTTAGTCCTGTCTTGAGTGCAGGGAACTGGACTAGATGACCTATTGAGAAGCGTAGAACTGGAAGGGACCTATGATTCTATGCTGGTGTCTGCTTGTTTCTTTCACTGCTACTTAAGAAAAGGGTTAGAACACCCAACTACTGTCAGCATTTACACTGCAGGGCTTGGACTGACCGCTAGGTCACCTGGTTCCACACTGGAACTATATGTCACTGATGATGAAGAGTTATTACCAGAGGATGGCTGTTGGGGAAGCCTGGCTGAATGGAGTTGTGGGTGTCATTCTAGTTCCCAGGCGACCAGGATCACCATTATACAAACAAAATTCGAACTGGTACTAACTGACTCCCCTTTTCCCCCAGTTTGTCAGTCTCAGCCAAGATGTAAAAGACAGAACAGGCCTCGGAGACAGAACAACCCCCCTGCCCCTACAGGTGGTCCTTGCAAAGAAGGGTTGAAGCACCTTGGGGCAGTGTTGAAGAAGTTTGCTCTGCAGCTGCCCACGCTGCTCCTATCTTATCTAGTGCCTTTCCCTGGCACCAAATTCACATGAAAATTTAAAAAGGAGACAAACCAAACCAACAAGTGGGGCAAGTCGTTTATTTAGGTCTCTTTTGCATACATCAGTTGGTTGCCTTGCCTTCCCTCCAGCTGGAATTTTAGCTTTTCCAAGCGGAGTTTCTCCATTTCCATCACAGATTTAGTTTCAATCCAGTTCATCCCACGACAGGGGCTCTGCCATCTTCCGCACGTCCTCGCAGACAGCAGCACACAGGCTTTGACTTCTCCAAGAGACACGCAACAGAAGGCACACCACTAAGCTAGAGAGAACTCAGACTTGATTGTGCTTTTAAATGTGATCGAAGTGCCAAAAAGCCTCGAGCAGGTTTTAACCCATGACCTCTGACTCTAAGCGCATGAGCCTCTATTGCCAAAGCTGAAAGACCAGATCCGTTAATCCAGAGAGCACAGCAGACCCATGAGCCTCTACTTGACATCTACCAATGGGGGTGAGGGAGGTGTGGCAGCATCAGAATTTGCTGCTTATCTCCTCCGCTCTCTTATATGCTTACTAAGCAGTTGATAACTCCAGCAGCACAGACATTGTTGCCTCTTACCACAGCTGTAGAAATAGTCTGTGTTATTTTCTCCGTTACTAATGCTTCACTTTCTTCTTCTTCGTCTGGTTCCGACTCTCTGGAACTCACAGCTGGAAGGACCATGTACCGTGTTGACAGAAATTAAACAATGTTTTAGAAACATGAATTAAGTCTCGCAACACCCCTGTGGCAAATATTCATCGGACCCTTTCACGGAATGGGAGAACTGAAGCGCAGAGAAATGAAGTGACTTGCCCAAGGGCACCCAGTGAGTCTACAGTGGAACTGGGAATAGAAGATTTCAAATCCTCTGATTTAAAAATCTACCCTTTATCTTCCACAAAACTATTCTTCCTCCCATGCAACCTACAGACACAGATACAAAGGAGGCCCAAGTGTATACAGTGTTACAGAAAGAAAAGGAGTACTTGTGGCACCTTAGAGACTAACCAATTCATGCTCAAATAAATTGGTTAGTCTCTAAGGTGCCACAAGTACTCCTTTTCTTTTTGCGAATACAGACTAACACGGCTGTTCCTCTGAAACAGTGTTACAGGTACAACTCAGGTGCTGTGGTGGATTGGGCGTCTGGATCATGCCTCAGGTGCAGCTTTGGTCACCTCCTCTCAAGAGACACTGAAGAAAGAGGACTGTGCAAGGGTATACAATTGAATAATGGCCTACAGCCATGGTTTCCCAAAGTGACTCTGAATGCCCAACTTGTGAAACGTTAAAAGGGGCCTGGTTTGGTTTGGCTTTTATTCAGAGGGAAGGTGCGCAATATTTTTGGAAAATTAGACTCCTCCAAGACATCTCCAGTTGGACCTCTAAAAACACCAGTCACTATTTAAACTCTTGCCTAGTGATTCTGCTTGGGTAATAAGTGTCACGGGATCAGGTCTAGCCCTTCAAAAGGCTAAACTTACCTGGATGTGACTCTCAAAAAAACAAAGAGGGAGGGAGAGATGGTGAGTTACCTTTACAGATGGGTGGAGGTGCTTGCCACTCCTGGGAAGACGTACAATAAAGATTTTTTTCTCCAGAAAGACGGTAACCATCAGCACAAGCGTATGTGACTTGTTTTCCCTCATCAGCTCCCCAACTAGATGCAATGCTGTTGTCAACCTTAGGACTATCTCCGCAACTTTCATCTTAAAAAGAAAAACAAAACCCAGCACAACTGGAACACAATCAGGAAGTTCTCATTCCCCTGTGTGGAGACAGAAGAGATTGTTGGCCAAAAAAAAAAAAAAAAAAATCACTTCCTGCAAGAAGGAACACGCTCCTTTACTGTGCATAGGATCTGCTGTAGAAAAGTAATTCTGCAGTGCTGATCAGGTTTATTTCGCAAGTGGGAATAACTCTAGGCTTTGCAGAAGCAGCCACGCCAAAGGACAGGCTGACAAGGACTTATTGCTGAGGTTAGAATGGCTGCTCACTATATCATGCATATCTAACCACTAGCCCCTGCACTACTATATGTAACCCAGTTACACTGCAGAGTGATTGGAGATCTCTCGTCTACATAATTGGATTTCTCAACTCGTATACTGGAGCAGTTGGAGCACAGATCTCTGAGCGCAGGGGCTACTAGCCATTTGAGGGTTCTTGTGCATATCAAAACAATGAGCTTAGCTCTGGTTATAGTGAGTTGCACTTTAAAAAAAAAAAAAAAAAAAAAAAAAAAAGCCTGCCACCGTGGGAGCGGTTCCTTTATAGTCAGTTAAGTGCTCTTGCAAGGTGGTGGGTTGGGGACTGAACTCCTTTCATTCAAAGAACAGAAAAGGCACAGGCAGCAGCACTGCAGGCTTACCAGACCCTCACTCCTTAGGTGCTGCATCCTAACCGAAAAAGACCTACTCCAAGAGGCAAGATAGGATCTCACTGGCCTCTGTGCTTAGCTACTTCCTGTACCAAAGCCAACCAGAACTCATTATGGTGGTTACTATGGTATGGTCAGCTGTCCACTGAGAACTAGCCAGAGGCAACCAGATCATTTCACTCTGACCAACTATTGGATGGTAACTACTCTGGGACCAGAGCTGGATTTCAATCAACCACCTATACAGGAAAAAGCTCCCTGTCCC